TCTGAGCGGTTTTAGTTCTGGTAGAATTAAGAAGTTGATTCTACTTATATTATTTCGTTTGACCAGTGTCTATCTTCTTCAAGAGGAATCATCAGTTCTTTTTCGTATTTTTATTGTTTAATTTAGTATCGGGTAAGAGGTTATCATAATTAAATTTAGTAGGGGTCTTGTGCTGTGTTTACTACCCTTCAATTTTTTTCGAATCCAGTTGTCTCCAAGTTATCAAGAGCAAAAAAAAGATGATATAAAAAGCGACAAGATTATCTTTTACAAGATTTTGCTGCGCGTGAAATATTTTTTGCTTAATAACCTACAAACCTTAAAAGAATTTCTGTTCAACAAAAAAATGTGAAAATCCAGACCGATACAAAGAACAGACAAATTTATGTGTACAATTCACCTCTTTATATTTCTATTCACCTTTTATTCACTCTTTTTACATTTGTTATTTAATTTTTTAATTTTTCCTTATAACATTACCATTAACTCTCTGTGGTAGACTTTTTTCTGAGAACTTTTACATCGGCAGTTTTGCACCTCTAAATTATGCATTTGTAATAAAACAGTATCAAAAGCAATAATTCAGAAACTATTCTAAAGGAACCTTTTTCTTAATTCTTCGAAAAAATTATTCAAAGTAATTTTTACGGAACTTCCGAAGTTACAGGTAGACCTCTGACGTCATAAATCTAAGGCATCCGTCAAGATATATACCTTTTTTCCCGGTTGTGTTTCTTTGAGATTCTGCTCTTTCCGCATTCTAGATTCAGTTAGTTTCATTTCAGGAACCCCCTGTTTATCTCGAATTCAATTCATCTCAACAACTAAAGCCTTTGCAAGGAGCAGAGGGGAGCCAAACAGCAATCATTTTCGATAGAATGTCTTAATTTCTAGAAATTATTGCATTTATACTTTGCATAGAATTTTAAAGAGAAGCTTTCAAAGTACGCATAAGCAAATGTTACTTGTGCTAAACAAAGTCAAACTTCCTGCTGTCTTCAAAATTTATCCTAATGTATAATGAGTTTAAAAATAATTCATTCAACTTCTGTCATTAGGAATTTTAAAGAGATTTTTACGAGAGTTTCGGTAACGCCACAGCTTGGCTGGAAGTTTGATCCAGTGCTATTCATATATTTTTATATGCAGCGATGGCCGAGCCTGATTCTTCTTTTCTTTTATACGTTATCCGATCTTGGTGATTGGAAAATAATTAATTGTTAAGGCATAAGGCATTAAAGTGGTAGTCAACAAAGTGCCAAGCATTGATGTAACTTATCATACCCTTATTTTAGCCCCGAACACAAATAAAACCAATGGACATTGGTTTTATGAAAAATGTTTATTTCTTAACCGAAAATTCATTAAAGAAAAGTTCTTGGAAGAAGTTATTGATATTAGATTGATATCAAATGCCGAGAAAAATTCAGAGAAAAAATCAGGCAAATAGCAAAGTGTTGAGCAAAAACTTTGTGAAATTCCTATCCAAGACCTACAGCTACCAATTGGCATGTCCATCGCTACCTAGGGTTCAAAAGCAGAGATGCTGGAAGGACTCGCCAGTGAGTGAACCCGGCCAGTGAGTGAACCCGGCCAGTGAGTGAACCCGGCCAGTGAGTGAACCCGGCCAGTGAGTGAACCCGGCCAGTGAGTGAACCCGGCAAGTGAGTGAACCCGGCCAGTGAGTGAACCCGGCCAGTGAGTGAACCCGGCCAGTGAGTGAACCCGACCAATGAGAAAACCCGGCCAGTGAGTGAACCCGGCCAGTGAGAAAACCCGGCCAGTGAGAAAACCCGGCCAATGAGTGAACCCGGCCAGTGAGTGAACCCGACCAGTGAGTGAACCCGGCCAGTGGGTGATCAGATCCTTTAAAAGTAACAGCTGCCTTACATTAGGCAGTTGCTCTAGTTCTCTATTAAGGAGACTCTCTTGTATAACAAGATCTTATCCTGACCCAGTCATAATTTTTGTTTTTTTGTTGCTGTGTAGTAATGGATCTACCTCGGCCTGTTCATCGTCGACGTCTGGACATTCAGTTATCACACCACCATCGCAACTTTCAAGTGAGGTAAGATTTCGAAAATATCAAGTAGAAGTTACCTAACAATTTAGGGCTATGGCTTTCTCCATATCCTGCTTTGCTATAAGATTATGCAGCATTATCTCTGTTCACAGATCCCATACAAAGAAATCAGCAGGCGCCTCAAAGAGCCCTTGAAGATTTCACATCTTTTCCCCGGAAAATGTAAGCCCGTTTATTAGCTTTTAAAACTGCAAACTGTAAACGTAATGTTTTTTTAAAGCTTTTTGTTTTGGGGGATGGCTCAATCTAATTTGCCTTTAACAGTCTAAGCAAATTTTCCTATAAAAAAACAAATTTTCTGTTATGCATTGTCCAGTGGTAAGCCAGGGCTACAGCAGGGGGGGGGGGTTCTAGAGGTGCAGGCCCGACAAAAGTTTGGACCACCAAAGATGGGACCACGTCCTTCAGACACTCGCAAATGCGGGGAAACGCCCTTTCTGCAAAATTTGTCCCAGACCTTTGTCTTGGTCTGAGTGAAATGGCTTTCCATCTAGTAAAATGACTTGAAAAAGTTTATGTTCTGCAACTTACAGTTTACCTACACCCTACCCCCTCCCCCCCTCCCATGAGTTTTACATCGTTTTTGGACAAATTTCGAGGGCCATATTTTAGAAAAGTGGGGGGTCCGGACCCCCTATTTCCTCCTTGGGTACGCCACTGGCATCGTCCTAGTTTCTTGTAAAAATGTCTCAAAATGTGACAGCAACAGCATTGGTCGTTTCCGTAAAAGCAGTGTTTGTTGCAAGGGAATATGTGTGTCTCAAAAAGTAGTGTGTCTCTTCATTTTTGATCATTTTTTACAAGCATCTGATTTTGACATCTACTGCCTGTATGTTTGTCACATATCCCATGGCAATGCGTTGCCTGAATGGAATATTTCTCCACGTACTTACTTTCCTGATAGATAATAACTGTCTTCCATTTTCAACCTTGATTACTGTATTTCCCCCTGTTTTTCCTCATAGTTTTTCTGATTCTTTAGACCATCATATCACTTCACTTCATATTGCACTTTTTCCAATTTGCGAACACAGTTGTTGGATACAGAAGGTCCGGAGGACGCAAAGTTAAGGAGAAATCCTTCTCCTGTAATAAGCGTATTTGATTGTATTTTAGAAATCTTAGTTGAATGCTTTATCTTCTCTGTAGCGTATTTGGAGGAAATACGGGAAGAAATTGTCAAATGCTTCAAGCAAAAGTAAGTATTGAGTCACTGCTTCGTAACCCATGTCTATGCAGTGTAGCTCTACATACTCCATCTGTTTAAAACCTTCCTACTCTGACGTTCCTATCGCCTTCATTTTCAATAGCCACCTTTCTGTCAAAAAACTTAATGAACTTCTATAATCAGTTTTTATGTTTAAGGGTGTCAATTCTCCATGATGAGGAAAAAGCATCAGCTCAGAAAACAACACCGGTTTCAAGGCAACAAAGTATGATTGATGTATTGTCTACCAATATTTTTATCTTCACAATCAGGCATCACCATCAATCAGCCATCAGCATCAATCGGGCATCACCATCAATCAGGCATCACCATCAATCAGGCATCACCATCAATCAGGCATCACCATCAATCAGGCCTCACGATATTGTTATTCAGTCAGGCATCGCGATCAATTATCATGAACATAATCATCATCATCAAGCATCACCATCGATCATAATCATATAATCGTGATCATTTTCACCATCGATCACTATCATCGTTTTCATTGTTCTGGTGGTCAGAAATATCATCATTGGCTTTCGGTCTAACAAATGATTACTAACAAATATGATACTGTAGTAACAACATTTTGGAAAATTGCTTTTTGAGAGATAAAACAGAAAATTAAAATACATTTCAGCTTTGTGAAACTGTGTTTTGTATTTTGCAGATATTAGTCTAACGAGCGTTACAAAGCAAAGGTTTCACGACTTGTCAAGCACAAGAACTTGTGATCAACTTGACAAGAGTTCGAACGAGGTATGGAAATATAAACATCAAGAATTCTTTTTAAATGAAATTAGTCTTGGTGATTGTGTAAGCAAGTGAAAAAGCCAATAGCGTACGAGATTTTCCCTAAAACAAAAGGATTTCTAGTGATTTCCAGATAAAACAATAGGATTTTTACAAGATTTACGAGATTTTCTTGGAGTGATTTGCCCCTATAAATTAAAATGTTTAAGTAAATCGGTCAAAGAAATTAAAATCTTGGAGGCTGATTAGCTGAAATCTTTTTTATCTGGTGATAGAGTTTCCCTTGAAAAAATCTGATTTGATCAATTTTCTTGAACATCTTAGGCAAAAGGGCTTCCACCCTGGACTAGGACGCGGAAGAGTTTTGATTTGTTAAAGATGGTATTTGGTATGAGCTGCATTGCCAAGATAAGGATTAACTGACTTAGTCATAAATACAAAACATTGAGCCATACATACATCATACATGCTGTTGCATTTTTTATTTATAGGAGACACTATATGCTACCTGTAATAAGCGCCCTTATAGTCATATAGAGTTTCATAGTATTTGACAAAGTAATTTTAAGCGGAGAGAATCCATTGATACTATTTTGATTTCAGGCTCAGGTCATCATACCTTCAGAAAGAGCCATTACAGAAGCTAATACTGCAATGGAGCGCTCTGCTCTTAAAGGCCTTACGAACGTCGTCCCTTCCACTGATGCTGGAAATACACTACCTTTTTGTGGGTACGTCATCAAAGATAGCAACTATGAGAAAAGCAAGGATACGTTTAGCTTTTTATATATGCTATAATTTCTGCCACGCCCCCGCCCCGCCCCCCGCACCTTCTGCTTAACAAAGTATTGTAATAACACATAAAGCCCTTATGGAGGCAATACTTGCTATATAATGTTTTTGAAAATCTTTGCTGAATTCAAGTAGTCATGTTTTTTATTTCACTAACAGCAACTTAGTTTAATTTAAAATGACAACCAAAATTTAAAACAGTCAGAAATACATCTTCCTTTCTTAAGATAATTTTTTACCAAAAAAGTATTTTGTTGTACTGAAGTCTTTTGAAAGCAGAAAAAATAAACAAAACGTTCTTTGAGTACGATTTTAAGAATACACTAACAAGGTCTTGATAAAATAAATTTCATCTTGTATGTATTGATTGTTTGTAACCAAAGCATACTTTTAATAACACTTATTCGATACCAATAGTTGTTCTTTTCAGTTGAAACATAGCGGATAAAATTCCGTTTCTAAAATAGAATTTTCTTAACCACACTTTTTTATTGAAAAAGAGAAAGTATAAACTTGTGTTAACCTGAAGAAAAAACTCGTTACTAGTTTTCGTATAATTGTTCTATTTATAATAAGACCATTTCAATGAGAGAGAATGCAATCATTTGTTCCCCATTTATAGTTTATATCTTAGATAAGATGATCTATGCCCCCAACACACGTCACCAACACTTTTAATTTCACTGTCTGTTTGCTTCGACAGCATTGAAAACACTGACCGTCATCTTTCTCTGCCATTCAACGAGATCCAGGCAGCCGATGGACCTGTTTTCTCCGGGCAGGGATTCACAATACTCACAACAGTGACTCATCCAACTAAACATACCTTATGCACTTTCAACAATCCTCAAAATTTCGTCTTACAAGAGGTATTTATACAAATTAAAGCCTTAATTTGATCAAGGGTCCTTGTGCTTATAGGGCAAAGCAGCAATCGCCCCAGTACGACAATTCCATCAAATGTTTGAGAGATTTTTATGTTTAAGAGCGTGTTTTGCCTCTAGCTTTAGTTTACAAAGCTGGATTAGGACGTGGAAGATTTTTCATCTGCTCAAGTTGGTATTCAATATAAGCTGCACGGCTGAGACAATGTTTAGATAAAATCGAAAACTGAGCCATACGTACTGCTGCCTTTTTTATTTAGAGAAAAGACTTTCTTGCAATTTGTTAAGCTTTCACCAAAGTTTTCACTAAAATTGTTGAGTCAGATACCCCTAGCTTCATGCTGCCCAAGCCCTTCCTCCCTTTCATCCCGAAGATGTCTACTGCCTTTAATAAACGCTCTCGGCTTCGTGTAACACTTGCAGTATTTGATAAGTAATTGTAACTGGGAGAGGTTTGTGATTGTTTTTGCCGTGGGATATGTGACATACTTTTCCGGTACTGAATTTAAACATGAAACTTGAGGTATCGTAAGACCTAAAGATCCAGGTTTGTCTTTGCCCAGCATGCTAGACCTTCGTCAACAAATCCCACATCTCACATCAGCAATATACCCCAGCAGCAACAACCACTTCTGCATGATTCAGGAACATATTCATCAGAATCAACTGCACGTGACTACAAACGGAGCAGCAGCAGCAACACTAACATGAGGCGAATCGAAGACTCTCAAAGTCCTTTTATGCCTGGTTTTAACAATGGATTCCTCCCTCGTCGCCGAGGTAGCAGAGACAGTCGTAAAAGTTTTCCTTTCATTGACTGCAACCAACTCCTTGATCACGACTATGCGCACCATTCAAGTACTTTAGATATCCTGCACTATGCAGGGACTGTTGATAATGACATGCTTATGACAAGTGCTATAGAAGAAGATGATCACAACAGTTGTTCAAAGGCTCACGTTTATGTACCAACTTTGAAAAAACCTTGCTTAGACACTCCTTCGCCGCCGATCCAGTTTTACCGGAGAAAAATGTTCTAATATGATTTTAGCTTCTTTGAATTTTATTAACAGAATTATCAAAGTTAATAATAGATTCTCAATAATTGTGAATTATTTATTTAGAGATGTATATTCAAAAATCAAGGCAATTGATCTTAAAGAGAAATGTATGAGGTTAAACTCAAGACTCGTATAAAAGATGAAGGAATCCCTTACCAATGGACCAAAGCCTTCACTTCTTTGCCCGTATGTCTAATGCTGTTTTGCATCCCTTTTTTCCGTTACTGTTAACGACATCATCATCCGTTACTTATTGCCCCACTGGAAGGAAAATAACTTTGCAAAATTTCATTTCTCAGGATGAGTTTTAAAATTTCGTGATAAACCAAAGATGGCTCAGTTTTGATTTGACACTCCAATGAACATTAAGTGAATTGAAAAGTTAGGGCTGAGACCCCCTTGCTAAAATTCAGAGAGATTTTGCTGGCTCAGCCCTAGTCCCTAACACGCCAGGATATGTTTGATTAGGCAGATCCTTATTTTTCAACTTTAACTAACCCTCTATTATACTAGTAAATGTTCTATGACTGAGCCATTTCTATCAGCCTTTTAGTATCTTTGAACAGTCACAATGTTTTTTCATACACAACAGAGAATCTTTAACAAAAATGCTCGAATAAAGAGTATGACTGTGATTTTGAGTGTTGCTTGTGGAAGATACCTACAACACAGGTCCCCTCCTAAATTTTTAGGACGGCGCCCTGTAAAAAGTTGCTCGAAGAGTCAAAGATTGCATGAATCTGAAGCAACAATACTTAAAAACAGTAACTTTCTAGTTTTCCTACACCATAGTTTTTCCACTGACTTTCTTGTGTTATCTTCATAACATTTAGTTTGTTGAATTTCCGTCATGTAGAACAGATCGCAGTTATTTTTGTTAGATTATACACGACACGCGATAATAAACGTGTAAATTGCATATAGATTACATAACAAATATCATATCTGGAGGTAGGCTGGCTATTCGTAATGGAAAGAGAAATATTAAGATGACAATTCCTTTCTATAACTTATCATTTCCTAAAATGTTTAACTCATTAGGCCTCATAATGTTAAGGTGCCTGGATATTAACAGTGCTTTCGAGATTGCATGCATTACCATAACCTCTTTGCGTTTTACTCTTTTCTTAAAAATCTAGTCATTTCCGTTTCTTTTCAACCACTGAAATATTCTCCACCTTGCATATGTTTTATTTGTTATGAAGTACTTCTGGCTGTGCAAACCCAATGGCCGTTCTATTCTAATACTCTCGGCATTTTGTTTTATTTCCATGCATGTAGGCAAGAGCACTTGTAATATGGCTGGTAAAATCTTGGTTTAAGCTTCGAACACAATGAATAGATAACGAACACAAAAATATAGGTGAATGTAATAAGGGACTTTCCATTTGCCAGTCTTTAACTTTTAAGTCTCTAATTTTATTTTTGTAATTGCAGCTGAGCAAAGCTCCGAGTTTATTCTTCATTTTACGTGGAATTGTAATTTAAAGATTGAATTTATTTATTTATTCTGTTTTGAATAAAATTCAGTAAAAGTCTTAATTTTTAGCCAAATTTTATGCTTTAAAAGGTAGAAATATCGTTGATTTTGTCAAAAATTTAGATAATCAATAATCCACAATTGTAATATTGAATTATAGATATTATAAACAAATAATTGTTTGAGTGGAAATAAAATGATTAACATTTGTTTGGGAAGCAAATTATCTTAATTTTGTCTCTTCTAAAAAATACACAACACTCAGAGATATGTAAAATTAAGCCTTATTTAGATTTGTTTCGTTAGTTTAGTATGGGAAGCTTGATTAATATTTTAAAGGAAAATATTTCAACGTTCGTGTGCCATAGTTTAGAGGCAGACGTCTGATATATCTTATGTAAAGTGATTCCAGCGTTTTTATGAAAAACAGAAAATCACTTTAAAAAATCCTTTGATGTAAAACCTCTATTGTAGTGGTTTTATCTCCACAATATCTCTAATTTCTTCTCTTTAAATACTTTTCTTGGACTTGATGTCCTCAGACACTACCCGGCCAGCTTGCAGTATGTGTCTTCTATCCTTCTAAGTGATGTTCCTTTGCTTTTATATTACACGGTTTCAGTTACTTCTAGGGAATTTAGGACCTCCAACGACTGTAGAAGGGGGTTATAAACCGGAAAGCATCGTTATGGTATAACTCAGTGGTTTGTTGGATTCGACAACTTTCAAGGGCCTAATGGCAACTTTCCCGTAAAGTGTACTTGGGTCCTTTTTTGAATCAGTAAACAAACGTTCCTTGGATACATGCCTGCATAAATATTCAAGTAAACTGCATTGATTGTAATCGATAACCAATAAAACGATCTTACGAAGTATTCCTATTGGATGTATATTCAGAATTTTAAATAGTAGTAAATTTTTTGTTAAAATAGACAATTGAAGGAATGATTCAGATTTGACTTTCAATTTCAAACCAACTGCCCATATAATTCGCTATTCCAACATGGATCTCAGTTAAATAGATAGCTGTTGTTTTTCTGGGGAATTACTTCAAGACCAAATCTACGGATTGCTGTTGTGGACATTCAGTTCAGTCGTATGAATTATTAATAACTAAAGCTATGGTTTTATTGCTAGCTGGGTCATTATGTGGAGATAATGAATTCGGAACTAAGATAAAACATTATTGCTTTCATTTGGCATTGTTACCAAATCCTAGCATTAACATATCAGCTTAATAGGACTTCTGGTTTAAACTTGCTTTGCACAAATTTACTGTATAAGGACCAAATTTCTGCAATTATAATTATTAAAGTTTCATATTTCTTTCAATAGGAGGACAGCGAGTGTAATTGAAAACTGATGAATCATCGACAGAAGACTAAAAAACAGCTGCTAATCGCGTTTGTTATTCTTATAATTCTTCTCAACCTTGATTTTAAACATACTAAAATGCGTGCGGTACAATATGATGTTTCGAGCATAGCCCGTTATCAAGTCAGATGACTTGATAACGGTCTATGCTCGAAACGTCGTTAATTATTTTAAAAAAATTTTCCTGGTACAATTTACTTACATTGATCGTTATTTGAATTTAAACGTCTGTAAAAGTGTTTGTATGTTTCAGTGATTTTTGTTTTACATACTGATCTAGACTGTGATTACGTCATAGAGCCTGGGGAGAGGCAGTACGTACCTTCTCAGCTTGAAGTACGTAGGCCTGCTTAGTGAGGGGACAAAGAGACGGATTTCTATGGACCCTTAGCTGAGAAGGGTCATGAAAATTTAAGATAAGACTTTTTTTATTTTATAATTGCATAATACTTTATTATGCTCAACTATCACCATGTAGACGTGGGATATAATGATGTCCATTTGCAATGCCTTAATATCCCATCAGGCTATTGGCTGAAGGGAGCTAATACTTAAGCCTTCAAGTGTAACGTTCCAGCCATCTGTAATTTACAGTCTAAGGTATGCCTACCTATTTCGAGAGCCTTGTTGCTGACGGCATACTCTCTTCACCCTCTCCTGAGTTGATGCATTTTGCAATGTAATAGGATAGTCTTGCCACTTGTAAGTGATTGTAGATATGTTGCCTCTTTTGTTCTTTTTACGTTGCGGACAAAGGAACTCTTTAGAAGCCTGCTTGTAGCCCCCACTGTTTCAGCTACGTCATTGAGGTGAATCATTGAGAAATGTGGCTCTGCTAATAAACAATTCAATTCAATGACGTTATCGGGACAGTAGGCGCCTAAAGCCGGCTTCTAAAGATGTGCTTTGCAGGGACTACAAGCAGCTACCTTCGGTAGAAATAAATTTAGTGATCTTTGGTTCATTGAGCAAATGTAAAAAGAGTTTTAGATGTATATTGAATTACGGCCCAAGCTCGAAACTCATGGTAATAGTTTGTTGTAATAGCAGTATTGAATGTACAGCACTGATCTCAAAAAAAGACTGGATCGAACAACCTATTGTTCTCCAACATCAGCACGAGGAAGCGATCGAATCTCTCCATCTTGAGACCTCTCGCGCCTAGAGCTTTGTGCTGCCATTTGTTAAAATGGTGCACACACAGGTCTGCACTTTAAATTGCGCATTAATCATCAAATCCTTAAATATTCTAAGATACAACAGGCCTAGGAAGAGTGGATTCTCCGTTACATAAGTTTAATACCACGGCAAAAATTTAACGTCATTTACAAATACTGCAAGTTTTTGTTTCAACGGTTACTTTTAATTTTGCTATGAAAAAGCAAGTTGAACTAAAACCAATATGACTGCACTCTAGTCTCATACAACACAGCGAGGTCTCAAGATGGACGCTGCAATGTGGAATCAACGCTGGGCTGGAGAAGCTCGATCCAGTCTTTTTTTAGATCAGTGATGCACACAGGTTTACATAAAAAACTATAAAGATTGCTTATCAAAATGATCATAACGGTACTTACTATACGATGCAAACTCGTAAACGTATATTTCAAAAGGTATTGCTCATGCGGCATTTTTCTGTTAAATCGAAATTAACATAAAACGCAAATTACTGAAAACTCATTATAATCTTCCCTTGCCGCTAGCTCTTATTCAATAACCAAATTTATTGATTTTACTAACTGTTATGCCCTTCAATGAATAAGTGGATTTGTTTTGTAAATATTAGTGTACCATACCTGAATATTGGGCTATGGCATGATGTGCTATACTTATTTAAATTAAAATCTCTTTACATTAAGGTTCGGGCATCGTTAAAAGCAACAGAAGCAGCGAGATCACACTGGCAATGATTTCAAGAAAGGTAAGACATTGTTTGAGCTGGTTTAAGTAGAGTATTGGGAATGCATGGCTTAAATTGTCGATGTTTTCATCTTTGATCTTCGTTAGTTTTACCTATTCAGCATATTAGTGTCTAAAAGTATTTGCTGATTCAATAGAGTTAAAAAGAATTTTTGTAACTGAAGATAACTCGAGTTGGTTTTAGGAGGCCTATAAGCAAATCGCAATGATGTAAATGGTCAGGGAGGGAGATGATATCAATACAAGAGATTGTCGAACTAGCCCGTGGCGGAAGGCAGGAACACTGCTGGAGTATGCAGGGAATTAACTGCTTTGGTAGAAGCTCCTCCGAATCGAATGACGTGGTATCTTTATAATCAGGCCTCTTGACTATGCCGTCAAGTCATGCCAATAACTGCTTTGGTCTATACCCACTGGCAGGTTGTTATATAACACGCGTAGAGGTGTATACTGCATTTTTGTTGAAAGTAAATGTGGTCTTACACATGGGGAATCTTTTTTATCAATTCTTAAATAGATTCTCAGATTATCTCTCTGTGGGCAATAGCCGTTAAAATAAGCGCAGACAAAAGGTTTCTTGCAACAAGATATTTAAGCAACCTGATCTAACTCTCTTTGTTTACCTTGCAATTTTAGTACAAGGCCATCGTACTATGCAGCCAGCATGCGTTTTTGCAGATGTTCTAGTTTGTTTGAAAGCAAGACTTTAATTTTCATATTTCATTTCAGAAACAAAGCAGTGTCATTTCAAAATGCGAAAAAGGCAGGCTTATATCAAATCTGTCGTCTTAAACTCGAATTATAACATAAAGGTGGTCCTAAGAATTCTGATTATTTCATTTTCTTGATTCAGCAGCACTTTTGTATCTTGCAGAACTAAGTTGTTCTAATAACACGCGCCTATCGAAGACTGAGAAGCTTTTTGAAATTGCTTAGCTGAAAAGAGAATACTTTTCTTTAAAAGGTTTGATTTTCTTCTATTTCACAAGTCTTGATTTTTTTCATCAAGTTTCATTTTCTCTTGCGTTTATTTTCCAAACCTAAATAATTCATGTTTCTTCAAACTCCACATATAGGAAGCTCAATTTATTTAGAATTCACAACTCGAAATGATGAACCAAATTCAGCCCAATATCATAATGTCGTTGTTTCGTCTCTAATTTTTATCGAAGTACTTTTCAAATTCTGATTTAGATTGTATTTATCTACCTATAACATATGTAGAATAGGGTACTGGAAGAAAACATGAGAGGTTTATCCCAGTTTCCTTGACAACCTGCCTCTTTTCAATATTATTCATAAATGAATAACATAAAGATTTTCCAGTTTTCTTGTAATCATAACAATTGTACACTTGCAAGTAACGTAGTTGAATCAGAATAACTTTCAATTTGGATATGAATTTGCTCCTTCACTGGAAAGTTTTGTGTGCAAATACTCATGTATTCCAGCACTTTAATACTGAAAGCGTAAGTTAGAATAATATATGATATCTTAGGGAAGGCAAGGAATTCTCTAACAAACATTTTTTTATAAGTGTAAGGATAACTCAGAGGTTAGGGTCACAGACTACAGATTCGAGGGTCACAGACTACAGACTAAATCATGAAGACTCTGGTACACAAAGTATGTCATGACCCAATTTTCACTTTGAGTGAAGACAGTAACCAGCATTAATTTCAATTTCAGTAGTCTAGTGGTGTGGCCACATCGAGAGAAAGGAACACTTCTCTACTCGGGATCATTTTAGTATCATAATAACTACCCTTGAAAACTAATATAATCTAACGTTAAAGGTTGAGTTGATTAGAATTTCAGAAGAAGCGTTTGTTAAAATTTATCAGCCTCATTATTAACATAGCATATAAAATAACGGATGAAAATAATGTTAAAGGCAAAGATATATTTCTTCTTGTTGTCTTTCAGCAGTTTGAGGTGCAAAATTTTCCAGAAATGAAGCTGCTTCTACCATTTATGTCTTGCGTCATTGTGTGCTGGAGCTGTAAGTAAAACGATTTATGACCATGATACGTTAAAGCTTTTTCTAATAAGGAAATGCAAGTCAAATGAAATGAGAGCTAAAAGCAGGCTATAAACATTACCCTTCTTACTCCCCTTGAAAACCATCACAAACATGTCGCTTTTCAGGTTAGTTTTTCTTGGCCTAAGACGTTGGTGTTTGATATTTCGTTTATTACCGTGCATGATGCCTCCCCTGATTTCACACGCTGGCTATTAAACCACTGCTCTAGGATTTATCTCACTGTCTAGGATAAATCTCATTGTCTGATATTATCATTGAAACAGCTTTAAAGACTCATTGCTAACAATGAGCCATTGCGCTACGCAAGCATCCCATAATGCATTTTCAGACAGTCTGAAATCAATTACGGTTAATTCGTAGAAGTTTACTGCCATTGTTTGGATTGTCGCCTGGATAATTTGCCACCCTCGCAAAGGCTCATTGTTAGCAATGAGTCTTTAAACTCAATTAAATTATATGAGGATCGATTCAATGAAGATAACTGGAAACTTGGTGTTTGCGCATGTGTGTATAAAACAAGACGGTTTTACACGGTTTTTTAGCAGAGCAATACAGTCATTGATACAACCATTTTGTCTCTTTACAGTACAGGTTGCAAGAAATCTAGAAAACGTCGTCTCTAACCAAACAGCCAGGCTAACAAATGTTACTGTGAATCAAACAGTGAATTCATCGGTAATAACATCTCTGGGTATTGCTACAAATACTACCTCCTTCAACAACAACAATACCCTTCAAAATACGGTAGAAAACGCAACAGATATCAATTTGGTGGCTTCTTTACCAAACATCACAAACTTTGATGTAAACCTGAGGAATGGTACGTCGGGGAGTAGAAACCTGAGCAACATCTTGGATATCACCAATGTCAATATAAATAAGTCGCAATTGCCAAGTTCTAAAGATAGTCAAGTTGAGGAAATTTTATCCCATGTTGGACCTGGTGATAAATCTACTATAAAATACGAAGCACGTTTGCTTCGAGACATCATGGGCAATTACAGCGCTGGAATGCGACCCGTGCAATCATCTAAAGTCCCTGCAAAAATCAATTTTGACATGAGGCTGGGCAAACTTGTTGATTTGGTGGGTATTTTCTGTCAAACCCCTCTCTGTATTGGCCAAAAATGTTTCAACATATTTTTCAGTATTTTGCCATTAAGATAGTATGAATAACTTTGACAGCAAAAAATAACCCTGATTGTACAGGTATGATTTTTGAACCTCATTTCTTCTAGATGATCCTTTATGTTCTGTTAATCAGAATTCCTTGATTTTAGTTTGAATTCTTTTCATCTTATTTTAATCGCATTGATGATCAATTTATTGCAAATTTCCTTGCCCATAGTTTATAATAATATTTCCTTGCCAATGTATATAGTTTCAACATTTTCTAACCTAATACGGTTTCTATTCAATTACTGTTTTCTTTAGCAATTTTCTTTTTTCATTCGTGTATCCACGTATTTCTTTTCCATTACTGTTTACAACCACCCTTATGTCTGCCTCAAAACCAGCAATGGGATTGTCCAAATTTCTATCAAAGACCCAAGATGGAAGAGACTTGTCTAACTACAAATAAAGTCAGAGTTAAAAAAATCAATAAAACCCTACAAATGTTTCTTAAACCGAGGGACTAAATTTACTCAAAACAGTGGTTTGCTCAGACTTGGCACCAAGCTTGTGGTACACAGTTGCAGGGAAACTACTCTGAAATGGAGATCATTATTATTGTTATTTAAGGCAGAGGAATATCTGGTGCCCCGACTCAATCATGAATATTTAGAAACCCAATCAAGACCTTAAATACCCTTTCTTAAATAAAATGTATTTTTTCCCAGGACACCAAAAGCCAGGTTCTTGTGATAGATGCGTTCGTAATCATGGTAAGTGTTTCTTGCAAAAATTGAAACAGTTTCCTTATTTGCAAACAAAGCGCTGGTGAATGTGGAGAGTTTAAAACCGTTCCCTCCTTTATCCTGATAAAATCTTTTAAATTTACAACCAATGAAGCAAAAAGATCACAAACGCCCTAGTAAAACAATCGCCTAGTTTAATAAAGCCCCCTTCTCGTAGAAGCCCCCTTCTCGTATAAGATCCCCTTCTGATATTAGCCCCCTCTCGTATATGCCCCCTTTATTACGCTCTCAGTCTTCAAGAAATCAGCTAATTGATTACAACTTTTTACAATATTTGTTGCATTACAGCACCTATATGTTGTTTCGTATTACCTAATTAAAAAGTTGATTGCTTTTTTTAAATATGCTTTGTTTTCTAAAACACCCATCCCCTTAAGGTCCCGTTTGAATAAGCCCCTTCTTCATCACCAAGTTTTGAAATCTATTTGTATCTCAGACTCTATTCGGAATTTTATTTGTTTTTTGCTATCTTGAAGTGTTTATCCTATAAAATTTCCATGCCACGATAACCCATTTATCTTCAAAATATTGACACAAATTATTTCTTGAATTAGCGCTGGGTCGACCCTCAGCTGCAATGGAATCCACGAAATTACAATGGAACTGACATTGTAAATATTCCAAGTTCGAAAGTTTGGACTCCTGATATTGTCCTTTACAACAAGTGAGCTGATTATTTGTTCCTCATTTACTTTGTACATACTTTTATCTTTTCTATTGAGACAATTACAGCATTGTTGCTCTTAGAATTTTTTACCGGAATTTTAGGATAGAAATTTCTGGTCGATGATGATGACATTTCGACCGACGTTTACTCCAGTCCTGAACTGAAAAAAATGCTCTTTTACAATTACATTCTCAAAAAATTTTTATAAAGAGTTCAGAAGTACTGATTTCACAAAAATCTCTTTCTATAATTTTTGAATTGGATCACATAACTTGAAAAAGCATCTTGAAATACCCCCTGATTTGCAAAATTAGTTCAACGTTATACAGACTGGCTAAGATATGGGGCATTAGCAAAGGCTCGTTCCTCGTCAAATCATGTAATTTGTTCTCTGTTTGAAATTTTATAAGCCAAGCCAGGATAACAACAGTTGTCTGTAAGCAAACTTAAAATCTTTTTCTAAAATCTCCACTAGCTGAATCTCACCAAATTTGTACTTTATTTAACTGATTATGGATATTCTTTTGTGACTGGCAAAGAACCGAAACACGTGGCTTTTGCAAATGATGTATAATAGCGAATTCCCTAGCATAATGCTAATCTAAGTGTGAGGGTAAACTTGAGCGAAAATGGCCAAATTTTCCATAAAAAAGCAAGGTATAAATGAGAAGACAAAGCCCTTATTGTTCCATTTTTTAATCTTTTTATAAAAAAGATGTTTCAACTATTGATCGATATTTCCCTTCACAGTAGCGTAGCCAGGGTGGTAAGATTTGGGTCAGGGATGGGCAAAGGAGGGGTGAGTGATGGAAAAATTGGGATTCATACTCTTTTGAACGCCAGAAAATCTTTTTTCACAGTTTTTATTGCTATTGGCCCTCCGCCCCCTCTTGCCTCTCCCTAGCTACGCTACTAACTCTACAGTTACCTTGCAGCGTCGAATCTTCTTGAGACAAACTCAGCAGGCAAAATTTCATATTACCTAATATATGCGTAAGATTTTTCATTAAATTTAATTTTAGTGCTGTTAACATCGGGAAAGCCCACACTGACATTTACAGTGCACCCGTGGTTGTATTGTCCAATGGAAGCATAGTTTGGACCAATGCTGTCACTCTCAAAGCATCATGTGACATCGCAATCAAGCAATTTCCTTTTGATACCCAGGTACCATGTTTCATATTGTAAATGCAAGGTCTTAATTGTAATTAATAACACCGAGCTTGAATAAACGCTTCCATTCTTCACACACTAAAGAAAGGCTTTCCTTCTAATTAACAATCGCTTCTTATAAATGCCTTCTTCATATAGACGCTACCTCAATACATGAAACCATCAAAAACGTCTCATTTAAAAGTTTTGGCTCATAGGCTAGAGGAAGAGCAAACGCTTTTCTCGACCATTTAAAGAAATTCATCCTCTGGACATTTGCCTTTAGCTCTAAAAACCTTCCTCAGAAAAAATAAAACAAGGAGAGGTTTAGATGTAGCATTTAACTATATTATTTTCTCATTTGCCTTCCTACAGTCTTTGTCCGTGCGACCGCAATGTCTTCTGGGTTTCGCTTCAGAGGCATAGAAACAAATAAAGTGCATAAATTTTATTTTATTGCCCTTACCTCTTAATGAAAAACTATTTTTTTTCAGTTATTGGTTGCAAAATCAGCGAATGATATTGGAATAGGCATTTTTACTCTTACTTACATGCAGATGTATTCGGGCCTGAACTAGCCACAAAATTCATTCACATTAAAGAATTCTAAGACTTGCGTTTTTAATACAACAAGCCTTTATACTAGAATATTTTTCAAATATGAAGAATGAAGATAAAATTTGATGCAAAGCTACCTAGCTGGCCTATCTGCTAAAAGTTTCCAAGATCAAACATTACAACATGGGTTTCAATTCTTTGATAACATTTGCCTTCTTCTAAAAAAGGCTCAACTTTGTTCAAATTTTTCTCTTTTCAAGGAATGCCCCATGACATTCGGATCCTGGTCGTACTCTGCCTCCCGTCTGAGAATTGGGTTCATCAGTAGGCCACAAAGCAAGGCTGACTTGTCACAGTGTAAGTAAGGATATCATCTGTCCTGGCTGTTTATATTTTAATTCAGATTCATAGGTATTAATATCTGGTTTGTTTCTTGCCCCTTTGACAGTGATACAGATATTTGCTAACATATCTTTGGGGATTCAAAAACGTCCACTTCCATCTTCAGTCTTGAATGCTTGTAGGAGGTCATTGCTGTATAAAAAGAAGAGGAGAGGGCCAAGATATGAACCTTGTGGAACACTGATTTCCAACTCCTTCATATTTTAATCAATCTTACAGAATTTCGGTTTGTTAGGTAGGACATAAACCAAAGTAAATAAAATTGCTGTAAATTATATAGCTCGAGTTTTTTTGCAAAAAAAATATAATTGAAAGTATCGAATGTCTTCAATAAACACTAGACCCTTAAACGTACCTAGATTAAGAAAGTTTGATATAGATCCAATCCACTGAACCAGTCGTTAGTATTTCAGAGAGCCCTACGGCAACACTTTCAGAGACTTTCAGAGACTGGTCACAACACTTTCAAAGAGTCCTACGACAACAGCATGCGAAAGTTTTATTGGTACTATCTTGTAATTATTATTATAGTTTGCTATTTTTAAGTGGAATCATTCAAACTATTCATCGATTCAAAAAACTGATAGAAAATTGCTCGTTCACGGAAACTCTTAACAGAATTATTCCAGCCAAATTTGGGCTTGCTTGTTAAGGGGGGCTGAGCCCCCGAGCCTCTTCTCCATGGTACCCCTGCTTCTATCTACCCACCTAGGGACTTCGAAACTTTTCAGATCCAATAGCCATGTCTTCAATCAACAGAGCAGAGCGTCTCCATAAATAAAAAGTTGAAACTTAGTTTAAACTAAGTGTTCTTAAAAACTCCCTGAAGCACATTTACAAAAGCAAGCAACCCTTGAAAATGCCCTCTTTTGCCCTCTCTTTTTGAAAAAGCATTTGCTATTGGCCAAAGGGCAGATTGGACCTGACGCAATAGCACAAAAACGGCCCATAATTGGGTCTATTCAGCTTCAGGAAAATTCTCGTCTGTTTTCATCTGATCCGATTTCAGGAATTTGCCTACACTATTTATCCAGTCCTGATTGCTGCTGTTGAATCCTAAGTTGCTAAGTTTCATCAATATGATATTCATAAGTTAACGTATGAAGTTATCGTTAAGCTTATTTTAGAGCTATTAGCTGAATCATGGTATTATTGTTCAATAAACTGGTCTGTTCTTCCAGCAAATTTCTACAACCAAAAAGTACAATTGTTTATTTTTAAACTTATTGATAGCATTAACATAACACAGGATTCTAAAGGATTCAAGGAAATCACACATCATACATGACATATAATGATTTTTTTATGACATATAATGAGCTATAAGTTCATTTAAGCTATTAAGTTCAGCTTTAGAGCAATAAACTGATCTGTTCCTCCAGCAAATGGCTACGTCACAAACGGAGTCTGGGAGTTGATAGACGCCAATTCAACTTTGTCAACCAGAAGATATTCCTGCTGTGCAGAGCCGTTTTCGCAAGTAGAATATAAATTCACATTGAAACGACGTCCTACTTTTTTTCTTCTTTATCTCGTCTTTCCTTGCATGGCAATATGCTCCCTTTCATTGGTATCATATGTCATACCTCCAGAGGCTGGCGAGAGGATTGGTTATGGGGTGACGGTAATGCTAAGCTTCAGCGTTTATCTCATTGTCATATCGGACAAGCTGCCTGAGAATTCTGACACAACTCCACTTCTTGGAATTCTGTATGTTGTTTCCTTTTATTTGTTGGTGTTTTCGTTCGTTGCCTCTACGTTCAACATTCGGCTGTATTATGCTAAAACTCGGCCACCCCAGTGGCTTGTGACTTTGGCCAAAGGCTCAAAGAGAACATGCACGATTTCATTTAGAAAGAAGCAGAAGATTGGAGATTTGTCGACAAAGGTAGATTTACGACCGGCTGAAAAGGGTGGCCATGAAATAAAAGGGAAAGGAGCTGTTGATGCAGATTTTGAAAGCAGTGGCGAAGCGGAGGCTTCTTCTGAAAAGATGGAGAACAAGGAAGGTAAGAGAAAGCTCATTTAAATCTTTTATTATAGGGAACATAGAGCTCCTTCTCAACTTTTGACTAAAAGTTTCACTCCTGAAAGTGACAACATTCATTGCAAACTAGCTTGGACTGTAGAGCTTTTGTGATGTTAGCAATAAATGAAAGGAAACGTAGAGCTTACAAAAGCTCGAGAGGCTACTCTTTATCGACAATTTTACCGCGACTTTGATGGTTCTGGGGTTGAATTTTTAGCTAAAAAAATTTTCTTGGCCAAACTCAGTGCAAATTTTTCCCTTGCAGTTAGCATTTTTCTTCGTTTTTTATTGAAAAACGGACAATGACTTTAAGCCGACTCCCAGTTTTTAGTTCAAACACTAAGGCCTCCCGGCTACTTTGAAGCCTATTTTGATATGTTAACTTTAAACAGGCCTCTGTTTTTAATAGAAACACAGAAGGTTTTGGCAAGGGGCAGTCGAAACGAGATTCATGTTGGGTAGTAGGGGTTTGAAGAAGAGCAAAGATAACAAGGCACCTATTGGAATCAACTGGAGTTTTATAGCCTCCTAAATATCCACCCACCCCCTACCCATCCACCCACCCCTTACCATCCCCCACCCCGCTACTCATCACCCACACCCTACCCATACCACCCACCAGCTACCCATCCACCCACGCCCCTACCATCCCCCACCCCTACCATCCACCCACCCCTACATCCACCCCCTACTCCATCCACCCACCCTCATCCATCCACCCACCCCTACCATCCACCCACCCCTACCCATGCCACCCACCCCCTAAACCCATCACCACGCTACCATACCACCCACCCTACCCATCCACGCCACCCCCTACTCATCACCCACCCCTACCATCCACGCACCTACCCATCTCCCCACCCTCCTACCATTCCACCCCCTACCCATCCACCCACCCCCTACCCATCCACCCAACATTTAGAGCAACAACATTTAGAGGAAGAGTGGAATGCTACAGATAATTTGCAAAATCTAGTTCACTATACCAAGGCTTTGAAAGCATTGTAGCCCAAAATCACTTTCCCCGGTTTCCTTAGACCTTGGCTTTAGAAATAAATATCCGGGAACCACCACCATTCACTCTGATGAAACCCTGTATGCCGGGGTGAAATATTAATAATTGTTTATTTTATTTATTTTTAAAAATATCATTGGGTTCTCGTCGCCGTTTTGCTTTGTTCCTGAATTTTATCTTCGTATTTATACTCATTGCAAGATTCACAGAATCCAGCGGACAGCCTATCCTGCGGTTCTTCCTTCTTACCCAACCACTGTAAGACCTTGTTCGCCTTCCTGATTTTTACTTCTAATGACGATCAAATTTAATTTCAGATTTGTACCAAGAACAGTGGAGAGAAATTTCAGCTTTCTTGGATAACGTATTTTTCATGATTGTTGCGTTTGGTATAATTGCCACTCCAGTTATAGTTACTTTTATGTTCTAGAAGCACTTTTAAGATATATCTATTGTAAAATAAATGTTTAGGACGAACATTTGATCTACACTGTAATGTGGGTATAGGGGAGATTCGGCTGGATTGACTCATTACAACTGGCTTGTGTACTGTAAAATATACACGATAAACACATAATGATAAAATCATTCCATACTGCCGACAAAGCCCGGAAAGAAGCTATTTAAATGTGTAAGCAAGGGGTGCCTGGAAAGGGGTTCGGCGCTTTAGCCCCCTTGGGAGACTTCTGGGGGCTCAGCTCCCCTTAACAAGCGATCACATGTTTGGTTTGACGCCGATCCTTTAGCATACTTCCGTGAATGAGAAATTTCCTATAATTCTTTTGATTCAGATAATAATTTAAATGATTTCATATACACAACAGAGAATCTTTTACACTAACTTTAGTGTATTGGGTATAGTTATGGATGTGGCTTCTATAAGTTGCCTACAAAAAGCCCCCCTCCCCCTCATTCTAACATTTTAGGACGGCATCTCTGTGGGTCTTGAAACATCAAGTGTTACATTTACAAGGTTTCTCCCTCATCGTAAAAGTAGGCTTTGTGTTATCGAATGCTTGATGCATGAAAAAATAAAGTACAATCAATTTTTAACAGTGAAAGAAAATATCCTTGCCCCACAGTGGTGTCGCCACAGGGTGTACTCGTGTGGACATGTCCACCCCCAGTTTTCTCAGAAGTCAATTTTCTAATTTCTCGAAATCCGTTGAAAAACCTTGGGGTTAGCTGATCAGATCGATTTCAATTTTCGCACTCACTGGCAAAAAAGCCACCTTTACAGATCAAATGGATCTAACAGATAGAGAATAGATCAAAATAGATCAAAAATACTAAAAGGAATGATTTTCCAAGAGTCTGAAGGGTGTGGTCGAGAAAATTTGTTTTCGTCCGCCCAAGTTTTTTCAAGCTGGTGACGCCACTGTTGCCCCATTCTTTATATTATTCCATTTTCTTGATTTGATATCAAAAGTTTACTCTAGAATAAAGGAGGGATTTTTCTCCGGGTATAAGAAAAGTTGTTAATGCGTGTAAATGCGTGACGTAATAATAAAGGATATGATTGCACCTTTGGCTTGTTTTTCAGATTTCCTTTGATTAACATAAATCTATGTGAAACTATTTGAATATTAAAGTTATGAAGTATATTGATGTAATGAAGATCACTTTTTACTAATCCGTGGTCCTAAGTTGCTACTAAGAGCGATAAAGCTGTAATCTTGTTATCATTAGTTTCGCAGTTATTGCGATCACCGGTGCTGTAACTATAGATGTGATTATTGTAACTATCTCAAATTAATTGCAACATATGGATCGAAACTAAAAGCAACATAAATGTATTGCTATTTAAACACTAACAGAGTATGTAAAAATATTTCACCATATGCACGATGTATTAAGCTGTGTGTCGATGTTGAATATCTTTTACCCTTGTGTTAATAATTCACTGAGTTGTATCTTATGCAAGCTGCATTTGTTCAAAATCTTGATTGACTGAGTTTGATCACATGCAGATCTTTTTTATCATTTTGAACAATAGCAGGCTAAAATGTGAATTCCAGTATCCAAGTTTATAACTTTTTATCGTTAGAAAATTTTGGAGGTTGGAAAACCAGGTCAGTAAAGACAATCTCTATTTCTGATTTTTTTCAGAAAAAAAAATCAAATAATTCGATTGCCAGATTATTCAATTTTTTCTAATTCGAATAAAAAGATTTCCCTTCAAAATTGTTCCTGTTTAAACTATCTTTGTTCATTATACTTTCGATAACTCCACACATAAATGAGATCGTGACCAAGGCTGGAGGGGGGGGGGGGTGTAGGCAAAAATGAAAACTTTTCATATTCGGTTCCAGACAATCGACCCCTTTTTAAGACTCCAATGCCAAATTCGTTCAAAAAAGATGCAATAGCACTGAACGAACCAGTTCATGGAAATTAAAATAAAGTGTCTTTTCAGAATCGAACTTACTGGCCAAATTTACACTGCATAACTATAAAGCCAACACTGCATAAAGCTATACCCTTCTTGGTTCATGTAGAAGTGGGGGGTATGTTATCTACTTTAGGCATTCGCATTGCAACCTACTACAACAACGCAACATGAGTACAGAATTGCAAAAAGCTTTTGACCTTCCTCCAGACCTGTCATCTGTCGCCTCGACCTTTCTTAATTTAAAGCGATAGGAAAGTACTGAAAGCAGAAACAGCTGAGACGTGTTTTACTGTAAAAGCTCTATTAAGCCCCTGGGGGGCTTATTTGTTTTTTTTCAATTCTAGAGGGGGACTTAAAAGAGAGGGAGCTTATTAGAGAGAAGGGGCTTATTATAAATTTGAAGTAGAAAATGTTTTAAAAATGCCCTTGTCTTTTTTTGTTATAAAATGTAATACAAATGTTCCCAAAAAACTTTGCTAGCAGCTTCGAAAGTCTAATTAATCAATTATAAAATCTTCATCGGAATGACCAGGATCAATTGATAACCCTGGGAAATTTTCTAAACAAATCTCGCTTGACTTTTTAGGAGCACAAGCAAATCTTTACATGGGCCGTATTTAATGCATACGATCTTATTATCATCACACCCACTAAATGCGCATGTTTTTCTTGTCTGACAACAAGGTCTAAAGAGGAGGGGGCTTAATAGAGAGTGGGGGTTTATTAAAAGTTTTTGCTTGATAAGAAGGGGCTTGATAGAGAGGGGGCTTAATACTTTCTGACCATGAAATCGCATCATATTATCAAAATATTTTTCTTTGGAAGGATCAATAGAATATATTTCTTCAAACATCTAAGACTTAATTGATGGTCACAAACCGATATTATCGTGCTAATATGTCAATTTTTTACAGGTGTATTTCCTACCGCCGGTACGTTATAAAGAAATTGCACTTCCATTCTATACAATTTTTTACTGAATCGAAATTTTACATCGTGATATTGCAATACCCTTAAAAATAATAGCTCAAACTGGCAAATCTACTAACTAAAATGGGATATTTAATTGAGGAGATACCAAACTGCTTGTCTTTCACATAAAAACTACCCCTCAAACTCTGTGATCTAACTCCCCTATATCTGGTCAATGCACTGTCAATGCCTACTTTTAGCAACGTCAAATCTGGTGTACTGTGTGTTGAAATGTATGAAACATAAATAAATAATCAAGATAGCAATATTTTATAAAGATATTGAATATAACATACGTGCTTATCGAAAATTATGATAGACACTTGGATGAATGGTATATGCACATGTATTTTTTCGGCCAAAGCTACTCATGCTGGCCTTATTAATTAGATCTATTTATCTTGTTGATTTCCCCGCATTTCAGCGTGGTAATTGGTTTTGTTTAATAAAAAGAGATAGGCAGTCCTTACAGAACCATATGTTGATGTCCAATCGTTGTCCTAATTAAAATCCCTTGAAATTCCAGATTTCAGCATCAGCATTGGGTGTAACAGATGAATCTTGATTAATCTGATGAGGATTACTGAACAGGTAAGAAGAATATTCGTGTTCATTTCAGTAAAGTAATAAATGAGATTTCGACTAAGTTTGTTGATAAGTAGTATCTGACACATTGGCACATTGGTAGGTACATTGGCACATCTTCAAAGAGTTTAATTAGTTGATCCGTAAAACTTGAATTACCAATGTGTCTCATGACGTTGTTGGTCAAAATTACACTCTTCTTTTCATTATCAGAACAAAATAATTTTTACTGATGCTCCATGTTCTTATTCTTTCGATAATCTGAGCCTCAGGTGTTTTCAATGTTGCTTTTATTTCAACATTTTTCTAAAATTGTACACCATAAACCATCAACCGTCAACTACTTGTTTTTATTTCTAGAAATTGATGGTGTGAACATCCTTTTGAGATGAGGCTATTCCTTTCACTCTTGTCGTGCATTGTCGCGTGCTTTTGCTGTAAGTACACTATGGCCTATAAAACTCCAAAAACAGCCACTTTTAAATTGGAGTGTGACAATTTATCTTCTTTCTTGCTTTTAATTTGCATACTGAGTTAAGTTCTCGTATCAATGCATTAATTTTTTGTAATATTGCATATGTTCTTTTCGTCTAGTTGTTTTATAGTATGTTTACTTTTACTAAATTTTATGTGCTTGATTTTGATATATATAAGCCGAACTAAGCTAAACTGAAAGTATCGAAGTTAGTTCAGGTAAAACTCAATTGATATCATATTGTTACAATGACTGCTTCTCGAACAAACAGCACATAACGTACTGGATTTGGTCTCCAAAAATAAAGAACAGCTTAGAATTGCTGGCTAAAAAGTTGTATATCATGAATCTCCACCTTTGAATAACTGTTGTAATAATTGATATCGAGACAATTTAGTTTAGAGGAGAGGCTGGGCTGGAATTCGGTTCTGCCCCTTTCTTATTGGGAATCCTATCTAATGTCTACACCAGGACTGTGGCTCAATGCCTTATCAGTGTAGTGCACCAGAACAAGCCTTAAATTTTAGATTTCGGATACATCAAAACGTCCTGTGATATAAATGTTAAGTTCCTACCATCTTTGTTCTTCTACAGTCGAGCCAACTCCACCAGTGCAGGTGCATACTGTAGGGAGCACGGACGAAGAAATCATGCATCGTTTTTTAGGCCCAGGTGATAAAAACACTATCAAATATGAGACTAGCTTGCTTCAAGATATTCTTGGAAACTACAGCAGCGGCATGCGGCCGGTGCAATCTTCAAAAATGCCAGCGATTATTCAGTTTGACTTGAGGCTAAACAAACTTGTTAAGCTGGTGAGTGGTGAAAACTTGTGTATTCATTTACCGGGCTTAGAAACGTAGATTTTAGAGGGGCACCAGGAACACAAGGGCTCAGTTCTTTGATGGCTGGAGGGACAGGGAGAAACAAAGTCCACCAAAACACCAAATTAGTTAGGAATGTTTGCTACTTTTTTAGAATTTGTAGCGAGGTTTGTCTTCAATTTTCTTATAAAGTTGATGCCCGCATTGGCTAAGCTTACCTCAATTTGCTTTGCCCCACAACTTTCAGATGTTCCCTTGGTCTTTAGGTCAGGGCTCATAAGGGGTTGTCGTCCCTTAGAAACGTCTTTTGTTGCTATTCGCGTACGTACGCTTGTAAAAGGATGCCCCATATATCGATGAATGTAACGTTTTCCTTTTGATCATTTTGATTATGAGCGACAATAAGCAAGCGGTTGATGATTCATCATTCTATAGGTTCATGATTCTAAATATATTTCCATTCTTACGGAGTGCTGCCTTTCAGAATTATTTTTTCCTTTAGTAGCAACAACCAATGGCGGCGCCGGTGGAAGGGGAAGGGACTAGGAGGGACATTGTATTGTACTGTATTGTAGATCATTTAATGTTGGTTTCTACAATATTGAATATACACTTATCAAGACTAACATGAAGCAATTTCAAGGATTGCACAAGACAGTTCATTTACTGCAAAATGAGCATGCGCCCTTGTTTTCAAGGAACCAAGTTTTGATCAAATTCTTAAATTGTCTAGTATTTTGTGCTGTCTTTATTGATTCCGGGAGTGAATTCCAGATTTTAGGCCCTTGAAAACTTAATGATCTGATACCATTATTGGTAGTTCTGGCTTTTGGAATGTCAAGGGGGTTTTTGAGTCGAAGGTTATGACCTGTTGTTTTGGGTACAAAATAGTCTTTCATGAAAACAGGTTGTTAAGTGTTTTATAAACTTTGGGCGCTAAAATTCTAACTGATTGGACATGTTTGGTAGTTTCTTTTGAGTTAGCAAGTAATGCCCATCCTAAAGTTTTCTGCAGGACTCTTTTTGTATTCCGTCTAATTAGATGAAAAATTATGGGACTGCGGAAACATTTTGGCAAAGTTTTCTTTTTGTTGTGCTTCATTGATTGTTAAACTAGATTTACGTTACCAAACCTTTGTCGTGGTCATTCCCTATTGGGAAAATTGTCGTTCCCTGTTGGAAAATGGAGCTTTCTTACGATAAAAAGAACGTGGGCTGAATTTTTGTTATTTTGTCCATCTCTCCTCATCGCAGCCTAGTAGTTGGCGCCGTTATTGGCAACAACACTAATGTTTTCTAATACAAGCAATGAACTGAATGCATATTTCTTTCAGGATACCAAAGAGCAAGTTCTTGTGGTGGATGCCTTTGTAATTATGGTAGATGTCTTTCAATGATCTTTAGAGAAACGCTCGCAAACTTTATGTGCAAAGCTAAGCTATGTATTACCCACAGACGCCCTATTTTCATTTCCAATCATGCAGTAACATTGAAACATTTATTTTTCTGATTTTGACTTTTTGTTTCCAAAGAAGAAAATGTTGAGCACATATGACAATGCATGGAATTTACAACAAGAAATACAGATATTAATGATTTACTGGGAAATGACCGAAAAAACTGCTCTGGATTTAAAGAGTTGCACCTATTTCTTCAGTGAATTAGAGGCTATAGAATCCATGCCTATGTTGTTGTTTAAAAATTTGAAGAGCATTTAAGTGCACCGGAATGGAGAATCGTGACCTGTTCATAATTATTATTATTATGCAATGATTATCTTGTACCACATTAATTTAGGGTGCTTTGAAACAGAGCCGTTGTTTTGAATATGACTAAAACGCTACCCGTATTCAAAGCCAAGTTGAATTACACCTAAAGAGAAATGCGACAATGGACATAATAGGAGTGTTCAGTTCTCTTACTGTTTTAAATTGGGTGCATATAAGGGTAACCCAATTTTGTGTGTCTCTCCCCCATTTAGGCACTCTTCTACACTTGTGCTAACTCGCGAGAAATTTTAACTTACTTTGTCAAGAAACAGCGTACCAAGAAAATGGTATCTTTCTACAGAAAATTTTAGCATCCATTTACACAGGAATTCTGTAAGATCCAATTTATGCTCTGCCAGAAATTTTGGTTTTTGGTTTTTTAAAGCTTTTAATCCTAGTTTTAAGCTTTTATCTCACAATAATGACATCGAATTGTATTTTTAGCGTTGGCTTGACCCTCAGCTGCAATGGAATGCAACCAATTACAACGGAACTGACATTGTAAATATTCCAAGTACGAATGTTTGGACTCCTGACATTGTTCTTTACAACACGTAAGTAAATCGAGCGTTTGAACGTTAATGATGTTTGCTTTTTAACATAGTTCCCATTGTTCTGTGGACTCATTAAATGCAACATACATAATATGTCTCGGTAGGTTCCATTTTGATCAGAAACTAGAAAATTTGAAAATGACTTCTTTGAGAAAACGAGAAAAGGTACAAGTCTTTATAACCAGAAGACGAGTAAACATCTCTGTCATGTTTTGTAATTCTAAAATACAAAAAGTGATTCCATGAAGTGGATTATTTTCAATTTATAAAATTAGACTATTAGAGACTGGATCGTATTATATTTTTACTTTGCTAATATTTTGTCAGACAATATTGACAGCGTTCCCCTTTTGTTATTTATTGTAAGAAAAGTCCAACGTATGTCATTTAGCGTATTGAAAGCCTTATGATATTGTCAAACGAAGACCTTATATACTTATTTTATTGAAGAACACTTAGTTATTTCTCGGTGAGCCATACTCTTGAGGAGTGTATCCTCCTTTTTTAAGCCATGTACGAGATTGTTCAGAACAATAGGATTTTTAGCAATTTAGAAGATTCTTTCGAAACAAAGGAAGGCCTATCTTACAAAGACCTGACTTTGGGACAGTCTAATCCTTTTTTGCTTTCTTTTATTTTAGCGTTTTTAGTTTTTTTCTCTATATACTCTATATTCAAAACATTAATTCCTGTAATCCTAATTACTTTTGCAGTGCTGATAGTTTCAAACGAGCCTACACGGACATCTACACTGCACCAGTCATCGTTCGATCCAACGGCAGTGTTTTATGGACAAATTCTGTGACTCTTTCAGCTTCATGTGACATCAACATTAAATGGTTTCCTGTCGATTCCCAGGTGATTATTCGATCATTAACTTCTTTAAAGCTGTTAGTTTGATACAGTGATGTATGCAAGAGGGAAATAAGAGGTCTTGTAGCTTGTGCCCCAGTCCACAAATGCAATTGCAGCATTTGTGGACTGGGGCGCAGGCTAGAGGTCTTGATGCTTTCCCATAATCAGCACCACAAAAGCATGAAATATAAAATTCATATCTTCGATGAACTTTTTGTGCCAATCCTAAACTGGGTCAAAGTCTCTGTATGAGTGACAAGATTTCGAAACGTTTGAACTAGTTCTCAAAACGAGGCTGTTTTATTGCTTTGGTATTGTAGCTTGTGCCCCAGTCCACAAATGCAATTGCAGCATTTGTGGACTGGGGCGCAGGCTAGAGGTCTTGATGCTTTCCCATAATCAGCACCACAAAAGCATGAAATATAAAATTCATATCTTCGATGAACTTTTTGTGCCAATCCTAAACTGGGTCAAAGTCTCTGTATGAGTGACAAGATTTCGAAACGTTTTAACTAGTTCTCAAAACGAGGCTGTTTTATTGCTTTGGTGCTTTGATCACAAATTGACCATTTGAACTGCTGATATAACGCAACACCTACCCTCCTTTACGTTAAGATACCTTCAAATAATAATTGATAGAAGGTTGGAGATGGTTATGGTAAACAGCTTCTTTCAGAGAGGGCTCTTGCCTGTGCTCCAGACTTTTAACTTCAAAGTAGTAATTTGCCAGTGGAAAAGACAGATGAGATTCCTGCAGGAATAAGTTAATATGTATCGCTAATTTAGTTTCCTCATCTATGTTACAGCTAACTAAAGGTAAATGATTTAGCAGAGGCTACTCTTTAACATCAGATCGTGTTTCTGCTTCTAGAAATGTCCCATGACCTTTGGATCTTGGTCTTACACTGCCCCCCGTCTAAAAATCATATTTGGTTATCAACCAACAAGTACACATGAAGTAACCGAAGGTAAGTGATGATTTTATCTTTACTAAATCTGGAATAAAACAAATTGCAGGGCCGGATCCAGGACTTTACCTATGGTTGGGGTGTATTCCTTCCGACGTGGGCAAGCCCCAGAGGGGCGAAGCTAAAACAAACATTGCCCAGTTTAGGGGGCGTACCTCCCAACGTCTCCCTGGATCCCAACCTCTATTTCAGGTTTCTTTACTGCATGTAGAACTCAAACCTGTATATTTTCATTGCTAAGTTCATATTTATTTATTTGCATGCTTTGTTATCAAACTACAATTTGACTTCAATAAGGAGCTTTGGAATTTACTTCATTGCATTTTTGCTTTTTAGATTCATTCTACATTTCAAATGGAGTTTGGGATTTTCTAGATTTCTCTTCAGAATATTCGACAAAGAAATATGCCTGTTGCGAAGAGCCATTTTCGCAAGTTGAGTATAAATTTGAGCTAAAAAGACGTCCTACCTTCTTTCTACTTTACCTTATTTTCCCATGCATTGCTATTGTTGTTCTTGCTTTGCTTTCATATCTCATACCTCCGGAGGCTGGCGAGAGGATTGGTTTCGGAGTTACAGTTATACTCAGCTTCAGTGTTTATCTCATCGTCATATCGGACAAGCTACCCGAGAAATCTGACACATCTCCACTTCTTGGGATCCTTTATGTTCTCATCTTTTATATGTTGGTGTTCTCTTTTGTTGCCTCTACAATTAATGTTCGGTTGTATTACAATAAATATCGCCCACCCAATTGGCTTGTGAATTTGGCTCAAGGCTCAAAGAGAACATGGACGATTTCATTTAAGAAGAAGCAGAAGATTGGAGATATGACAAAAAAAATTGAAGTTCGATCGGCTGGAGACCACGACCGTGAAATGAAAATGAAAAGAATCGCTGATGCAGATTTTGAAAACAGTGAAGGGGGCGATGCTTTTCGTGAGAATTTGGAGAACAATGAAGGTAAGATAATTTCAGTACTAATCTTCAAGTGCAATTTGGATAAATGAATGGTTACTTGTTGAAACATTTAAGCACCTGTTGAGTTAAAATGCCCTGGTATTATGAATGACCGTTTTTAAATGAGCTACAAGACATTGCAAAACTGCTTCAAGGGGCGTTGCCCATAGACCCCTCTCAATCGTAGTTTTGATACTTCATTTGTGTGCCAATTAATGTATATTCCTTGATTCAAGAGCTTCATGCATATTTTGTCGTATTTTATTCTAATGATAATTTTATATCACATGTTGCAAATATTCACTAAATGGTTCTCTTCCATTCCAAACTATTATTTAAAGACATTTATATGAACAGAAAGATTGGCTTCTATGACGAAAATTATAAGTACCATTGAGTTGATGAGATGTTGTTTGTCCAAAAGTTTAACCTTTTAATCAAAGACTGGCTGTAAAACTGAATTAAATTTTAAAATACACTTTTAGTATTGATATTGAACTTATAGAAGGGACTCTATAAATATTTTGATCGCAAAATATGGCCTTGAGTAACCCTTGAGTTTTTCCGCACGTAAAGGTTACATTCTTATATAATATACTAATATTCTGATCTGAGATGAATTTAAGGTGTAGTGAATAAGGAACACGGTAACGCCCCGAAAATAAACGACAACTAACACATGTAAATCAGCTATGGCTAATATTTTGCCATGGCATAAGGGGCTTCATTAGAGTAAAAGTGAATACACCAATTCGACTTACGACCTCGTTTTGGAAATTTCTCCAAACTTAAATATACGACTTTTTTAAGCTCAGATTTGGTTTTATCGTCATAATTTTAGGCGGGATACCATTTTTCATATTGGTTGAGCTTGTATTTTAGATTTAACCGAGAACTGAAGTTTGAAAACTTGTAAAGGATTTGACCGCAAAAATCGTTCCGGGGGAAACTTTACCCCCCTAGTCGCCAATCACGGTCAAATCCCTTATAAAGTTTTTATCTTTATGTCGTCATAAAATCAATATCGTGAGCAATATCATAATAAAAAATTACAAGTAGGCTAAAATCATTGCTGTCATTCCGAATCTGAGGTAAAAAATTTTGTACAAAAGAATTTGAAGAATTTTTCAAAATGAGGCCGTAGGTCGAATTGGTGTATTTAAATGTTTGTTTTCTAAAAAATTGCATTCTTTCTGCTCAAATATTCCCCCCCCCCAGTTTATATTCTTCTTTTTTTACATCAGCGAAATTAAAGGGGGCTAGAAATATTTATCTACTGAGTACATAATTCCTCTATTAATGTATATGAACCTAAACACGTGACAAAAACATTGCGTTTTCCTCACTGCTAAATGATAGCCTGTGTTCCAGACCCCTAACTTGAAAGCTACTAAATCACTGCTTCAGACACGAGATTTTTATTCTTAAATTTTGAAACTTATTTGGGTTTAGAATTCTTCCTTGACTTCAAGTTTTTTTTATACTCTGTACGTGTTAATTTCCTACCAAAGTTACTCTTTCAATTTCAGATTTGTACCAGTCACAATGGAGAGAAATTTCCGCTTACTTGGACAACATGTTTCTCAAAATTATGATTATTATTGTTGTAGTATGCCCTTTCATAGTTATTAAAGCACTTTAAAAGCATTAAAAAAAATTAAGATAAACAGGAATGTTTTACTCTCTGTTGGAATAGGAAATTACTGAGCTAAAAACGACGTGATTTAAAACTATTAAATTTCTCTTCATTGTCAAATACATATTATATCAAACAACTTACATATATATATATACAACTGTAACGCTTGTACAAATACGATACTTTAATTATCGCACTGACTTGGTGGCAATGTACCTTTTTATCCAATAATATACTCACAGTTTAATCGAGTCGTTTATTTTTGAGATGATTCCTCTTTTCCTTTCTTAGTGTTAAAGCCAATGGTCTTCCTGTGCTCATTTACTCTAAATTTATTACTGCACCTATCAATACCTCATCTTTAAGTGCTGCAATCAAACATAGCCTACGTGCAGACTCTGTTGACAAATTAAAAAGTCACAAATTGAGTGCATGCTATCAAAACATCGAAAAAGGACATTGCCTTGTCACAACTTACAATCAACAAGCAAATGTACCTTGATTTCATTTACAGCTTTATTTGAACAAAATACAAGCACCCTATGTTTAAAGCTCGACAACGTTATTGGCAAAGACCGAGATATAACTTTTCGTTTGGGGGGCCAGCCCTGATATATAACTGTAAACAACAGCCATATTTACAAAAAAGGTATTTTACTTGTGCAATTTAAGTTTTTTTGGGTGGGGGGGGGGGGGGGGGCGAGGCCTATATTAAATTTTCTGTAAGAAGTCAACAAAGCCATCATGCAAAACAGCATAATTATCTCACAATCGTCAGAATCTAATCTAGATTGTGCTCTGTCTGTTCTTCTTGCAATGTACTGTTTTCTTTGCTAAAAATAACCACTAATTGTTATTTGATCTACCAAAGCACAGAATTCATATTGGTTTTTAGCCGTAGGTATCCATATCTTTAGACCTTTGATTTAGACAATTAGCTAGACCTGGGTAGCCATTCTATGAATGGTTTCATCTTCCTGTACCGTTTTTTGAGATCAGTGATTTTGAAAGCAAATGTTGGGAATAACCAGGGGAAGGGGGAGGGGTTATTCCAAAGTTAAGGTACCTGGGGATGTACCACAAGCAAGGTTATATAAAAAAATACAAGGACTTTTGGGTTTTCGGTCTAGCCAAGAGTATACTTTCTTTGCAATTCTTTTCAAGCCAATGTCTAGCCAAGGTCTACCCAAGGTCTACCCAAGGGCACATTTGACAATATCAAAAGTAGTAATTTAATCCTGACAACCCATGAATGAAATAATTAAGTTTAGAACTTTATAATTTAGAAATGACAGGACGAGCCGCAACTCGAATCAGGAGAATTTACTTTGCATTGTTGAATGTGGGGCAGGTATCTTGTAATGTCCTTTTTACCTCTCTCTGAGCTTCATAAAGTAAAAAAACCAGTACGCCAAACCTTTCTCCTGGTACTTTTCGTTGATCTTTGGCGTCTGATCCTACCTCTCGTTATGGTGTTACCTCGTTTTGGATGGTCGTCAACCAAAATTTCAACATCTCTCTTGGGAGTCATAACACGAGTGAGTCTCGGTGAATCATTGGAAAGAAGGAGGGGGCTAACTTCATTTTTCATGACAAAAAGAAGGTTGGTATTCTTTAAATGTTATATTCGTTTTCTTTATCCATGCAAGTAATACCTTTTTAGCAGCATTTGTAACAAACGTAAGCATTCTTTCTAGTAAAGAATTCCCCTGTTTGTAAACAGCACATGACGGCCTAAAATTCCACCCATATTTTCCACAATTTGGACTTCAGCTGATAATTATGCCCATACATTGCCTTGCGTTATTTTCATATCCAACCTAGCTCACTTTCGATTTAGTTGTTTTATTTATTTTAGTGACGTTTAAGATTTTTAATGCCTTTTACCCGTGCTCTTTGGCCTTCGAGTAATCTGGACGGGACCGGATGCACGTCATAGAAAAGTTCACCTTTCGGACACCTAAGTCAAAGGAATGTAGATGAAATCAATGCATGATACCCAATGCTGTAAAGACAGCGAAATGAGATATTTAAACAGATATTTTCAATTAATGTCGAGAATTAACTGGGTGCTGCGAAGTTCGGCCACAAAGATATTGATAGCTTTGCCCACAAAGGTATTGATAGCTCTTGCAAAACAGTGTGGACTCGACTTTCCAAGCACGAGATATCTCATGGAAAGGAATTGGCATGAGTCACTAGTGCAGTGATGGTGCTATGGTGTGTCATGGGGGGCAGCTGTCCCCCAAAAAGTTCTTAATGACATCATCTGTCAGCAACCCAATATATTATGATTAGGAGAAAGTCGGCACCTTGAATCTGTCAAATTAAGAACCAACTATTTTTATAAGAACCATGTAATTGAAGTTCAAGCTGGCTTCTTGACTTTCATACATACATGCATGGTTGTTTTCTGTGGCTCTTCATCTCTTAAACAAATTTCATTGAATTTAAATTAGCTAAAAGTATTTTGAATAGTGTATAGAAGAAACTAGTATAACAATTATAATACTGTTAAAAAGTCATTAAAACTTTTAGGAAAGCTATTAAAACTGTGAGACTGGATGGTGCTTGATTTGTTCTTGGGTTTAAGCAGTGCGATTGCTAAATATTGTGCTTAAGGAGAATGTTCAGGCCCCATTTGCAAACAAAGTTTGAAAATTCAGCGTCAAACTGCAAAAAAACTTTGTTCAGAAATACATTTAAAAGTGCCTCAGCTTGTTCTTAATCTCTTAACCAACTTTTATTAATTATAATTAACAAATTTGGAGGCTTGTGTTCTCATAAAATCGTTCTTGTGAGAAAAGATTTTATCAAAAACTGTCACCCAGTTCCATGATTTGTTGGGAATCTGAGAGGCATCAAATAACCAGGGCCGCAAAGGGGGGCAAAGGGGCAAATTTCCCCAGTACATTAAGGCTCAATGGGGCCTTAGAAAATTCAATTTTTACATAACAATCATAACATACATTTATGTTAATCAAACATAACAAAAGTATGCCTAAGAATAGTAAAACATTTAGACAATGGGAAGAAAATGGCTCCAAGAAATTCTGGAATGTATTTAAGCTAAGCTAAACATGCCCTGGTGCCCCCCCCCCCACCATCAAACAAAATTTAATGTCCATACACTGGGCAACAACATCAAAAGGAAAAATGGTTAGAGATAAGATAAGTTGCTTTTTTGTAGAGATTCTTATCGTTTTGAGCCAGTGAACAGCAGGGACCGTGGCTTGTCTTTTTTCATAAATTTACTGTTACTTGAATACTTCAACATATTTCATTCATCATAGTGAATTTTTAAAAGATACAGTTTTTGCTTACTGTCAAAGATGGTAACCCTTAACCTATGACAACTGAAATTTTATGCAAACTACCAAATAATGCAAACTTCAAAACAAGCTGAAGGTTATTGCATATAACAAAAAGAAGAACAGAGAAAATAAAGAAAAGCTATGACAATTGTCAATTGTATTTCATTTTTTTTATTATTGGACCTCAATATGTATATATATATCATATAATGATTTTCATTATAGTTCACAAGTGGGTGAATGAATGGCTGTCAATCAGGATAGATGTAAGTATCGGCAAATAGTGTCACTTTATTTCTTTTGAGCTGTTTCAGTTTAAATTGAGCATTTGAAACATGGATTGAATACGCTAAAAGGTTTTTTTGAGGGCTCAACATGCTCAAAGTCAAGATAAAGATGATTCTTTTTGTAGGTTTCAAGAATATTCTAGAAATAAATTGTGGAGCTAAGCCCCCTCAGTCATTGCTTCTGTGGTCCCTGTAATATGTATCATATCATAATCAAATGGAAAATTGCAGTGCCATAAATGCTTGGTCAGTGTAAAGGCCTATTGTCATTTTTATAAAGTTTAGATAGAATCAGACATCAATTTGGTTAACCATGTTTTCAGATCAAAATTACCCCTCTCAATAATTTTTTGTAAGATAACTGAACACTTTGGACTGATCAGGGCCCTCAGTCAGGAGAGAGCTTAAGACTTGAGACAAACTTATTCAATAGTTAAGTAATAAGCTTTTTAGCTATTATAGGCTAAATATGCTTATTTAGAATTATAGCCAATGTTGTCTTAACCATACAATCAAATTTAAAAATAAGTTGGAAATGTATCAGTACTAGGGCCTATAGCCCAAAAATAACTGCAAGCTCCCCATTTTTGCAGTCTTAGTCTTGTTGATTGTGAGATAATTTACCAAAAATGTTTTTACTGTCACCTTAGTTTATATCAATATAATTTCCATCATTTTTCCATTGTAATCAATTTCATTTTTAAGTGCTCCAAGACTTCAGCTCCCCAGTGGTAAGTTCTTGTTTCATTTTTTGAACTTTTTAGTCAGAAAAGCAATATATATCTTATTTTAATCGATCCGAATTATGCTCCCATGGTCCTTGATTTCCAGTGGTATACCTTTACTGGTACACTGCTTGAAATGAGCTGCATTTTAGAGGGAGTGACCAGAACACTCTATAATTGCAAATTTTGAAGATGCTCCTCTGTATGATTTTGTCTCATAAAAGAAAGGATGAATATTAAAATTATTTAAATATCACTACTTTGACTTTAAAGCTATGAAATATGGAGTTATTCAATGTGGCAAATCGTTGGCACAACCACTGCCATGTCAAGTTGTATTTTTAGTTTTTCTTAAATTTTTATTATCAATCTCGAAGTTCTGTTAATAATTTTAGCTGTTTCGTCAATATATATTTGCCCCACAACTTTTTATGTTATTTATTTTTCACATGCAGCGAAGTTGAATCATTCGCTTTCCTGGGCATTATAATTTTTTCTCATTCGAATGAAAACGTTTTTCATCATAACTGCTCCTGCTTAAGAGATATTTAAAAATTCGGACTTTCAATAACAAACGTTGCTTTCCTTTGAGAGTTTCAGGGGTTGACCACATCCTTCAACAATTGTCTTGAAAAACTTAATTGCCTATTGTTGCATTGTCAAAAAATCATTAAAGAGAATTTCTGAGAAACACGAATTTATCAATGGCTGATGTTTCACCGTGCGCGATATTAATTCTGATGCTTTCTCAGGGTTGAGTTCACTTGACGCATTCACGTGCTTATACAGTTTTATTTTTGCTAATGACATTTAAATCCATCTTAAAATTGCTCTCGGAAATTGGACCGCATTGCCACTCAAGAAGCAACAGCATAGCAATATTGAGTTTTATTAGCTATTAAGGGATTTAATTTCAAGCAACATCATTCACAGAATAATTGTTTTATATCCCACGTTTCTAGAAAAATAAGTAATACTTTTGTTGAATGGCCGTCTCCAGTGGATTAGATTTTGTTTTTAGAAACAGTTAGAACTATTGCAAATTGTCTTATGTAGATTTAAAAAACAAAGGATTTCAATTAGCGGGGAATTCTGAGGTTCTGCTTGCGATAGATATAGAAAAACAAATGAGATAATTATTTATCGAATCTGTTTGTTTTCATTACTAACTTTAGAGAACTTCCTTGAATCCTAGAATCGAGGAAGGGATATCGAGTATGGGCAACTCCTTGCCCCCGTTTGGTGTCAACCACAGGGATTTTATACATGTTGGTAGGAGACCGACTAGTGACGTTCATGAATATCAATCCATTTTTGCTTCGAAGGCAACTCCTCCCCCTGTTAGTGAATTCTGGATGAATGGCCACGTTAACAGCAGTCTAGGCCACCCATGTTAATTGTAGACAAGCATTGACGAAATTTTCTCGTCCATTCTATTAAAACGATTTCGTCCTTCGAGATTTTACAAGACTTTAGTCGCGATTTAAACCGCTTTAGTCTCCAGAAACAGTGGCAAACCAAACAAGTGCAATTGTAAGACCGCAAAGTGCAATTCAATTTGATGGGCAAAGTTTTTCTAGGAGGCGATAGGAAATCAGGCTTGGGCGAGAATGACTATTCCTGTAGAAAAAGCTTGTGTAATAGGCAGGGGCCACGTCACGAATTTGAAAGTGGGGGAGGGTGGGGGTGGAAGGCTAGCAAAAGTAGGGGGCCAAGGCTTCTTCCCCTTTACTGCAGCTTTAAAATTTATTGCTTTGCAGAAAAGTAGGGGGTCATGACCACCCCGGCCTCCCAGTGGCGTGGGCCCTGCTAGGGACTACACTTTTTACACAGAAACCAGAAAGTTTTTGCAAAGGCTTGATGTTCTTGTTTTTTGGATAGCTCAAGGCTCTGATGTTCATAGTATTGTTCTTGTCTAAACATTGATTACCTGGTATACTCTAAATTTATAATACTAATTGTTCCTAAAACTACAAATATGCTATTTATGTTCTTATTTGAACGCTTTGAACGTATGAACGTTCATTTCCGATATTTGATATTGATGCTGTCATTTTTGGTAGAATATCTGGTATACTCTAAATCCTCGAATTGCCCCCCCCCCGAAAAAGTCCCCCCCTCGAATAAGCCCCCACTGCTACCATAAATTCTCAAATTGGACCCCTCAATTTGATGATTTTTGCCATCTGAGGTTGCCTATGATGTTTTATTAAATTACCACAACAAATTCATACTTTTGATAGTAATTAATTAAATGCTCATACTAAAATAAACGAGGTCTTTAATAATGTCTTCTTAATGTCTACAAAAATTTTACAAGCCCCCCCCCTCGTATAAGCCCCCCCCCCTCGAGTAAGCCTCCATTCAAAAATATCAAAAATAAATAAGCCCCCAGGGGGCTAATTCGAGAATTTACGGTAGTAAATTAGCGACCGGTTGAGTAGGAAGTTTACATAGAAGCTCCACAATTAGAATGCTTATAGATTCTTGTCTTTCTGCCAAACACTTCCTTACCTCAAACCAAATTGTTTTCAATGATCTAGCCTTTGACCACGTGGGTTGGTCACCAATCCGAGCACCCATCAGGTACTTGTGCATGGCCAAAGCCCTATCAGGTATGGCCGTAGATTCGTTCTGAACTTAGGAGTGGTTGTAGTTTGCCATTTCCCAACAAACGTGTGTGTTCATGGATTTCCTCAATTTGATTGAAAGCCCAGGGTGAATTCTTTGAAAGCAGTTACCAGTTTCAGTTTGTTTCATAATAAACGAGGCAAATTTGTAAGGTGACAGTTGTTGAAACATGGAAAAAGCTAGTGAAACTAGAATGCAAGTTCATCGTTGTCCTTTATTCATACATTCAGTCCCATCGACAGTTTATTTTTTGCATCAGGAAACTGCTAATTTTTTTGAATTTTTTCAAAATTTCTGAAAGTGTTTTTTGGCTTGGATATTGTCGGATTTTTTTGCCAAGGAATTTAGAGAATCTTGATTGCCACATCATATTCAAGACCCGGTTTGCTTGATTTTCCTTATTCTGCACCACCGGAAATGTCCGGACCGGACTATTATAACAAGACATTAAAACAACAATATTCGGAATATTTGGAGCCTCTGTGTCACTCTCCTAGGAGGTTTGATTTGGTCTAAACAAACCCAGTTTTTCCCGTCTTCACCCGGCGATCTTGTTGTAGATCATCGGCATTTTTGCCAGATGAATAAGCCTGTAAATTCTTGTATTCAATGCGCTGTTTTGTCGTTAAATAAATCTCTTTGTTCATGCATAATTGAATACTATAGTACCACAGAATAATCGCTTAGTGATTGAAGGTGAAAGAGGTTCGCAAATTACCATTCAATGCTTGCATTGATTTTGGCCAGTAAGCCGTGTCCATCCAGCTCTTTTCGGTGTTCACCGTCACCGCGATTGCAAATCTTACTGAGTAGGACGAGTATTTCTCTCGCGTTATTCTACAGATCGGATCGCCTTTTCCTTACCGGTGAGTTCCTTAATATTTAACCTGGCACTTGTTTGCTATCTTCTTTTGCTTGTAAAGCATTTCAGCGATCAAGATATACATCAAGTTTCCATCTATCCAGGAAATTTCCTCCACCTTTGTTTACTGCCTTGAGGTGAACCCCTATCATAAACGAGTTTGCCAGTGCCAAATATTTTTTCTACAGGCATTAGTAAACGCAGTTATAGAATTTGAACTTATCCCTTGTTCACCTGCTTGTAGACACAACTGCATTCGCCAGTAGGCAAGTGATGAACAAAGGAGTCTAGTAAAAGCTTTCGTATAACCTGAGCATTCATTGCAAACCCCTTTCAAGCAAAGGATCATGTTTAATTTCCGTATTCCCATCCTCCACATCCTAAAAACACATCCTAATATTGTAAACACCAGCAAGAGAGCTGGTCTTGTCGCTGGCGATGCTTTGTTTACCTTGAAAAGGAAGTAAACAGCTAAAATTAGTGAATACTAAGATGGACTTGGATTTTCAACAGTCCCCTCCCCCAATTTCTCCGTGCTTCTGTAAATCTACTTCAAATTGGGGGGCTTTTGGGGGAAGACCCCACTTGTTTTCTTCATAGCATTTCATCCCAGATGACGTCTTGAACTTTAATCATACAGTGCCCACGCTTTCTGGAATTCTTTACATCCATTATATTTATTTACCTTTCCCGAACAAGCCATAATATAAACATTGAACTGTCTTCTTTCGAAAATGCTTGCTGTTTAATCACATATTAATCATGAGCAAGATTACGTGTCTCATATTTCCCCTCATTATGTTTCGGCAGGCAACCAAGTAACTAGAGGTGGAGCTTTCGAATTTCTTGATAATATTGTTAGTCCAACAAGTCATATGAATGATCGGGGCATTCATAGTTATTTATGACGTCATTTATGGTAGAAATTATAATTGTCAGCAAAAGCTCAGGATGAAAACTTCGAGGTGCAAATCACTCCAAGAAAATCTCGTACACCTTTTGTGAAAATCCTATTGTTCTATCTGAAAATCCCTGGAAATCCTTTTGTTTTAGGGAAAATCTCGTACGCTATTTGCAAGAGTGAATTGCCCCGCGGAAAACTTGGCCTAGAGCAACAATCTCTTGTATTGGTATTATTAAAAGAACCATATATATAAACATCGTTCAGTCACCGCAGTACTAATTCACCCCTACACTGAGGTACTGAATAGCATGGAATTTTAAATAACTATTGATTAATTCTGCAGTGAAGTCGCAGATAAATCCTAAATAAACGATAAGAAAATCCTATATTTATCTAAAGTTTTTAAATTTTTTGTTGGAATAATTATAGATTTTGAATAATAACGATTATTTATAATATAATAACTGGTTCAAAAATTCTGTACTGTAGAACTCAAGATCTTGTTAAAATTAAGTGAACCTTGGGCAAGAATCTTAGGCAGTGTGAATTCCTTTAATATCAATAGACGAGAAACATTTGTTGCAAGCAAGATGCTCAGACTTGGTGCTCGACAAAAGAAATCTCCTTTTTTGTTGTGCTTCAATCGAAAATTAGCAATATCAGCTATAGAATTGTGTTAGTTTTAGCTTTGATGAAACTGCGATTAGTTTTCAAACGAAATTTTATATTTTGATACACTGGTTTTCCAAAGATTCTTCTTACCAGGCCCAAATTACACCCTTTTAATATATGCGAAACCATCGTGCATAAAGTTCATGTTTAGTTGAATCCTGTCAGGTCTGACCTTCAAGAAGTGCAAGGAAGTTGTCCGACTAGGCAAATGTTTGAATTATGCAGGGTACGATTTTTGACTTAACCCATAGCAATTGAATATCAAATCGACTTAGTGAAAGTCTGAGTTATTGGGGTACGACTTAACGGGATACATCTGTATCTGCATTTGCAACACTTTGCAATCAGGTTAATGAAGGGAAATTGCTTGTTTTGTTCCTTAATCAAGGCATAATCAAGGCATGGCTATTAATAACTGCCATGTAGTTCTGGTGAATAGGATGCATTCAACTGGTTGTGAATTGATTAGTTTGTATTTGTTTACATTACGGAGCCCTGTTGTTATCAGGTGTCAAGCTTTTTAAATTACTCACATTTTACGAGTTGTTTATGAATTGTCACGCAAAGTTATCGAGCGATAGCAACCACCCGTTGTGACGTCATCAGAAACATAACTGCCATGGAAAATATATGCTTTGGCATGTGTTTTGTCAGAGGTACTGTCTGTCATAAATGGGAGCCCAGGGGGTCACTTGGAACTTTTATATACGAGTGGTTCCAGTGGGGTAGCGAGGGGAAGGCAAGAGGGGGTGGACGCCCCCCCCCCAACGGCGAAAAAATCGTTTTGAAAAAGGGCGTTTTCTGGCGTTTTGAAGGGTGGGCCCCTATCTTCCACTCGCTCAACCCGCCTTCTCCCTCAATCGTACCTCACTGGCTCTGCTACTGTGTTTGTTTAAATCAGATTGCAACAAACATAACCAAAATGCACCCCAGTCTTTGCATACATAAGCACATCTTGTTCGTTAATAGCTGTAACTTTTGTACAGTGATAACGAGATTTACTTTTGGTTACTATGGAGAAATTCTTTTAAGGAAAAACACCTTGGCAATGCTGATAAAAAACAGCCTAAACGAAATCACTAACTTTCAAAATAATTGAAAAAATTGCATGTTGCTACAAACTACCATTCAACAAGACGACCGCAAGTATTCCAGTAACTGATATTATTTAAACCAGATATGTGAGAAAGCCTATCAGTCGAAAATGGATTCACTGAGGCTGTCAAGGAGCCCCGAGAGCGAGAGGTTGTTGCTAGATTCTATGTAAGGGCTAGGCAGTGCCTTATTTAAGAAATTTTAAGTAGGGGGGGGGGCAATTTTTTGAAAAGGGACGAGATAAACAAGCAAAAACGGGAGATTAAGGGTATTTTCTAGGAAGCTTTTATGATCCCATAATTCAAAGAAATTCATTTCATATTTCAAAGGAAATGAAACAGCTTTGTGTTGACACTTGAAGTTGAGATATTATTCAAAAGTGAAAATATGTCTGATCAAAGTCCCAGAAATTCCATTAAAAAAACTGAGAAATAAATTATCTATTTTTGTAAGTTTCTACAGTTAGCATTGATTCATGACGATCTTTTTCTGAAAAAATCTTGCAATGGCTGGCCATGCGTCAAACTTTGATGTTGGGACGCCATTCCATGCAATAAACAGTTTTCTTCTTAGTGTTTATTCCCTTAATTATGAATGTTGTATGCAGAAACACTTCTTTCAACGGTCATACTGTCAGGTGATACGACAACAAACTTTGAACGAGTCCAGTACTTCTTCTAAGCATGTATAAAATCCTCGTTGAAAAGTCTTGTTTGGCCTGAAATCAGCAAAAGTATCGAAGACGTTATCTGGAAACTCTTTCACTTGATCCCATGATATGCCTGGATTATTCAATTAAATCAGACACTCTAGGAGGGAAGGTGGCCAAAAAATCACTATGCTATGAATCTCTTTGCAACGGAACTGTTCGAATATGTGTGGAATTGGGATGAATCATGCAAACCAAAAACACAATCAAATTTGTGGCACAAATTTACATCTAAATGTAGACAAACACGCACGATCCATAGCTAATTTTGCTGTCTAACCCTTCACATTTTCTGTGCCGTTGCTTTTACCAATCTGAAATGAATGACCAAAGTGATACATGAATTGAACAGTAATTTTAAGGGCCTTATTTTTTAAAGATTTGGTCCTATAATAAAGAGTGCCAATATACATCTTCATTTAGTTTTGATCCCCTAATTTTCTTCAGTTTTTAATTTTCGACTGTATTAAAGTCTCCCATGTAAACTTATGAAATCACTGCCATGTAAACAGTTATGGTATCGTATTCCAATCGTTTTCTATTACATATGGCTCCTGCAGGCGTGCCTCACAATTCTACATAGTGGTGGCGACAAACAAGGGACTATTTTCTTGGGTCAGAAATCTCTTGAGTGCGGGGGCAAAGTCGAGGGATGGTAGGGCAATTGCCCCCGCAATTAGTATGTTAAAAAAGGCCCTGGAGCTAGGGGCTAGAACCCTCAAACTCGTTGTTATAATCCTGAGATGATGTATCGAATACGTTATCTGAAAACTCTTTCAATTAATCCCATGATATGCCTGGATTATTAAATGAAATCAGACACGGAACGGAACGGATCTCTTTGCAACGGAACACCCCTCCCCCGCCCTATCGGAAAGCCCAGTCCCTCAACACGAAAGGATGGGCAGAAGCATTATATGAACTCATCTTAAAACGCCATACTTGAGTATTTTTAATATGCTTCATAAATCTGTTATCGAGACCTCCGTCAAAGTGCCTAGGCCTATTTGCATGATTGTCTCTGGACTTCTCAACAATTTTTATTATCACCGACACAAGGTTTCAGGTTTGATCGTCATGGTTATCATGGATTTAATTGATTTAAGATTATCATTTTATTGTTGGTCTACACAAGTGACTATTTGTTTTTCCCATTCCTTGCATGAGCCTTATTTGTCAAACAATATTGTTTTGTTGCTGCCTGGTTTTTCCTAGAGATCCCATTTGTCCTTTTCTTAAGGGGATTATTTGACTCCAAGATCTCCGACTTGACAGCAAACAGTTTTATCACAAAATGTATATATATATACGTATTTTATTGAAGTAATTTTATTTTATGGTAATTATGTGAATATTTAATGTAAATGAAACGTTGTTTTAGCAGTGATGCCGTGAAGGGGGCTTAGGGGTGGGGTTCAGCCCCCTTGTTGAAATTAATAGAGATTTGTTTTAGGGGGGCTCAACCCCCCTTAACAAGCCAGTTTATATATATTGTATCGAACCACTCTTTGTCGGAATCGAGCTCCAGTTTGCTGCTTCAAAAACCCACGTTCATTCCACTGAGCCAAACGGCCTAATGAAATGTGCGAGGAATCTCCGAAGCCAACACTGGAGATTTCACCGTAGCCAAGGCAGTTTTTTTTATTCTGTTTCCGTTTTTTATATATATATTTATATGATTTCATATACCCAACAGAGAACACAAAAATATAGGGTGTCGATAAAGGTGTGGTACTGGGTGTGGCTTCTAGAAATTCCCTACAGCACAGCCTCCCTTTCTAACTTTTTAGGACGGCACCCCTGTGTTTTAGGGTGATATGTAGAGTAGGCGTAGGGGCACATGGCGCTTGCTCAGAGTCAGGAAAACATTACGGTCGCACGGCCACTGACCGGAGGAAGGTTCATGAAAAACAATAGAAGCTCCTATGACACACCCAAGCCACGCCCACTTTCTATTGTTTGTGAGGAAGGTTTGCCTTCTGGGGTGTTTTTTTCTGGAGGAAGGTTAACAACGTTTATGGACTCTGCGCTTGCTATGGTTTTTAAGTTGCTATCATCCCCAGCCATGCGATTTATTCATCAATTTTATAGATTCTCACTAATTTTATGTCATTGATCAAAATCAATGTCTTTTAATTGGTTTTTAATTGTGACTGTATTTTATGCTTATTAAACTTGCATTTCCAATCATTTTCTTCTGTGATTTATAGAATGATATCCAGGGGTCATTTCCATGGCTTTTGAAACCGTAAACTAAATTGTTCCTGGGTTACAGAGTTCTAAATTTAGAAATTATTGAAAAAATTCTCGCAATGTTGATGTGAATGACCAACTTGAATTAATTTGTCTCCTTTAGGAGCTGAACAGAACACTTTCAGACGGGTTTGAAAGAAATATGGCTTTCCCATACAGCCAGGGAAGCAGAAAAGAAGCTGTGAAGCAAATTCCAATCAACAAGTTAGAGCTTTGTACATCTCACCTTATACATCTTCTGGAAATTTTTCATTTTATTGTATTACCTTAAGGATATATGTTACTCTGTTTAGAAATCAGGAAGAAACGAGGCCTTTCATTGCGCAGCACGTAATGACGCTGTGAGTGCGATGACAACTATCGTTTTATGTATGTGCGCGACGAAGGAGCAGGCCCTCTTGTTTGATCGCGATGAAGGAGCACCTTTAATATTCTGTGCTACAGCAGTTGCATCACAAGCCCCTCGGGCATATGCTTTGTGTCTGCATGCATAAACTATGAAGAGAATTTCGTCCTTTAAGGCTAAGACGAGTTTGTGTATGAATCATAAATATTGTTCCATTACGTGTTAAGATCAGAATTTAGAGGTATTCAACAGATTAAGGAAACTGCGGAGTGTCTTGTGGGCGGCTTCCTTTCTGATTCACGCTGACTAATTGCCATAGTGATTATCACAACCTTCTGTTGCCAGGTTTCAGTTGCTATGGCAGTCACGTCTCCTTTTGGTATTGAGGTCGTTGTTATTATGTGACATTTGACGTAATCTGTGTCTATCGCTATTCGGCTTTGTTTTTGTGACGTCATCTCCCAGTTTCTCAGCTAGCAAGCGTGTGATAAAAAGCCATGTTGATGCGCGATTTTAAGCAAATCACTCATAATTCCTGACAAGCTTTTAAGGATATTGCAGTGTCGAGAAACAGGTACAATGTTAACACACTTCTTTGCTCTTTGATTAATTCTTCTTTCAAGCAAAAACATACTGAAATTGAACGTTGTTACTTATAAATCTTTAGAATATAATCTTCCTGGTAGCTGTCCATTAGTTGGTACCGAATACCTGCTCAGAATCTACTTTTATTTTCATTCAGACGCATGGTTGTTTTCGAGGGGCAATTCACTTTTTCAAATAGCGTACGAGATTTTTAGATAAAACAATAGGATTTTCACAAAAGGTGTCTTTTGTGATTTGCCCCTCGGTTGTTTTAAGGAACTTCATCATTGGGTTCAGCCTTTGGTGTTATACTCTCTTGTATAAAATTTCAGAAAATTTATGCTCTATTGCTAAAAACAAAGAAATGTCATTTATTAACCTTTAGAGGCCATTGCTCCGTTGGTTACATGCTGACAACGGAACTAAGATATATATATTCGAGTTATCCTTCATACTTCATCATATTACCTATTCCATATTAAAATCTGCAAGTTAGACAGATATTGAAAATTGAATTAATAGAAATATGTAGAACAAAGATAAGGGATGCTATAATCTCGAGCAATAGGCGACCCCCCCCCCACCCCTCCAAGATTGCACATTTAGCGATCCCGTTACTCGACAGAGGTCCTGATTCTGCCATTCCAGGTTTTTTACTCTCTGTCATCATCTCTCTTTGTATGACGTCAAGATACCTTGGTTTTAAATGGGCTGAGAAACCTTGATTATTTGAGAAACCAGGATCAAGTTCATTCCAGATTCCAGATCACAAAACTCTAAACGTAACTCAATCAAATATCTCTATACAAGTACATCACCTCATTTTGGTGAATAATGGTTGAAAAACTCTCGGAGTTTTAATTCCCACTAATACCTTGTGTCAAAGTTTCATACATTGGCAATTCCTATTGTCTGTTTTATTTTCCGCGAGTTCAACAGCCATTTCCGGACGATTTCTCTTCACTGAACTAAACTTATTGTTACATGTACAACGTAAAGAGAAAACAAAGGCAATGTGCGGTTTTACACCTGAACAAACCCAAGAATTTAGGATATGTGTTGTGGAAGAAAGTAGCGAATACTCGTAGTGTAGTTGGTGTCAAGTTGCAAAAAATATCATAGTTGAATCACTGTTCCATTCGAGACGCTGTAATCTAAGGACATCTGCCTTTGAAGATCAGTAAAAGGTGGGTTTACCGTTGAGCCTTTACTCTCATTTCATAGCCTTGTTCGTTTAATAAGAAATCTCCGTCAACTGTTAACCAGCATAGTAATTAAAATGTTTACGATACCGCTTATCTTTTCTGCAGGGTATTTCGATAACTTGCCCGTGCTTCGAGAAAATGCTACAGTTAAGAGGGCAAAACTCATTTGTTTCACTGCCCTTCCCTTCTTCGTGCTATTGTCTTTTGAGCCTTCTGAGGCAGTGCAGTTTATTTGACAGTTTATAACCGTTTTGCAAAATGTTTAGGCCGCTTCCAGTAGGAAACAGGAACGCAATTCGGAAGCACCTCTTACTCCTGTGCAAGTAAGACCAGGGGTTAGAATGGCTGCTTTCTGTGTACATACCTCTCAGGATTCATGCTTGCTTAAACACCGAATAATTAATCAAACTCACAAATCAAAGACAGAACTTACTGGATGTAAAGAGAGGACCGCAGTATCGAGATCATCATCAAAATTGGACCCATATTTACGACCCCGTTGCTCTTATTTAGGTATCGAAAATAAAAGAATATTACGACACAATCGCAGCTGCTACGTAATTCATGTCAAACTGTAATTTACCAGTCGAAATTAAGCCGTTATCAATCATCGTATTCTTGAGTTCGCTATCCATACTGACCGTTGATAATGAAAAGGGTTAGAATTATCGATGGAAGTTGGTAAACACGAAAAGATTTTTTACTTCTTTAGCCGATGAATAATTAACTATAAGGTCGTAATTTCTTTTAACTAGGATTGTGTTGGGTTATTCCGAGGAAGCCTAGCGAAGTGTGTATATTTTTACTTTGAGATAATATGCTGTGCATAGCTGTTTGGCTGTCAGAATATTCAGGATAAATGTAACTTGAATAAAAGAGTAATGTTTGTTGGTCAAGATTAGCTAAAACTGTTTGACTAGATCGTATATAAGTTGTATAGTATAGATTATACTATCGCAGACCAGTTTGATAAAATGCACAATGTTAAGATCGGAAACAGTCGCTTGCCCTATTTCTTAGAAGGGTAAGTTCCCCACAAGGCCTGTCGATAAAAAGAGGCATGTCCTCAGTGGACGACCCTTCGGAATCTATATAACGATAGAAACTAATTCGCTACAAACTTCTCAAGAATTCAGCTGATCCTTTTCACAGTGCAACCCCCCAAATTTGTTGCTTTTTTCGCTGAGAAAAAGAGTTGCATGATCCTCTGACAAACCGGCGTCACTTATTGACCAGCGGTTAACTATGCTTACAGAATCTCTTTTGTTAAAAGCAGTGTTTCAGAATGAATCAGAACATGTCCCGACCTTATATATTTTGCTCTAAGGCTTGATGTATTTTTAACGGGTTGAACCAAGCGACTTCCTGCCTACCAAGGCCGTTGTCTTGACTAACCCACAGAAGACCGTTATGTACAGAAATTGTTACCTCAGATTATCCATCTTGGAATTATCAGTGTATCTTGTTTCCTCACTCGGGTTCGCACCGTCAGATAGATAGCAGCACTCACTAGTAACTTCACTAGTTATTCTTGAAGGAGCGTTTGGGACGTAGTAAAAAACCAAGCTTCAAGAGCCAGCCAAAATTGCTTACTCTTCCTTTCGTTGGCCTAGAGTTTTCTTTTCATAAGCTTAGAGTCAGGGTTGGTCAAAGGCTGAAATGGACGCGCAAGCTTGATATTCAAAGTTCTAACCAGCATTACACCCTATACACAGCAGCAGAGACTGCGGTTGTGCGCAGCTGAGACATAGATGACAGGGGGTGAGGGCAACAAATTCCAACAGATTCTTTCCAAGTTAGGCTTGAATTACAACTATGCCTGTTATTTTATTTTGAATAACAGTTTGCTTTTATTTCAGTTTTCGAGCTTTCACTTAAATGACTGAATGCACGTACTCTATTCATTTCAAAACTATTCTAAACAAGAGCCGCTTTAAAGTTTTGAGCCAGAAGATCTAAATTACCCTCAACCCAAGCCTCCATTTGCCCCTGACTCAAATGCCTATTCACCATTGACCCAATTCCCCTTCGTCTCCATTCATCCAAGTCTCCATTCATCCATGCCCCAAAGCTCCGTTTCCTCCTGATCAAGGACCCTCTCTTTACCTGCTAACCCAAATCCCATTCTCCCCTTAACCCGAATCCCCATTTACCTCCTGATCCAAATTCACTATTTACCCCCTGACCCAGGTCCCAATTTACCCGTTACCCAAGTCCCTACTTTCCCTAGAGCTAAACCCCGATTTAACCAAGGTCAAAATCTCCAGTTACCCTTGCCACCTGTTCCTGTTTACCTTGCCTAATTCCCCATTTAGCTTTGCTCCAAGTTGCTTGCTTCATTTCTCCACGATCAAGCTTCTCATCTTTCTCGGGGTTGAATACCTTGCTTGCGTGCGCTTCAGACATTCTACTGACATTCCCAAAAGTAAACATAGACATCAATGTTAGTTTTAAATTTAACTGTTTTATCTGCTGGTAAATAATTGCACACATGTTTTAACAACTAGTGGAGTGGTAAGGTTTCCCGCGAGCATGATCTGCTTACTGATAGTTACCCCCCGTCATCCTCCCACCCCACAGTTCTTTATCATCTCGCCTTTGAAATTATTTTGTCCACAAACGTCAACCTGCAGAAGATCTTGCAGTCAGAGCAATATCTTATTTTGTTTTTAACTGCGTGGCAAATGAAACAGATTTATGTCGCATAGATTTGGTCTTATATTCAAGCTGCAAGAGTATACTTCAAGTTGGAAGATCCTATAGTTTGGGGTTTTTTTTAGAACCTTAAAGGGTATTGAAATGTATACTTGGACACTCCAGCCCTACGCTAGAGCCAGGATTGCGACAATTTCCATTTGTGCTTCCTGTTTCATAGCTTCCTGGCAAGGGCTGTCATATATTTCTTTGAGGTTTTCTCAACACTGTGGCCTAGAAACCAGGAATTTTCATAGAATTTGCGGTGATTTTTATTAATGTAACAATGAACGCGCTCGGTTAAACAAAAATTTGATTATTTAAGCTTCTTTCATCTCTGTTTTATGCAATATCACACCAGATGGCTAGTAGTAGCAGCGATTATCTTGTTCTTTTTCTACACTTGCGAGGACAGTTGTGCTTTGAAATTGAAAACTGCACAGGCAGGACACATTCATGTGTTTGGTTTAGCCTCGCAAAGAGCCATAAACATTGCGAGAGTGCTTGGGAGTAGTTAACTGGGGACTTATCCTATGCCAGTGTAAAACACAAAGCAAGTGGAGGCCGAAAAAATAATAATTAATGGCCTTTAATGCTCTAATTTGCTTCAGAAACCAGAAACCAGAAACGTATCAGGTCTTGGCAAATTATAAGTTGATACAATAGTAAGGATTTCAGAACATTTCGTGGTATGTAGAAAGTGAAGAATTTATAACCTTTTATGATAACCTTGCAAGGTCATGTTTTGATGCCAAATGACTATAAAGTGGTAAATTTGTCTTTCAGGCCAGTGTATCATTTCAGTGGTGCTGACGTTAAGGTAATTTGACACATTTATGTTTTTCGTTGTTGTTCGTTTTTGTTCGTTTTTGTTCGTTTTTGTTCGTTGTTGCTCGTTGTTGTTCGTTCTTTTTCATTTTGTTCGTTTATGAATTCGATCCTTCTATTTAGATATTTAGATGAACTGAGCATTTCACCTTGCTGTTGTGAATGCTTTGTAAAAATTTGCAGGAGCACCCCTGGGAGGTTGTTACCCACAAAGAACATATTTCTCTTTCAAAATTCCCATTGATCATCTAACTTTTGCTGCAGTTTTTAGAATTATTTAAAAATATTCGTAGGATTTATATGAAGCAGTATTTATGGAAATAGCATAACTGAGATAGTGGGTAAATTTCCTTGAGCAATAAAGGATCAAAATACCTTTATCCGAAAGGGTATGAGAAAGGCATCCTTTACATCAATGCGTTTATCTAAACTTACTCCTGGGGTCTTATTTACTTGATGGAAGATAATAGTCCCTTAAGCTCTAACCACCTCTATCCTGCCATGCTCTCCTATCCTTCTCTAGGGCAAACAGTAACAAGCTATTCTTCTTTGCTATACAGTAATGAACTGTTTTGTCTTTCTCCTTTAAATACGAAGTTTCATTTTATGTTTCCCCACAGCAAAGAGAACTTTCGAACGGAATTTCACACTCTGGTAAGGCCATTATCCGTATTTTTACCACCTCTTGCCTTTATCGAGATGGATGTTGTTTTATTTCCTTTATTATATTGCCTGAGCCTGTCCGAATCATCCAAATCCTCCCAAAAAGTGTAGTTTTCAGACGCTGTTTTCAATTTACTCTATACTCTACCTAACTATGCTTCGCAATATGCTGTACAAAACATCGAACAGCCATCTTTTCATCCGGTCTGAAGTAGAAAGATATCTGTTTAAAAAGCTGTGGAAGATCAAAGTAAATATTATGAATTAGGGATCGCATTGAATGATGTGAAGGAATACGGGAACTCTGCTGGCAGCGATTTCTTGAAAAAGGAAGGGCCTAAAATTTGAAGTTAGAAAAGGTTAAGATATTTAATTACCTTGCAAAGGTAACAAGCTCTTTGATATTCATCCCTTCAGTCTGCAACTTTATGCATTTAGTATATAATAAACTGTTCTTATTTATGCTCTTTAAAGAATAAAACAATGAAAGAAGTAGTGATACCTTAATTTTTATATTTAGTAATTTGCTTTTAATGCCTTGAATATTTAAAATTCCCGCGTCAATAAGGGATCATGGGGTTAATACATATCCTCAGGGTTTATACATAACCTTGGGGTCACACGACTTGTAGAAGTTCTAAATGATACAAGTTTTGTATATACAATGAAACTAATCTCAAAACAGTGCTTTATTTAAACAAAATAAACTCTCTATGATGCTAATGCGATCAGCATACGAAATCCGGATGAGTATTGAAGCGTCTTTTAATCTTCATGTACATACTCACGCTCATTGCAAAACAGTAACTACACAAAAACAGTTGGCCTACATTTTGACCTCGTCTTACCTCGAAATAAGCGTTTCACCGTTTTTTGGTGAATCAAAATACAAATAACGGTGTTTGTTATGAGCACACGCTCGTTTTCATTCATTCAAGAACGGTCACAAATCACACTAAGAATGCAAACATTTGAAATCGTCTTGAAATGTCTTTCTTCGTTATTTGTAAAAATTCTTTTTTTGAACAATCTATGATTCTAAGGAAATCTTTTCTTGAATTCGACCGCACGTTTTCTATTTTTGCCACTCAACAACTAACAGAAAATTGTAGCGATCTGGTGGGACCCCCTTCCTCCCATCATATTAGATTTTTCTAGTTCGTCCAAATTCTTGGAAAAGTTTTCGAGCAATAGAAAAAGTTTTAAGCAGAGCATGCATGTTCTCATTTAGAATGTTTCTGCAATTGAACGGGTAAACATGATAGTTTAGCCTTTTTGATAAAGTCTATCGTTGATGAATGCTTATAGCCGCCTGGAGAGATCCTGAAAATGGAAACGGGGTTCTACTCTCGTTTATGTTTGCACTCTAGCATTTAGCGTGCAAAATTTCAACGAAAATAGAAAGATTTACAACAATTTTTAGATAAAATGATAAGGATTTCCTCAGAATATGTACGAGATATTTTTTGAATGATTTACCAGTCATTTTTAGGGAGCTGGCAGGGACAAAAGATGTTTTAAGGATGTGGAAATGTGTTAATACTACTGTTCAACGTGATTTTGTTAAAACGGTCTTACACACCAATTGTAGATCGTTTCCAGTTCTAGTGATACAGAAAAATCTCCCTTTCCATGTAAATCCCGGTATGTTGTCATTAGGCATACAAAATATTTTAAGGTAGGCACACCTTTGACATACAATATATTTTTATGGAAGTTGAATTTCATTTCAGATGCTCTAGTTCAAAATACAGAAATGACGTCAAATGGACAGACAATGAGCTATCGTGTTGAGGTAGGACGAATTGCTACTTTCAGAAATTTTACAGCTATGTATAAAGTTGTATGGCGAAAACTGGCATTTTGGAGGTGGATTAGAAAATGTGAGCATTCTTATGTGAGCAGGCATAGGCACTAAGGAACTAGTTAACGTCAAAATCAACACTTGATAGATGCATTTTTCGTCAACGATCTCGGGATATCAATTTATTGTATATTAAGGACTATAATCGCTGCTCAAGCTGAATATTTTTAAATTTTTTATTTCAGCATCTTGCATCATTCCAGCACATAAGTGGAAACAGAGAACTGTTGCCAGAAGATGCACTGAAAAAACTCAATGTGAGTATAGCTTCCGAGTCGACGGGCTTGATTTTATGAAAGGTGGGATAAAATTTGCATGTAAACAAATGGTATTGTCACTCCATCTCGGTTCGAGTGGGCTGGAAGGTGAAATGATGTCGATTGGGGTCGTAATTATTGTAAAATTAGATGTTATATTATTATAATGTAGCATGGACACGAGAGATGCCTGTTGATATGGGGATGCTGTCTGCTGTATGTAAGGTGTCCTTTGTCAGGATTTTATTTTATTTCAATCTTTAATGGAGGCGCTACTAAGTTGTATCATAGATTATTGTGAGCCACAAAAATTTCTGCTGCAATGTAACTACCGGGTTATTCATCAATTTCCAATTTGATACAGCTCTTCCTTATATAAGAACCAGCAAACTGAGACGCGGACTAATTTTTCCAAAACATGTTGGCTGAATTGTCCTTAGTTGTTCTTGAGGGCGTAAGGTAAAGAGATTTAGACAGGAGAAAATATTTTACTAAAAGAGCAAAATATTGTTTTCAAATAAGATTAATAGACCATGTGTCCTGCGATAAAAGATGTATTCTTAAAAGAAAATTTGTTCTCAGCTTTCCTGCAAGCTATAAAAGATTTATGAATATAGAATCCTTTGCTACAACATAACTGGGACAAACCCTGTTATGACCCCCCTGTAAAGCATACGCTGTCTCTCCCCCCCCTCTCTCCGCAAGTGGAAATAGTCTATTTGTTTGCCTTGTGGAAATGTGTGTTTGATAATATTCAACAAAGTTTTCTTCATTGAAATATAACAGTGGCTTTTTGTCTTCAAAATAGAAGGAATTATGCCACAAAACAGAACAAATGCCCGTCTCACCGCATTCCAAAAGCGAATGAATAACAACCTTGCGTGATACATTTTACTTTGACGCATTTCATAAAGATATTTGTTTGACAGCGTGTAAAAGCTTCCTTTTATCCAAATCATTGCTTTTACTGTGTGTTTTCAATACTTGCTTGTCTGTTTACTCTAAGCAAAGGGTTTTTGTAGCCATCCTCGGTTTTCTTGGTGCGCATAATTATGTTGCCATATCAAAATGAATCCCCTGCTAGAGCAATATAGACAAATTGATGGTACTTGTCGACCGTTAAAAATGTTTTACTTCTTTTGATCTTTGAGCCACAAGAAAATAGGTGTAATTTTTAGTTTTTCTATGGAAGGCTATATTTTCCTTGGTAACTTACAATGTACGGCCTTACGTCCCTTCAAGTGAATATGGAAGTTAGTTTAAAGACACACGAAAGTCTGTGTGCTTTGTCATACACGCTTTTTTTATAAGGAACCTACCTCAAGGCCTAGTTTCAGAAGTTCCTTATTCGTAGACCTAAAATCGTCAAAATTGTAGTACCAAAAGTTCCTTAATAGTTCCTTAATTTGTTTTGACTAAATAAGCCCTTACACTTAATAGAGAAACGGGGCGAGACAGCATGTGATGAAACTGCTTAATGAAGCACTTGACACATGAATAGCAAACGAGTATTGGCTGCAAATGAATGGAACCAGCTTTTTAGTTTTTGATGCTTGCAGTTGTAAACATTTTTCAAATTGGAAAGTTCCTTAGAGATTTCGTTTTTAGTAGTAGAAGTTCTTTAGATATTTCGGCCTTCTACATGTAGGTTCCTTATAAAGTGGTTCCTTATAAAAAAGCGTGTATTACCAACATAAGTTATTTGGTTGGTTAGTTTTGGTTGGTTGGTTTTTTATAAAAATTACAGCCCGTTGCTTGATTGTTCGGTTTCGTCTTTCAAACGTCTTTCAAATCATGAGATAGCAGGTACTGATATTTGATAGTTTTCAAATGAAGTTCGACGTCACTAAACGTGGAAAGCGTTATAAGATATGAAAATTAGGAGGCCTTGTATCTAAAACTTCTTTGTTTATATAGCAAAAAACATCCTCTTTGGAACTCTATATACCAGGTTTAAATGTCATCCATTTTAGACATCTGCCGGTTCCTTTTTACATTGTATTGCCTTCTACTGTTTCAAGTGTTTGTGATTTTTGTTTGTCCCTTTCAATCAAGATTGGAGAATTTGACTATTCATTGCGTTTTTGTTTTCACTATCAAATTGTTTCTCTTGACTTCTTGACTGATATAAAATAAATAGTCCCTTGTGGATGCTTGGATGCACGTGAACGCTAGTATGACAGATTCGTCCATTCACTCACACCCAACCTGAATTTTTGCAGTTTTTGATAAATTTTGTTGGCACACAAGTATCTATCCTTTGTCCTTACGATTTCTCTCATGTTTTCAACCATGTCACGTTTCGCAGGAAATCAGTGAAGATGGTGGACTCTGGTCCCAGTTAATGATCATGAAAGTCTCGAATGCAAAGCTAGTAATGGCCAATGGAGAAACAAATGTGAGTCTGTAATATTAATTCATAATTTCTTTTGACTTAGAGTTCATTAAAGTAAACTGCCCAACCTCAAAGCAAAAAATTTGACGAATTTAAATTTTAATGTTACGCAAAGCGAATGTTTCAAAGGATCAGTATCAAAAACGTAAGCTTTGTTGCAATCTATTGAAATTTAAAAAGTTACAAGACATCTGTGATATCTTTAACACTGTTCCAGTCATCAAACGATTGAATTAGGCCCGTAATTTGTTGCCATGAAAATGCGAAATCTCAAAGGAACTTTGGAATGATTATTTATTTTCTGTAATTATTTTCATTTTTTCACCCCTTGCTTAAATAGTAATTATACTTTCTCTAACCAAAATGACTGAAACAGAATTTCTCTTTTCATTTTCAGGAAACTATCGAAGAATATTCTTTGGAAAACATTAGTCTTTGTACTTACGTCGCAGATCACCCAGCTGTCAATAATATCTTCATTTTCTCAACAAGATACTCCAACGACAAAGTTGGTGCAATCCATTTGTTCCAATGCAAATCCTCAGAGGTAATGCAGTTTAGGTTGAGCCCTCTTTTGATTTACATGCCAGCTGCCTTGCACAAGATTTTCCACTTCTTCAAGGCTTTGAATACTTTTTATCAAAGTTTCTGTTTTTATGCCAATAGAGATTTCGCACCATTAAGTTGAAACAATCTTTAAATGAATGTATTCATCGATTTTATAATAGGAAAAATACTATTTTCTTATTTGAAAATTTTATTCAGATGAATAGTTTTCGAATAGACTTGCCACTTCTTTGTGGTGAAATTTTTTCTTACATTTGAACTCGAATCTTGCTTTGTGAGAGCAATATCTTGCTGTATCTAATTCTTTTTCTGGCTTCGTAAAACGAAACAAAGTTATAATTTCTCCTTCATAAGTACTTTCTGGCTCGCGTTATGATCTTTCTAAATATGGAAATGATTAAAAAATATTGTGAAGAAGGATTAGTTGAAAGTAAATTGCAAAATATGTCGTTATTATCTGTTTGGCCGGTTAACAAACTTTGAATTGTTCAATGAGCGAAAGACAGAAAAAATAAACGACAACCTTTTCTCGGCTCTACTTTTTGCCAAATTTCCGTGCTATGACTGGAAAATTCATGAAATTGATATCTTTATTCTTTGTTCTTTAAAAGCTTAGAAGCTTTGTTCTTTAAAGGGTTAAAGTTCAAGTGTAAAAAAATATTGTTAACTTCAGTTAATTAAAAATATCTCTGTTTTGCGACTCAACTTTTTTTGATAAGGATTAATTTCTATTCTCGATCACAAGTAAACATGTTCCTTGGTGTTGCCATGATAAAATCAACACAAGTTGTCAAAGTTTACAAGATGATAGGTACCTCAAAGTATTGCATAGACGGTCTAGACAGTATGATCTTTCAATTTCTAAGAAATTGAGCCAGCCGATTCTCGTAAATGGTTTCTTATGGAGAAATATAACGATGTTTATATAGTACCTGCTCCGTTTGAATGACTTTTTTCTGCTTTAGTCTTATCCTAATCTAGGCTATTTGTTTTCATTAACAATTACTGCACTGAATCTGTATTCTAGATTCATCGCTGATGTCATATATGTTTCATTTCGATTCACAGGCAGCAGTGATTGCATCTGATATCAACAAAAGAAGAGGTGGAAAAGTAAGTTTTGGACTAGATTTTTCGTTACTAGTTGTTTCATCCAGTAACCTACGACGGTTGCTGGTAACCTAGAGTTAGGCCCTTTCACAGCCCAGTTAATAGAATGGATTGCTCAGCTACTCTAATGAGTGAATCTCACGCAGTTTTTATATATCATTGTATAACGTGAGCAAAAGCTACTCCTTTATTATTTTCAATTCACACTTGAGATACTTAATGTTATTGCTAGGCGCTAGGCATATCATATCATAGTTCATATTGATGGTTTATCGGTGTTAACCTTCTAAAAATTCGGAAATCAAGATGGTGAATAATTGACCCATGGATAGTCTTTGGTACCGCTACTCAGTGTTGCAAGGACTTTGCTTATGTCTAGAAATGCGTTTCATGTTGAAGAGAACGTTCTTTGTTTCTTATGTTCAAAGACCTCTTGGCTAGGGTTTTTTATATTTGGATAGCGTTTGCTGAAATTAGTTACTCTAAAGCAGGTTTTTCTAAACACGGTTCTGGTACCCCCGTCAAAATTCTTCAAAAAGCAATTCATGTTCTGAATTGTGTTTGTTCTGCGATTGCTAACACGCCATTTTCTCAAGCCCTAAAAGACTTCTGCAGTCGATGACAGTTTTTGCCTCAGTGCTTACATGTATATTGTCTGATGAAAGCCCCTTGGTTTGCTCAGAAAATTTTATCCTCTTTAATATTTTGCCAACTCCTTACATGGTTCTGCCAGAGTCCAATGCCAGATAACGTAGTCTAATACAAGTCACCAAGATACAGGTAGTTATCATCCAGTACATTCATTGAAGCTTTTTGGTACATTAGCGATATTTTGAAGGGATAGGGGTAGTTGAGTTCAATTTTTAAAGCGGTTATTTTGTTTCAAAATTTTAGCAATTTTTCTTCGACAACTCTAGGCGTTTTCGCAGTATCTTGTTTGTTTTTCGACTTGTTTGGTGGAAAATATCAAAGCAAATAGTCATCTTATTTTTCATGTAGCAGGTATCTTTAAACAATCCTAGGCTTTCAATACTATCTTAGTGACTTGCTCAAAATTCCAGACTGGTTAAAGCAGTCACTTGGTAATGGAATGGCAAACCGAATTCGTGTTTGTTCGTCATGAGTTTTTACTGATGGTTGTTTGTTTTATAAAGAGGGCTCACTCTCACCTGTGGCATTTTGTTCGGCAATCTTCATGATTGAGGACAAGACGTGGGAAGACCAGTTAGGTGCATAGCTTGTACGCTTGAAATTTCACTGACTGGTATTTTGAGCCAAATGATTTGAAAAGATCCCGTGTGTTATTCGACAAATCATATTTAGGCAACTAGGTACTTTCAAAGCTTACATACACGTTCATACTTTGTTCTTAGGATTTTCGCTGCTCTCCGGCAGCCTCCTCAGTAAGAATTCAAAAGCTCACTGTTTGTGTTCTTATTTTTTTCATTTCTTTTTTGTACGTGGCTGGCATTCTAAAATCTCATATCACTGGATCCTTTCAACACTCGCCTGCGTGCAGACTCTACGGAGGAGAAAAAAGCCAGAAAGGAAGGATAGTCTATTTTCCTCCCCTCTGGATTGTTTCTCCTCCGTAGCGTCTGCACGCAGGCTATTCAACACTGTCTAAAGATGTTTTGCTTTCTAAGCGTTCCCTTGCTCTTAAGCGATAGCGGTCTCTTGAGTATATTAAAAATCTTACAGACAAATCACTTTTGGATGTTTCTTAAAAGAGTAGTTTTTTTTCTCCCTAGCTAGAACGTTGTCATCAAAGTAAAAAAAAACTGAGCAAGATTGTCATCTTTGCACCACTTTAAAGAAAGTTTTCTCTAACCCCCTAATTTTAGGAAACATTTTGCTGATGCCGTTTTACTTGTGGACTTTGATTAATGTATTTGCTGTAGTCTAAAACTAAAATTTATATCTATTTGAATGATTTAAGCTGATTGTTTTATCATATTTCGCAAAAGTGGGGAGGCCATGCCCACAATCTTTGTCGGGGAAACCCCATCGCGCTTTATTCGGTATTCTAAACTTAAACTATTATTCTTAAATCAACACGTTTATTTCTGATTGTGTATGCTTTTGTTACTCTACTGCGAAACTATGCAATTTGCGTAAAAGCCTCGCTTTGAGGCTGAGACTAGGATCAACTACGTCAATCGTATTCTTAACTTTTATTGGCTTGAGTAGTAGTTGAAATTGATTGTGATTGGCTGGTATAAATTTTAGTTCCTTGTCTGTTTCTATAAAAGCTGGTAATTGAATCGAGAGCTGGAATTCGTAGAGAGATTTTTCATGTTGTACGTTGAGTCAAAAATGTGCTGAGCAGAAACTTACTGAAAACGTCAAGATTGTCTTTCTCTGATCCAAGAGTTTGCTCCAATCATTTATTGAACCTGCGTTAGCAAGCAGAGATATTCTCTACAATCTTTTCGATGCACTGCGATTCTCTTTCCTGCCCGATCTCACTTCAGTTGCTGTGGAGAATTAACCTCCATCTCCCAATATTTTCAGAACAAGTACGGAAGTAAATTGCAAGCCACAGTAAACTGTTCAAGCTCCCCCGCCCCCTCTGCTTTGCTGAACCTCCTTATTGTTCGAACGTTTCGTGTCCCCTTTACTGCTAGGTGCTCCTTACCCAACAGATGGCCTTCCCAGTAACTGCTCTCGGAATAAGGGTTCTTAAATAGGGTTTTAGAGGACTTTGCTGGGTGGGACCTTGTTTTATGCCACTCTGTTTCCCGATATAAAAGTAACCCTTGTTCACAGACAGAGAAAGTGAATTTCGCAGAATTCAGGCTTTCGTACTCCTCCGGACGGTCTACTGAAATGGAAGTTGGCGTGATGGTCGTGGTAGAAATTTTCTGTAGAGGTCATCAAGTATACTCAATGTCGTTGTTTTCATTCCTAGTGGTGATATGAAGGAATTATCTTTGGTTTGTAAGGAATTTGCCTTAAATGTTTATGTATTGTACCGCCAATGGCATTCGAACGCCCAAACCATAGTAACGCTATTAGCTAGTCTTTGTTGAATATTCTAAGATCTTTTGTGGGCATAAACATTCTTCCATTTGAAAAGGTCTCGTCGAACGTAACCCATTCGCATCCCTTACTAAAGTTTTGCTTGCTACCTTAGGACAAAATGATTGCCGGGGAAGGAGTCGTCAACGGTGGGTTTTCAGAAACATCGTCTCCCAAAATCAACGGACATTCCAAGGTATGGATGTTTTTGTGTTAAACGATGCATTTAACCGTTCATTTAAGCTTTGTTGTCTCTTATTGCTGATCAAAGTAAACGAAAGGCACTTTGTTGTTACTGTGCTTACTGCACTCTATTATCAATGCGCTGGTTGACTGTGTGTATTTGTAAAGAAATATCTACGTAGAAGCTAGAGTTTATGTTTTCAGTATTAGAGTGAAAGAGACTCTGTTTGCGTAAAAGCTCTCTAATGCATTTTAGTTGGTCTTAATCCCAAGGAAAAGTGCACCGACTTGAATATCAAGTGTCAGCTATCTATTTAATACGTCGAAGGATTCACAACAAACGGTCACAATTCCTTTGCCTTGCACCCGACATCTCTTTACTTGCTGGGCTGCACAAAGAAGGAGATCGGGAGAAGAATCCAAAAGACATGCTACGTTGATATCCTTTCTCCAAAGCCCACCTTTATTGTCTATCCACCAATGAAAATCTGCTTGAAGAACTGTACACAGCAAATCAGCAAGATCTCTCCGTCAAAATAGGATCGAAAGAGGAACAAGGGTAGGAATGCTCGCTTCGGTAGCCCGTTTCTGATTTGTCCTCTAGGCAAAACCACCAAAGGTTTACATCAGAACTTTCAGATGTGAGGAAAATCACGTCAAAAATCCGTTTTTCAAATAAGCTAGTTCGCAACTTGAAAAATATTTGTAACGTGCTTTACAAGATTAAGATTTGGCTGCCGATGTGCTTTGTCTCCTAATTTTTCACGCCAGTTTACGCCGCCAGACAAAAAGCAATACAACAGTGTAAGCATTCGGAGTTCCGAACAACACAAAGACTGATTAGTCATGTTTCATTTCCAAACGATTTAGTGAATGTTTTGCAAGCTTAACAAATACTTCCTCATACAATCCCGTTATTTCCCAGTAATAATACCAAGGTACCAAACGTTATCTTAGTGGGCAGTACACTATCACATAGCTGCCTTTGTATTCATTTCAAATATTTGAAATGCCAATCAATGTTACGAGTCGAGTCATTATGTTATTATATTGTAAAATACCATTCCAATCTTATGGAGTATTCTGCATGACCTTGGTTTTAAGGTTCATCTATTTTATCTTGCTGACACATATTAAAGAGAAACATCACATTTTTCTTTATCAAAGCACATGAAAGATGATTCCCAAAGATGTGACACCTGTATAGGGGTGAAGAATGGGAAACAGAAAGAAATTTTAATCAAATAACGGCGCCACTTGATTTTAAAAGCGTATGATGGATTAGGCCATCTTTTTATTCGCACTCAAAACGGTTCTGTAAAGAAGAACACAAACAAGCATTCTCAATCGTTAAAGTTGCCATTAGTAAAGGTGCTACGTCATGGCTTCCCATTCCCATTCTCATTCTTATTTCTAACTGACCAATTTTTTTAACAACTCAGCCAACATGTTTATGACATATTCGCGTTAAGAAATGTAGAACAAATCTTCTTGTTATTGATTTTTATTCTGCACAGTAAAAGATGGGGGCACAGAAAGTAACATGAAAGGTAGTTGCCCCCTCCCCCTCCCCCTGAGTGAGAAACAGACAGTTATTATAAAGTACACAGCCTACTCTATATTTTATAAATTGATTAAAACCTGCCTTCTAAATTTATATTTCTCCCGTTTATAAGTTAGGTATTAGATGCATGACTTATTTATTATAAGTTATATATTATTTTTTAGGTTGCTGACGGTGAAGATGCAGGCGACAATGTGGCAAAGAAAAACCTAGAAAATCTTGGATACGTCCATGATGAAACTGATGTTAGTTCTAAAATTGTTTTTTATTTAATTTCTCTCCCTTTATAGTTTGAAAGCGTTACCGTTTGAAGTAACAATGTTAAATTATGTCGTTTTTTAATAAAATCATCCCAAAATTTAACTGTGGTCTCACAAAGGTAATAGACATGATGTATAAATAACGAGGCTTTAAATTATCATCTTACCTGTTGTCAAGGAGCTCACTTCTTTATCTTTTGTTGGCGGCAGAAATAGGTTTTTATCTCATTAAGCTTTTTGTTTGATTCGTTTCATTGGATTGAATTTTGATTATCTTTGATTAAATTCTAAATTTTGGATGATATGTTTGATCTGAAATTCAAAATTCCTGCATTTTTCCATCACACCTTGTCCTTTCCCTTCTCTTATTGCGTTCCTATACCAGGCCACCCATGGACCTGTTAATGCAATGACAAATCTAATACAAATTTTCTAATAGCATGTTCTAATATGGGTATAAACAATATCTTTCGTGCTGGGTAGAGTAACTGATGCTCCAATGCTGCCTGCCTGAAATAATTTATGTGTATATAAATGATATCATTATTTCAAAGTTAAATGCCATCATGAAACTGAAAAAGGCGATTGCATCTTTGTTATGTTCGTATTTCTGACTTCTTTTTTATCTTTTCAGAATCTATCAAGTCCTAGACACGGTGTTGGAGTTCACCAACGTGTTGAAGCCTTCCAAAAGTTCTCCGAGCCGAAACCAACCGAGATCTTGCGCACTGGCAGCAGAACATCCGCTGATTATGTCTCTAAGGAAACTCGCCAAGCAAGGATAAACAGAGATGTTGTGAGTGTTATACCCACGTGTGAAAAAGCTTTACTTTTAACACAAGTTCACATTCACAGGATTAAAAGCAACCTGCCCGAAAGGTTCACAGACTACAAATGCAAGGAGCTGCTGTCTGAGCCCCTGTCCGAAGGGCAAATCATTACATGAAAATCTCCTTCACTTATGGCAGTCCTATTTTTTATCTGGAAAAACCTTGGAAATCTTTTTGTTTTGTTGTTTGAATCTCATACGCTATTCGCAAAAGTGAATTGCCCCCTTCCCCTGCTATTGCTTAACTTTCACTTCGACTGAAGAGAGGTGTCAGTTCTCTTCCAACCTGGGCTTAAGAATCACGATGTGTCCTCACAACGAGAAGAAGGTCAAGGACACTTGTCGACAAGCAAAGCTTTTCCGTACCCTAAGAAGCTAACTTTGGTTTTTAAACATAAACAAATACAAAAATTGCACGGTCGGTTTGCTTACGTTGCTTCCTAGGCTCGTATTTCTTGAAGCGTTATATTATTCCTTCAACTTTTTACTACAACCAAACAAGAAAGGGATACATTCCAAGGGGTGGCCTTTTTTCGAATGTCATGCCCGTCTTCGCAGCAACATAGCATTCATGAATGGTTTCAGCTCGAAGGCAATAGCCTGAAACTCGTTAAGATTAATGGCTGGCGGCCGACTAATCTTCTTTCCATAAAACAACAATTTATTCAAACTTGAACGAAGGTAAATTCGCGTAAATTAGCATAGAAAATGATAGCACATTGGCATAGATTACTCTGGATCTGTTTAGAATTAGAATGAGAGGTGAAATTGTTTGCGTTGGATGCGCAAAATTAGAGACACAATTCCCTTTTGTCATCCGTTTCCTTGGTAGATGGTTAACGGATTAAGAATAATTCCAAATTGTTTGGCAGTTAATGAAAGGTTGCATAGGAAATGCAATCAAGCGAATCATTTTTAGAAATAGCGAGTCATCTTGTTCTTGTTTTCATGAAAAAGCCTTCCAGATTGTAGACTTGCTCCAAGTATATTTCGTTCTCGAGAGATGAGTATTGGTTTCCTTTCTTTGGACTCCTACGAAGGAGACAGTATATTTCGATGAGTATTTGTTTCTTTTCTTTGGACCTCTGCGAAGGAGACAGTTTATTTCGTGCTTGAGAGATCAGTATTGGTTTTCTTTCTGTGGGCTTCTGCGAAGGAGACAGACGGAATGAGAAAAGGCAAAATTTCGAGCAGGTCTATCTAGGTTGGGAATGCTCCTGATCCTTCTTCAATTAGCCAGTAGACTACACTGCCAACCTTTCCTAAATAACAACAATCTGTCGACGCATTATGTTAATGTATATGTTGCAATGCTTCTATGTATATATTGTATTTATATATGAATTCTTTTAATTGCTGTTGTTCAGCAAACGTTTCTTGATAAGAGTGAAAAGTTTTGGCATGTTTTGTTTTCGGTAACCTTGTCATAAACATTCAGTTGCTAATGAAGGCTAGTATGACGTCATCAGAAGATCCATCTCATCCCAGCCCTCATGAAAGTTGAGGCAGGTCTTTAGCAAAAGGTACCTTTGACTAGAACACCAAGAATTATTTCCAATTAACAGTAGTATACACCCTTTTGGAGGGATGTTCTCTTGCATGTTTATAAAACGTGTTATCTTCTGAACTGCAGGAAGCCCTGAATCGATGTATTGAAACGGCTGAAGATTTCATTGTTGAGTTGAAGAAAATGAATGATGCAAGAAAGAAGCTAAGTGTTAAAGGGCCAAAGAAAAGCATGAAGAGAAAATATGGTAAGCAAAATTTCCTATCTTGTTGATATAAAACTCTTGTTAATAGCTTGTCGATTTTAGTTGCAGTTTTGTAAGCGCTCCGTCGTTAGTTTAAGGAGCATGAGTCTAATAGCGATTTCATTGTTAATTATATTGTCTTGTCCTATGATCTTTACAGTACTACAGGTTAGTGTGTGTTAATACGAAAAGCTTTCGATTTGCTAGAACTTGTATCTGTTTTATACGATAGTTTTTACATAAAAATGGGAAATTCTTACGACGATAAAGTATTTGTTCCTTTATAATATAACTAACAAATCTCTTAAATAAATAATCTTTATAAATTTGAGCAATACTTCCCCCAACATTGATATCATATCTCCCAATGAAGCAACCTTTTTCAAACAAACCCCCTCTCCCAACAATCAAGATGAGCTAAAAATATTTTCCTAATCGTCGTCGTATAGTGCCTTGTCAGATTCTGACATTGGCTGTCACAGCATGATATAAAGTTCTGTTTTCTGCCAATCTAATATTGTCCACGCCTCTTCTGTCTAAGCATTTGCCTATCCAACCGAGAAATGTCTGTTTCTGTCTTCCTCTATCTCTTTTTCTTCTACTTTCCCTGTTACCACTTGGTATTCGGTACATTTTTCCTCAGTACATGTCCCAAGAATCTACATTATTTTGCTAATAGCAATGTTCTATCGTCATTTTCTATAATTTTGCTTGTCACAGTTGCTTTTTTTCTTTCCAGAGGGAGCCAGAAGTCTTGCGAAGGGACCAACAGAAGCCAGTACAATTGACATGTACCAAAAGTTCAAATACGCCTTCAATTTATTGGTATGTTGATTCGTACCATTTGTCTTCGATCAGTGAAAAAACTACATCTTGTTCGCCTATTGGTATCTGGTTGAGATAAAGCCGAGTAAATACAGTCTCCTTCCTACAAAACCACTGTAATTTTTGCCTAGATCTACAGTCTATGAATGAAAACTTGAACTGCAGTCATCCTTTAGGAACTTTAGCTCAATACCTCTGCCTGTGACAGACTTGATTGACGGCTTAAAATTATTTGACATTCAATTCAAAGGTTCAGAAACATATTGCTTTGACGTTTTTACTAAGCTACTATATGACGTGATCGAGTCGTCTTTTTTATGTTTTGTTCTACTTATTATAGTAGCTATACAATGTATTTTATTCAAACTTTGCTTCTTCTTTTCTAGGGAAAACTTAAATCTCATATCAACAGCCCAAATGCTCCGGAGCTCGTCAACTATTTGTTTGTTCCATTGGAAATCATTGTAAAAGTTCTCGGGTAAGATCATGAAATAGCAAACCTATGATGAACATTTGCAAGCCTTCGTTTTGTTTTAATGCTACGAATCTTTTGATTATAAATGAAAGCATTTCGTATCCCAAAAACATATAAATTTGGCCTAACGCAAAATCGTGTTGCCATTGGGTAAATTCTGTGAAATCGTTGGTAAATTCTATGTTAATTCGATTCGTCCATTCCATTATTAAAGATTCATATCTTGAAAACTTTTATTATCACATATGCGGTCATTGCTTAAAAATTTGGTGGAGCCCTCGGGGCTTGTTCAAAACAAAACCATTGAGAGGGGTATTTGAAAGGGGGCCTTTCAAAATGGCGCTTAATTGAATTTTTACGGTATGTATTGTCTGTCTTTTACGGTTTTTATTTCACATTTTCATAACGGTTAGACTATCAAGATAGGGCTGTCATTTCAGATTGTTTAACAGTATTTATTTCGTTTAAGATAGGACTGTACTTTCAGATTGTTTGTTCAATATTTATCTTTTTTAGACATGAGACAGCTCGCAGTGTTGTCAGTCCACTTATGACAGTTGCAGCGATTGATTTGTTGACAAACTGCCTGAGATCCAGGGACCATGAATTTTGGAAAAGCTTGGGACCAAATTGGAGTCTTCCTCAGTGAGTTTTTACGTCAATGTACCACAGTATCCTTCGAAATTATTTTGCAGCATATGTCTGAAAGAGGGCCTTGGCATTTTGGGCTTGCCTTTTGGAGCTGCTGTGTTTCGTCTGCAGAATTAATTTATGCAATAAATTAACTCCACACCTTTATCCCCACAGATCAGCACCAATGTTCCATGACAGATACATCACACCATACGCCCCAAAATTTAAGGATGGGTGGACACCCCCGGAAATCGTTGCAGACGAAAGAGGTGCTGCTGCTGCCAAATCAACGGCCGCTATGGTCGCTCGGATGAAGGTGGGTTCGGGGGTGCTTTGTTGAGATTTCAATTCTAATGATAATTCTAGTTCTAAACAACTTAAAAGTAATTTGAAAACTAGGAACACTTGCCGAGGCCTATTTTAAGAATTCCTTTTTTACTATGCTATATCCCAGAATATGTTGAGAATCAACTTCTGCAGGCCTTTAATGCCACCTGTCTACAAGGATTGAATCCAGGGGCGGACACTTGGTCAAATATGGGGGGGGGCAAGCCTATTGTTTAAATAAGATGACGTCACATTTCCCATTGTTTTATACCAGAAGACTATTGTCCTCTAAATTATTGGAGATGGTCACCCCCTCGCCCCCAGGTGTCCGCACTGATTGAATCTGATTGGCCAATAAAACAATCAAATCAATCAAGACAAATAAAAAATGACCAATCAAATAACGAGTTGTCAATTCAGACAATGGTATATGCGAACAGATTCCCTTCATTTGTTATACATACATTGCCTTCAAAATTCGCACTCCAGGAATCATTTGAAGGCCTCTGCAAGTTATTCCTGATAAACTTATTAAGGATGATAGTCGAATAAAGCCAAAAAGTAATTTTTTATTTGTAAAGAAATGAAAGTTGTTTTGCTTAAAGCTTAAGACACTAAATTGATACCATAAAGATACATAAAGATACATTTGATATTTTCTAAAAACGACACAATTGTAACTTATTTTAATTGTAAAATTTACGTTATAAATCTACGCATAAATTTTCAGATAATTTGTGATTTTCGTATTAACGTGATTGACTGGTTTTGGTTTTTCGTAAGTTTATAATCCTAAACAAAAATAACACGGGTTTTAAATTAATATCTACTTAAGATCCTTTAAGTTTCAGAATTTACTGAAAGAAAATTAAATTTCAAGCATTATATATATATATAGATTTTCTTTATTTTTTAAAGCCTAATTAATGTACCATATTATAAAAATAATTTCGAAGATGTGTTTAGTTGTATATGTAATGTATTTATATGAAAAATGTTATTTAAACGATTAATTGCTCTTCTCAGATTTTACTAGAATAAAGTAATCTAAAACACTCAAGAATATGTTGAACTTAATCATAATGTTTTGAATGATAAAATAATGTTATATTCTGCTTTTAAATGATTGTTCTTTTGCTATACTTATCTTGTCCCTTTTATTTCGCTTGCAATTCTTTTTTTCACCTTAATTGTGACTAACAATTTTCACGCTCCTGCACGCACGTTAACGCACGAAATCGCGATCAATCAGCACGACTAACCGCAAGCTAAAAATATGCACGCTTGCAAACACGCTTGATTTTGCATCGTAATAGCCTTTGCACGCACAATTGATTTTTACATTTTAATCTTACCCAGCAACCATTTTTTGTGTCCTTTTTATCAACTAACCTCGTCACTTTATCCTCCTTTTCTTTATAACTTATTTTATATATATGTTATTTCTAGAATTAAATAAACGTAAATTTATTTATGCGTTCCTGTGTTGTTTTTATCCTATGTCTTGTCTGCCTGTGATATTTTGTAACTGTGACACTGTTGTTCATTGTAATATTTTTTCTTATGCGTTTCTTACTAGTCTGTACTTCAAAGCTGTCATAATTCGTGTAATTACAGCTATGTAATGTACTTAGATGTCTTAGATTGCACTTCTACCGTTTCCTCTTATTTTAACAACACATGCAAATTCTTTTACGTGAATGCTTAGTTTTATGATCCCCAGCACTTATAGATCATATTGTTAACTGTGTGGGTAGTATGACCTATTATTGTTCAACAAACCAAGCTGAGACCACCATTACACTTTGAGGTTTTTCTCAGCTTTTTATGTGTGAACATGTTGTCGTAAACTTCATATTAGTTCTTATCAAAGCTATATCAGCAATATGACAACGAGACCAATGAAATATGGCAATATGTTTGTTTTCACTTATTCCAACGTGATAATGATTTTAAACATTTCCAATCCAGTCTATTTTAGAGTGAGCATCTTAAGCAACCAGCATATCCTACTTACAATTTTAATTTTAATTAGCCTAGATTTGCTTATAAAGGCAAGATTTAAAAATTGACTGTCAAAAACTAGATATATTTGGAAATAAACGGTGAAATGTTTTTAGAAATGAGCCCTAAAAGCTTGAATATTTTTGCTCATTGATAAAAATATTATCCTCACTCCGAGAAAAATACACATCGATTTTAATGATGAATTTACGTGAATTACTGGAATCAGAGAAAGGTAATTGAAAATCGTCGATTTGACAATACTCTTGGCCTAGAGCCTTTTCTTTTGATGACCGGGACATTTATGCGAATCATGGTGCCTATTTAAACCTCAAATTTCCTTGCATCTTGAAATTTCTTTCTTATAACTTGAACCTGTAATGGGATTTCGTCATTGACGTACGGGGATATGTTATCTGCAGTGACAGGGTATTCGTACCATATTTATTCGTTGTTTTTAATAAACAATCAATCCCTTCACTGTAATCTTTGCAGTTCCAAAGGGTTGTTCATAAGAAACTTCATTCTTTGCAGCAAACTTTTAAGGATAACGTTTTGTAGGCTGTTAAGAAGACTTTGATAATGGATAAGCTATGCAAATTATATTTCCATTCAGCTCTCCCGAAGGTCAAAGAATTTCTGCACGTCAGGGGCATTTATTCCCCTATCTCATCATATAGTCAAAGATGATCCTATTTAACAACAAAATTATAAGAATAAATTAGAAAGTGGAAAAATTTGGTAAAAGAAATACAAAAGATTGGTGAAGAAGTTTGGATCTGCTGATTATGTGGATGAATCTTTTTCAAATCACTGAATTATAAGCATGTGTACAGGACGTTATTTTCCCAGGTTTGTTGCCTTGACTGGCCAGAACAAAGAAAAAGTACCAGGGAAAACTATGTTTAATGATAAGTCCCTTAACAATTTTTTTTGTAATATTGGTCACCTGAATAAAACCTGGCCTTAATCTTTGAGGACTGTGGTGGGGTAAATTTTCCTGTGGAGTGGGAGGGGGCGCTTTCACACCCCCCTCCCACTCCCCCAGTGATACGTCAAGAAAGACTGATTCGTTACCGGAATCAAGGAAGTCGTAAGCATTTCAAAATTGGAGGGGCACAGGTAGGAATAGGCCTAAAATGGATCTCACAGAATTTGGCACCTTTGCAAAATTTCCCGAGGACAAATCTAAGAAAAGGGTCTTTTTTCCGAAAGTCCCTCCTTTCCGACGTTCCTGCCCAGGATTTTATCACGGATCATCTTAGCAAAAAGGGGACTTGATCTTAAGGACAGAGTTTGTGCTATGTTATTGTCCTCTCCCAACGCTATCTTCTTGTTACGGGCACGTTGCACTTGTTGCCCAGCCTTAATTGCACGTAACGATATCGCCACTTTCTTAGCTATAATATAGTTAAGATATATATATATTCATTTGTCCCTTGAGTCATTGTATGTATTTCGTGTTTGCATTGTTTTTATTGCTGTTTGTGTCGTATCGCAATGCAGGAGTCAGAATTCGGGAGTGAGAAAACACGAACGATGGTTGCACGTGCAGTTCAAAGATTCAGGAGTTTGGCTCACGAAGCTAAGACACGAAAACTGGCAGAGTAGGTTCCCTACCGCTGCTATCTGTCTCAATCTTCCACAGGATATCCAAGTCTTTTCCCAGTTGATAACGAGAAAACAGTCTTGTATTTTGGATGTACGTTTTCTAAGTATTTCCCAGTAATTTTGTTGAAAAAATGTAATAAGCAGAGGTTGGACTTAACGCGGGAAAAAGGTCTTTAATCGATCAAATATACAGCGATCTGGGAGCACCCGGTTTAGAAGAAATCAAAACAACTTAAAAGCAACACGGGGTCTGGTACCCAGGGTAGGGGTCTGGATGTAGTAGTTGAATGAAACTTTGTCATTTCTTTCTTTTTGGCGGTTACTTGCTTTGTGCCAAATTCTATAAACTCAGCCCATTCCATTAGAAATAAACTGACTGGAAGGTTTGCTTAGGAAATATTTTAAACCCGAAAAGTCAAAGCGCTTTTTTCCAAAGTTAAAATTTTTAGGTAATGAACAGCAAGGTAATATATTTTTGTAATGCCATGACACATTTGCTATCTGCAATTTTATTGAAAAAGTGATTTTCAGGTCCCTATATTTGTTAGATATGAATTAAAAACTGGTGGCATTTCTCACAGAGAAAAACAGTTTATAATTTACTATCTGAAATGTTTGAAATATTTACTGGATTACTACAGTATTTGAAATATATGCTAGATTGTTAGGCTTGAATAATATTTAGTCAAGCAATTAGCCCGTTAGAGAGCCTTATACACGTTTATTGGAAAGTACTGTCGTAAATATACCTCTTAGTGACAATTTCTGGGTAAAGAGCGACTGTCAGCCGTTGTTTTTAGCCTTGGATATCCTTGTGAAGGTTGAGTCACTGTACAATATATTTTTGTCAATCACGTTCTTGACAGCTATCGATAGATACTAAAGTGGCTTGAGCAGTCTGTCAGTCAGATTTGGCCAATCAGTAACCGTGTGAGTGATATTACGGTTACTGATTGGCCAATTTTGATTGACAGATAGTTAGGCCACTTTGGCGTCTCGGTTTAGTTCTTGTCATTCGTTTTCCTGTTCATTGTTTTTGTTCCATTGTTTTGCTACATATTATGTGATGCTACTCCTACCCATGCCCCCTATCAAGTTCATCTGCGCGCTAAGCTGAAGCTGTAACTACTGCAAAAAGCGTTCTATTTGCAAATTGGCATCTAAAGATCGTGTCGGTATCGTGCGTTTGATTCGCGTGTGCAGGGAGCTTATTTGACATCAACCTGAAAGTAACGTGTGCGTATTCTCTCCATCAAGATCGTCGAAGAAGAAGAAGAAAAAAAGAAAAAGGCGCTGTCAGTATTCTTATTTTCTCCTTATACACGCGTGCTCTTTTCTTTATCATAACTTTTCGCGAAGATTATCAACAGAAAAATTGCAATTTTTTATGTTTATTTTCCGAAGATTTTGGATTTTGCATTTTTGAAGCTCTTAATTTATGTTAGTTTCCCTAGACCAGAATCTACAGAGTCTTTATCACAATGCAATATCTTCTCCTTCACGTGAAAATTTCTCGATATATTGCTCTTTGCTTATACTAAATCTTAAAAACATTGTGAAGTTCGCAACATGTACTTGCATTGTATATAGTGACGAGAAAAGGGCTGTCGAAGAGGCCAAACATCATTACGAAACACCGCCTGTGCCGCCCGTACCCGTCGTTGCAACACATGTAAAGAAGACAGTCGAAGAGACTCCAAAGAGACAGCCGGTTGGAGAGCTGAAGTTTGCTTTGGTTGTTTACGATTACTGGGCACATAACAACAAGGAGCTTACAATTAGAGCCGGGGAAAAAGTTGTTGTAAGTATTGGAATGAAGCAATGGTTACACTAATTAATACAAAGTTCAATTGGCTAGGTTTATTCGGGCAGTACTTGGAGTGTTATTTTCCTGCAGTCGTAGCTTGAAGTGAATCATAGAATTCACCCACGTTAGTTAAGATTTTCCTGGGTATCATCCTGTTCTATCTCTTTGTTCCTAAGCTGCTTCAGGCATAAATCTTGTACCCAACAAACCTGCTCTGAGTTGGGATAAACCTGCCAGTGAGTTGCGATTAGAAGAGCGTCGTTTGCTCTAGACATCTAACTGTGGTGCCTGCCAAAATAACTTAGAGAACACCCAGCACCTCAAGTCTTGTTTTAATAATTCCTTTCCAGAATGCTAGAGCTATCCACCAAAAACAATGTTTATAGCTCTTCAAATGACCCTTCTTAATGTCATACATCATTACGTACTTAACTAACAACTGTTTAATGGGGAGATGGGATTGAATAACTGACCTTGAGAACAGACTGAAGTGTTCCAAAACTGTTGGTCGTAATCGCAGCATTGCGATTGTCATGAACACCAAGATTTCATTTATGCTCTTGCTGCACCTTAAATCGGTGACGTCTGTATACATTTGCACAGGTCCGGATCACAAGCCAGATCAAATTCGTAGAAATCCTGTTTGTATTAAAATTCAAATACCCATTAAATCATCCATAAACAAATCATTGCATATATGCATCTTTTGTTTCATTGCCTTGATTCACAACTTCTTCTATTAATCGCCTAGATCATAGACGATACCCGTAGATGGTGGCTGGTAAGAAATAATGATGACGAGCAGGGATACGTTCCTTCAACTGTCCTTGAAGTCTACAATCCTGGTAAGTTTAATTCTAACGCATTGTGAATCTATTTCTAGCGTTCTGTTTTCACGGTCTCAGGACATGCTGCAGTGTCCGTCTGATTTGTCCATATGTTAGCTGTACGAATCTGAAGAAAATTCTGAGGAAGGAAAGAAAGTTTTCTGACTTGCCAGCCATAACGCAGCTGTATCAGTTTTTAGTTTTCTTGCATAATTTGCATGTTAAAGCTAAGGATACCCTGGGATACAGTTTTGGGTATCTTAGAATTAATTTAAAATTTTATACAGTTTGTAAGCTCTCTGAAACACGACCTTGCCACTTTTAAGTTTCTCTTCTCAGTCAGCATGCATTTCCGTTTGATAACACCCCCATATCCTTGTGATTGGGGATATATTATTGTCTGGAAATATATCTACTAGCTCTTGGCAACGTATTAACAACGGGCCAGGATAACCAAATCCCTCCTTGTCCGTTACAACCATTTTCTGAACGCACTCCGTGTGCGGCGTTGCTTCAGAGAAACTGATCACATTTTGGTGACGATAAAGCTATGAAACCGAAAACGATTACACGCTCGCAATGCATGCCTCTTGAATAGGTCCCTTTAAAAGATCGAATGTTTTATCTGTAATATACAGTTTCTTGTAAGGAATTGGATTTGTTGTTGAAGAGTAAAGAGATTGTAGCTCGAAAGGAACGAACAGTTAAATTGAGATTTGTTACATTCACAGAGACTGCCTCTGCCTCAGAGACATCGTCAGCTGGGAGCTCTGTTTCTCCGGCTGCAAGTCCCGTTAACACTGCAACGGTCTCACTTAACGAGACTTTGGAGCAAATCAAGGTGAGCACATTATTCAGTTTGCATATTTGCCTAGTTAGCATGTGGCCTAGTTAATGGAGCATTAATTAAAAATCCATATTATTCTTAATACTCCATAAGTTTCTGTTGTTTAGAGGTTGCAGCTAATCATTCCGCTCTGAAAATCATTGTAGAGAACATCATCTCGTTGTATACTGGTGCTTATGACAACCCCAATTATATCTGCAAAACAACACTGAATTTCCTCATATGGCTTTTAGCCATTCAACTCAGTCACAGAATAGGAATTAGGCAGAAGAGGAACTCCTGCCTATCAGGTGAAGCCTAGAAAAACTTGCGTTTGCGTTAACTTATTGGAGGCTTAGCATGTATCTGTCGGGGAAATTTCAAAAAAGAATGAAAGTGGACAACTTTATTTGAGACGAAATGCCCCATGATGGTGAACAAATTCATTTATATATCATAATTCGTTTATATCTGATTAACGAATGATAATTTGTCATGGCTAAGTTCGTCTAATGAAATCGAGGTTAAAGGGGAATTAAGGAATTCTATTGTTGACTCAGACTTCAAAAACAACAAAGGAACCAACGAGAGTTACCCTTCTGCCTCAGTCTCTAGATATGTTCACCAGCAGATTACCGCAATGCGGCATCAATTTTCGCAGACTAAATCAGCTATTTTCTTAAAGTAAGGATCCTCGGTTCTGGAAGATGAAAGGATTTTCGATACGTTTAGAAATTACTATTCTCAGTCTTCTGTTTTATCCTCGCTTTTATTAATCCTATTCGTTGTGTTGTAGAAAGACCAACCGGTTTCAGCTGAAAATACCCCTGCAACAGTGGTCACAGCAAGATCCATAATAACAGAATCATCCCAGTTTTCCAACCCATCGTCTCCAGTCAGCACTGTACCACCGCCAATGGTCTTTGTCTCACCAGACTCCCCTAGAGCACGATCCGTTGACCCAGAGCCGCCATCTTTCCTCCCACCCCCGCCACCAGCTATAGAGCTAGCCGCACCAGCACCAGCTCCAGCAGTTGTTAAAGTTGAAAACAAGGTTACTGTTCAGAAAGGTAATATTCTCTTAGTAATGCTTCCATTTCATGAAGAAGAATTCTCGAATTTGGCGAATTTGATGAAGAATTCTCTCAAGTGGAAACCACCCTAAGGCCGAGTGTATAATAATTATAAGAAATCTCTATGTTGATTCTTGAATCAACATTCTGAAAAGTTGTTGAGAGAGGATAAATAGTAATGGTGTAGGTTTAATCTTGATACATGATAAGCTGGAATCGTAGGAAAAGAAGGAGCTTTGAGGGCCTCGTTTTGGCACAGATGTCTCTCATCTGCACTCGAAATTTCGTTACATTATTCCTTTGTATGTTTTATTTGAGCAGTTGAGACAGACAGCCTTCAAGTTGAATTGTCAGCTAAACTACAGAAAGCATCAGATGGCGAAAGCAAGCTTACCGACGCTGCGGATAGTGGTGAGTAAGCAACCTCGTGTCTCTTTGAAGGAGCATCTATTTCCTATTTTGGTTTAAATGAGCAATAAGATATTTATAAAACCTTTAAATGTGAATAAAATACCAAAGTTACAAAAGAATCGTTTATTATCAATCGTCATCACCAATCATCTTTTATTATAAATCATCAGTTACCATCAAATATCACAATGGTTGCTATTTAATTATATCTTCAAAATACTCGAATGATACATAAAACTGGCTAAAAAGTCCTATCACAAGCTGTGTCTTGTTTTATTCATATACTCCCTGATACGAAATTAAAAGCAACAATTTTGTCTTGTTTTTATAGTTGACTTCTTTATCCCTCTGTTCAAATCATCAACTGCCGATGACGTGTCAAGATGGCTGAAAAGAATGAAATTCGAGCCTTTGTAAGTTTTATTAAATTATGAATATTATGTATTTATGTCATGATATTGTAAATATTTATGCTAAATTTATGCAAATTATGTATATCTATGTTTCCATTCGCCACTGAGGTCTTGTTCATAATACGAATTGTCCATGTGCCATGCACAAACAGAATGTTTAAAGCTATTTATTGTTTCACGCTGTCTCTAATTTAAAGCCCTTTTGCTGCATGTCAAGCACGTTTTACCTGCCACTTTTAAGTTAGAAATGGACATGCAGTTAAATATGTTATATAGAGTTAAATATGCTAGATGCGTGCTATACTTAATTGTATTGACGTCGTTTCGAGCATAGTTCGTTATCGGGTAGCAATGCTCGAAACGACGTCAATAGAATTTACTCTCTCTCTCAATACAATTCTATTATAGATTCAAGTTATTTTAATGCATAAAGTTCCCTACAGTTACATGTCATAAAATGACGAAATGAATTACATGCTTTGCTTTTGTCCAATAGGACGGTGGAACGACTGAATGGAGTTGCTGCAAAAGAATTGTTTAAAAAACCGGAGGATGACCTTATTACCATTCTTGGGGAGAGTGAAGGCAAGCGGCTGTACAATGAGCTTCAAGTACAGACTGGGGCAGTGACGGTAGGATCGTAAAAGCATTTTTGCACTGCATTGAAAACTCACATTGTTAGCAAACATTATATGCAATTGGATACTGAATTGTTTGACAAAACGAGTTTTGCAATGAAATTAAAGCAGGGGATAGCCACAAAACTCACTGTCTTAATTTGTGAATTATATCTTTCCCTGATTATTTGATCCAAAATCAGTCCCTTTGTGCGTGTTCTCAAACTAAAAAAATAAAACCCTAATTTAGGCTTCCTCGACACCAATATCTTATGCTTGCCAATAACGATATCTAATATTTGTTCCCTCTCTGCTTGGTACTTATTTATCAAAAGCCAGTGGCTCGTAAAGTGTAATACACCGTCCCATTGAAGACTCCATGGAGCATTTATGTAACTTTTATTTTATAGTACGTTGCATGTTGTTAAGTTTAGTTTGTCAGCGTTTTGGTACGAAACCAAATTTTTTCTGCTGCTCCGCGCCATTCTGAATTTCATAAAGCGTAGGGATTTAGCAATATTTTAGGTTAATTATCTTTTGTATTTTTTCTCCAGAGACATAAAACGATGACGGAATTCCAGGTACGTGATAGAATTATTAAATAGTGTTTTCATTATTTGCCTAATAGAATGTCTTGGCAGATTAAAACCTTTATCCAGGAAAACGCAATTTACCGATACAAATAAACACATTTGTGGTTCTCCTCGGTGATGCTGGCTGGAACCTAGAAAAAAGCGATGGCCAATAGCGAGCCAGTCGCTGAGATGCCACCATGCAACTTGTGGCTTTTTTTAAACAGAATCGGCTTTTGGTTGGTTGTTTGCACAAGCTTCTGCAAGATCGAACTCTTGACACTTCTGCAAACGTGTTACTCCAGCATGTCCCATTTTCCAGCTTTTCATAGCATAGTCCTTCTTCTTCTATGATATTCATTTCTGGTTCTGTAATTGGTTTCCAAAGCTTCTGAATCATTGTGAACCTTTGACATGCCAATAATAGCTGGAACCATTTTGAAATTTTCAGAATCAACCACTTACAAACGATTCGTAAATAGATTTTGACCTGGCAAAATTATATTTAGGCCCGGGTCAAGGTTTTTTGGAGATTATGTTGTTTGTGGTTTCAGAACTTGTAGCCTGAAAACATTTTAATGTTCTGTATTAAACCCTCCATATTGTGAATAACCTCAAAATGTTTCCGCTTTACCGTGCCAACATTTGAAATAAATTTGGCCTAATAGCATCAAGTAAATTCCGAAAAAATTTAATCGCTAGATGCCTCCCGCGTTCTTCCTCTTTCAAATATACGGTGACGTATTGGTTGCTTTGGAGAAATTATTTGTGTCCAGAAAAAAGTGGCACACATTGCACCCTGTCCCTCCCAAAAAGGAGCAGATTTAAGCACATCACTGCTTACAAAAAACAATTATTAACGGAAGCTAATTGAAATTAGAGTTTGCTAACATCTTGCTTGGTTTGCCAAGTGGACACTGTAGCACAGTGTGAATTTTTTCCAGCTATTTGTTTTTGATGACTGGTATCATGTTAGAATTATTTTACTGCCAGTCTATGGTATAAAGTTCATTTATCTTTGCATGCCATTTAACAATATACATAACATGTATGCGTGCTTTTATGTCACAGTCAATCTGTCTTTTATTGCTTGTTTAAAATTGTAATTTGGATGTGAAAAATTTGTTTAAAAAGAAGTGTTTGCTTCTGCCTAACAGAAAGCTCTCTTGGAACGAATGAAGAGGCAAGAAACTATTCAGAAGGTAAGCTATGAATGCAGTTTACTGTCATTTGTTGCAGAGATTAAGATAATGTATACTGTTTGGATTTTGCAATTGAGCTGTCACTGTTATCAATGCTATTACTGCGTTATGCTGTCAGTTTCTTTGTAAGGGTATGTAACTCAGTGCATTGTATTTTATAAATCCACAGGGCATCATCGTCATTATAATTCTTGTTTTGATTTACATAATCAATAAAAGATATCTTTATGACAGTTTAGGAAACATAGGTTTCAAGCAAAGTGGTCCCTGTAATACAAAAGGCTACCCCCCCTCCCCCCTCAAATACGTTTGTCCACATCTTCCCCTCCGCTTCTTGTCAATATACTGAAGAACAATTTTATGCAAATAAAAGTCATAGAAATGTTTTATGCAAAGAAAATTTATGTATCAAATTAATTTGATGTCATTGATTACATTTTGTGGGGTATTGTTCGTACAAACGTCGCAGTAATCACACTTCGGTTTTCGTTTTGTATGGCACGATCTACTTTGCTGTCCCATAATATTTAAGTTGATGTTCTAGATTTAATTTTTATCGTAATATAATAATTTCATGCCATAAAGTAGATTTATTCTACTTTGGGCATTGAAACACCAGCCCCAGAAGCACATCCATAGATAACTGCACTATTTTGTATGTTGTGTTTGTAGAGTGTAATAAAGCACCAAGTTGTTGTAAAGTCATCGAGTGGCTCAGCAGAAATGAGTCAGGTGAGATTCCTCAGTTTGTCATCACGTGATATTTCCCATTGTCTGGTTCTCTCGAATGTACTTGTTCGTGGTGTGCCCTCTTTCCCATTCTTTCCTTCCATCCCTGTTGCTATGCACAGTTGTACTCCGCTGATTCGGTTGCTAAACCCAACCTTATTAGCCTTGGACTACCCCCCCCCCCAATACTTTAATTGAAACTTGCCCAAAACCAGTACTGTGGGTTTTACCTGCTGCAATCAGTTTCAGTCATTCTTTGTCTCCTTGCCGATCTCTAAATACAACAGTTGTTAAATGGTTATAATATCAAGCTGTTTTGTCAACGACCAATATCCAGCCTTAGATGATAAAAATTATACATCTAAGCTAAAGATGAATCTAAAACGTTTGGTTGAGTTTTTTAGAAGTAGAATCAGGGAATGTCTGAATTGACCTCTACCTAATCAGAGAAGTAAAATGGTAAAATATAATTGGTTGTTTATGCAAACAAGATTTCATTGAACTTACAGATGTCCAAGCAGTTCTTGCAATCTTTTGGTATCACCACTCCTTAACCTCAATATTTTAAGCTGAAGGTCAATGTGATAATCAAGCTATCGTTAATTAGGACCTTCGAATTTTTGTTTTTTCACTCTCGTTGTATTTTCTATCTACAGGAAGAAATGCAGAGGAAATTTAAAGAGCAGCAAGAATTAATCAAAGCACAGAATTCCCATCCGGAAAGAGAACCAGAGAAGCCCTCTTTTAGCTCATTTCAAGCAACAAAAACAGTGAATAATAATGAAGATGCAGCCACTGCAGTGAATTCGTAAAAGCAAGGTATGTGGAAATGCTTTCATTTATTTTCAAAAAAGGATGTGTGGACGCCTCTGCCCCATTCCTCCTAAAAGCCTTTATGTTCTTAAAATACAGACTAGCTGTAGGTGTCAAGGTATTTGACGTCGGAGAATCTTTGCCGTTGCCTCCCTACCTCCCTAGTATATGACCTAATCACGAGCCTGCCCTCGATCAGGCATGATTTGGTTAGGCCTTCAGGAAACTAAGCTTTATTTCATTTGTCAGACTTTTGCTAACCTTTTGCAATATTGATGGAAAGATGCTCTGTATTTATAATATTTTTCGACATAAGTTGACTAGATGTGCGGTTGGAATTATTTTCAATGGTACGCAGTAGTTTCCTTCTCAGCAACAATCATTTAAAACCGACAATTTTTCATGCTCAGAAGTCAAATGTCGAATATTACTTCCTAAAAATCATTCCTGCCTTATTTGCCACAAGGCTGTATATTTATCTCCCCTGCTTTTGATATCCACGTTAACAAGGCCCAAGCCAAAGCTACAATAAAAGGTTAAAGAAGAAGCCTTAGCCCCCACTTTCGTTAGCCTTGCCCTCCCCCCCCCACCTTCAAACTCATGACGTAAGACCTGACGTAGATGGTTTCGGGTATAGGTTCTTCACATTTCGGATTTTGTGTTTAGTAATGCCGCGGCTTAAATAATCACTTTGCTTGCCGCTTCCCTTTCAACGTCCCCTCTTTTACAATTATACGTGGGCGTTCCAAAGCCAGACACTTTGCTATCGTTTTCATTCCTTTCACATTAAATTCAATGCCTTCTTTGTATAATCTTATTGCAGCAACGAAGAACGAAATTTGAATCATCTTCCAATTTTCCTGTATTCCTGTGAGCAGCAGAATACTAATATTGACGTCATGCGAACTAATTTTGGACGATATACTATCCAATACAAATGAATTTTCAGATAATTTAATCATTTAATATTTCTACATATCGTTTGTTGTAATTTTCCTACATACACTTGTATTTAAGTAGCGGACACGTGCAACTGAGTGGGTCGTCGTTTTTCTCACGGAATGCTTGTGACGTTTGCGTGAAAAGTTTTTGGAATCTTAAGTTATAAATGCGTTGACGCTATTTTTTATAATCCTCATGCTTCGCCCTAGATTCAATTAAGGTTGATACAATTTTGAAAGATTGTACTATGCGCTATAGAACATTTGGGTATTAAACAGTGTCATGGCGTTCAAGCAGTTATAGCGTCACACTATAGCCACTAGAAAAATAACTAATTCTTGTCTTGGGCTATTTCTATTTAATATGGATCTTTTTTCCCTTCAGTGTCATTTTTCAAAAATTTTCTCTGAATCGTCCCTGTCCTTCTATTTCCATTCTCTAAGTTGTACATTATTGCAGAAAGGTGGGACGGTTAACTTTTGCATCGTTGTCTTTTGTTAACAGCATCGGATCTGTTTCTATTGTGTAGTTTTGTATTAGCATTAATAGATTTGAAAAAGTAATGTGCACTCCACTTTCTTCATTACTGCTTTGTATCGTATATTACTTTCCTGTCCTTCTCTTTATCGTATATTTACACCTGCTTGGGTCAGATGAATTATTTTAATTTTGCATTTATATTATACATGCTATTTCGATTGAGTACTGCTAGTTTAGTAAACACAGCAATAAATATTTGTTGCCTGTTTTGTGTTTAGCTTGTTCATGGCACATTGATAACTCAGTAGTAGGTGCCATGATCACATGTACTAAAAGTTTTGAGGGCTTATCCTCGTAATATCATGACACTTTGTCAAACAAAGCATCAATTTTGAAGAAATATCCTCATTTTTCCTACTTACTTGTGTATAAACAAGCTACTTCTCTGGGCAGAAGCATAAATTGTACAGTTTTTGTACTTTGTTCACTTTTTCAGTATTTCCCTAAAGATGATTTTAAGCTATGATAAGCTTAGTGTTTAAGAATGCAGTAGAAGTACTCGATGTAAGAACAAGTGTGACTTGACGAATTTGATGAAATGCCTGACCACTTGGACAAAAGGTGGTTAAGGGGGGAGGGGCTCTTAGGGATTGCTTTTTCTTGGAAGTACGTTTGAACCCAAACAGGAGCCCTGCTTTTCCCAATAAAATTTAAATGTGCATCTAACGGGGACCAATGAGTGGGCAATGGCCTTCTAATCACTTGTGCCACCTTTGCGAGGAAGAACGTCAGATTGAGTAAAGGAATGAAATATTAACATCGTGTTTAACAGGTCTAAAATGCAATGTTCAGCCCCAAACGTTCTTTCTTTTAAATTGTTGATCACGTCACAACTCTTGGATAGGATCCGATAGCAATGTCATGGCTGCAATATTCATATTCTAAAATGGCCAAATCTCCCATATTTCCTCATTTTGCAGATCACTCACATTTTGGTGTGCGAATTAATTTCGATTGTCTTTTCAGGCTCAACGATCCATAAAATAGCCCCGTTAATATATGATTGATATTTTGCTTGTTTAGCTCTGTATTTTGTAAGTGACATTTGTAGACATGGCTAATTTTGACTCTTCCATTGCTGTCTGTATTTTTTCTTGCATTGGTGTACTTAACGATATATGCGTATTTAGCAGTTTCTTATCAACAACGCTAACCTCAACTAGTTATACTTTTTGCTGTCTCATTCTCTCTGCGTGTGCTTGCTTCTATGACAAATTGAATGAGACTGGAATCCCGTTTTATATTTCATATTTTAATATCTATTTGTTTGGTTCTAGTCTGAATCATAGTCAATTTTAACGTTTCAAAAGGTGCAAGACTTTGTAAAATTATTTTGTTGGAAGCATGTTGACGGAATAAAAGGATATTTTACAATGTTTTGCCTAATATGCTGGTTTTGGGGAATATTTAAACAAAATAACCAACAGGGCAGAATCCCAGATCCCTGACCTAGTGTAATTGACAGTGGTTTTAATCTCTCTTCCTGAAAAGTTGCAAGTTACAAGGAGGGACAATGTAGTGACAAGGTTGAGGTTCCAAAGGATCACATCTGCATCACAACACTGTCACATGAAGATCGAGTCAAGGTGAACCTTGCACCGTTCAGGTGTCGTTGCAACGTTTTGAAAGGACACCTAGTCAGTGTAAGCCAATGAGGTGAATATACACCTAATTGGTGCAAGTAGCCTCCCACAACAGCATAGTTTGCACCTCTCTTACGTGAATGCAACAAAATCATTATAGGATCCCTATGCATGGAATCGAAGATACAGCGATACATACTGAGTTCATTTTTTTGGATCAGGGCTTGCTTTAAAGGTGCAAATTTAGAATAGAAAGTACTTTATGCATCTGTCAGATTAGGATAACCTTTTTGTCTCGTCACAACTCAAGTTAAAATCAAATGCACTCATTTCTTACAATATTATTTTGCATAACAATGGCGAATGGTGACAGAATTTTAGACAGTTGAGTTTCCCTATTCTTCAGATTTCAGTTTAAGAGTTCCTCTTACGATAGCGATTAATAAATGCAAATTCTCGGCAATTTTTTAATTGCAAAATGTTAACAATACAACCAGCATCTAAATTCAAAAGGTTCGCTACCATGTCTGTGGAACGTAGAGAAAGCTGTGACAAAGTGACCGAAGAAAAAGAGCAGAGATTCAAACTTGAATGTGTGCAAGCTTTATACAAACAGAAAAAGAATGAAAAAAGTTTGAAACAATTTGGGAATAGTTTTTCCCTTTCCTTTTATAAATAAGGTTTGTGCAAATTCTTGCTACACTGAAGCTAATTAAAACCAACTTGTTTAAACTACCATCGCATTAAATTAGCTTTAGATAACCAATGTTGCACCAGTACAATTGAACGATGAAAGCTCTGTGATTTTTTCTTGAATATTTGTAACTGTTTGTATTTGTAGCTTTGCAAAGTGAGCAAAGTTGTTGGTTCTGTTGGCAAAATTTTTTAATTGTTTCGTTTAGAAATTGGTTTAAAGTTATTTTCTCATGGACCAAGTTGTAATTATGCAATGTCCAGTGAGTCAAACCACAACCGTCCTTTAATATTGAATTATAAATGGCTTCAGTCAAAAGGTGCAATTTAATTTAATGTTTATTCAATTTGAAAGCCACAAAATAGCCAGCAAGAACTTAAAAGTCCTTGAATACTTTTTCTGGTAAGTTTTAAGGACTTCATATTCAATCCTTCACAAGATCAGCACCACCCAAATCTGACCAATTAAGCAAGTAGGAAGCTTCCTAATGGTTTTGTTATGTTAATGCGACATAGAATGTAACCAAATTATTTCTTTGTCTAGAAGATATCTCATACTTGAAGAGATTTGATTTCATGACACCATCAGGCAGAAATTTTGGTTTCCCACAATGGTCGACTTTCTCTCAGAATAACAGAACAACAGGCTAGCCCCCCCCACCTTTGTCAGGTGACATGTGATGGGGGCCGGGGACTCGGACCCTTTTTTCATTATGGTAATTTTGATCCAGTTCTCATCCAAACAATGCATTAATGGTCTTTTTGAACCATACCAACCAAATTTTGTCTGTCCATATGCTTATGAATGTCAAAAGGTAATTTGCGGTTTTCAGTAAACCCATAAAAGATCACCTGGAATTTATTTGTTAAAACGACCACAGTTTTCCATTGTTGTTTTTCTTCTCTTCCGATTTTAGGATTACTGTATACTTAGTCAGCATCAAGTCCCCAATTTTTCCCTTATTTGGAAGGTGCATAAGAAATTAAGCAATTTAAAATGCTTTGCGTGGGTCAATATTGCGCCAAAATGTTGTAGGAGGATGACGAAAACGTTTGTTGTGTCAAAAAAAATCAGCTGAAGTGACTTCCCTTAGACCCTTTTGTTGTTTGTCACTAATGACATCATAGGTCCATATTTGGTGAACGAAACGAACAAGAGGCGTGCCGCATACGGAACTAGAGGCAAAGAGCATTCGATTGCCTTTCACTGATCGGTTCAACTGGCGGGAGAGAGTGGATTCCTAAGGTCGCAATTTCCAACGTGAATTCATCATTTACTTGGTAAACACCTCAAACTAAAATCAAAATGAGCATTCCAGAGGAAGAGTTAGCAGAACTCCGCGAGTCTTTCAACAATGTGAGTAAAACCGTTGGTTTTTTATGTTGTTTTGTAACCACAGCCAAGTTGTTGTTCTTTTGCAATCGGGAGATTTAAATCTTTAGGAGTTTTCTGATGGTCTTATTAGCTGTCGATAAGCTTCTTAACTAACCTGGGAGTTCTAGTGATCCTGTTGTGTGTCAAATATACGTCTTGGCTCATAAATGAAATTATGAATGAGGTTATAAAAGAAATAAGAATTTTTGCTGTTGAAAAAGGGAACTGATACATAATGCTATCCTACCGACCATTTTAAAACAATTCTAAGATTCCAGGCATTTTATTTCTGAAGTAGACATTTCACACAGAATTCTGTTGATATAATAGACAATGACAGAGGAGGTATTCTAATTCGTTAACATTTATTAACAATTAGGCCTAAACCTAAATTTCTTATAGCCAAAAATCCTTTTGAAGTTCACGAGTGTGACGTATTTACAGAACCTCTTTGTACTGAAACAACCTCAAAAAATTTATTCTTTCTTATAAATAATGGCTAGAAATAAAAAATGGCCACGAGACACCTCAGACTTTTGCGTGTTTACTGATCGTAATGCATGACTTGTCTGAAGAATTTCGCACACCGTGCAGACTATCATGTTGAATCTTGTGGTTCTTCTTCTATAACATCCCAGTTGTTCCCTTCCGCATGAGGTCGGCCGTTTCCAGTTTCAGGACTCACGGAAGCTTCTTGTTCTGCTATCATTTTACAGTACTCTTAAGCATTTTGTTTGTGCTGTATCCGGCGGACCGAAACACTCAGGTCGTCGTATTGAGATAACGAATTCATCACGGGCATGTTTACTGCTTCCCCCGACACCTCACTGGGGTTTTAGAGGTTGTAATCGCAAGGGGTTTTAAATGTTTCCTTCTTTGCTATCGAAATCGCGAGTGTATTTTCGTTCTAATGATGTGACTTCCGCCTCAACATTTAATATTGGCAAAACTTAAGAACCGTTTTCACTCACTAATAACAATTGGCTTTTCTGCAAGCATCAGAAAGCTTCCGTTTCATCACTAGAACTTGTGATAATTTTTGTGCCAATTAAAATGAATAATTTCTGCTTGTGTGCCTGTCAGCAGTTTCTACCGAATTATGTATAAAACAAATGAATTGAAAATGTCAAAGTAAGCTTTATCAACAGAATACAACTGGCTACTTTTAGTCGGATAATATTGAAATATTGTCTCTTTTTTACCCTCAACGATCTATAAATATAAATACCCCCTCATAAAGCAAAAGTTTAAAGTCTAAATTTCATAGAACTTTTCCTCTGCCCAGGACTGGTGGTCCCACAATTTTGTGGTGTTAAAATAATGGATACTGGTCTATTTTCCCACAAGTTACAAAAGGCTTGCTTCATCCATTCTTTTATGTATGCCATTAATGTAACAAACAAAAGTTTCATTGCCAATGCAATCTTTTGTGGTCAGCCGGTTGCTATAGCTTGTTGCTAAAGCTATTTCATTGCCTTTCTAATGACCTTATATATTTGATTTCCTTAGCAGTTGCTGCAGAAAATTATGGCAATAAAATTGTTATAATAATTTGTAATATTCTGTTCCAGGACAGTAATACGCTGATCAGTCTTAATAGTTTGGCTCTCCCATTTACCCTGTATTATAAGGTGTTATCGTCATAAAAATGAAGGATGCGAAATATGTTAAGGCAACATGTACTTTTTATTTTAGTATATACTGATTTATGTGGAACCCTAGCACTTCTGAATAAGAATTTTTAATGCAAATGAAAGTTTGTATTTACCTTTAATTAGCTCGTCAGTCATTCTGCAAATGTTGACGATTTTAGCACCACCCTTTTATCGCCTTATAAAATATATTCATATGTCAATAAGAAGATCAACTAATACTGTTTGTGCATCATTTCTTGTTTTTATATCATAACATTCCCTCTATCAAATCACGAATATTGAGATATAATGTCTTTAATTTTTAAGTTTGATCTTGATGGCAATGGACACATTACATCACAAGAAATCGGCAATGTGATGAAATCATTAGGTGAAGATATACCTGGATACAAACTGAGGGAAATTATCAAAGAGGTAGATTCAAACCAGAATGGAACTGTTGAATTTGATGAATTCTTGCAAGTATGTTGAATCCTTTTTTATGTATGATCTTTTAACTCAGTTTACTTTTGTTAATGGTAATTTTATATAAGTTTGCTCTAGTATGGAAGAAGCTTTTTATTTATGCCATATCAAAATGAATAGGCATTTGATTTGTCTCTTTTCTTTCGAAGTTGCTCATGCAGAATAGAATATTAGACTGTTCATCTGGTATTTGTTAGCACCCAGTGTTGAATTGAATGCTGAAGTCATTTGTGTGTAATCTTTTATTCCATCAAGATTTTAAGCATTAATTTGTCTTGTACTTCAACATTATTCATGCTCACTGTCAACACTTTGATGTTGATTTAAAAATGACATTAGAAAGATCGTATTGACATCAACTTGTCATCACTCTGTTACATGAAAAACAGTTACAGCTTTTAGCATATGTTTTCTAAGCTTCAGGGCCCTCACTAGCTTTTGCCCACAAGGAGGGTACCCTGATCCCATTTGCATACAAAGTGGGTAAGCCATCTTTATTTGCTGACGTATCTGAACTTTCTGGTAAAGTTCCCCTAGATGCCAAAAACCTCCCACTTTTACAATGAAATTTTCTTCCAAGGGATGTGTCACAAAAAGTAGGTAAAATATAAGCACATCTTGTTTGGTTCTTACTTTGCTTTAAATTTAATCATTAGTAACTACCACAGCAGTAACTATCAAAATATAACCTGAATGTTATTGGTATTTTCCTGTCTATTCTACAATTTTATGAAAGAGTTGCTAAATCCATAGATGCAAGCAATGATAAATTCACTTAATCTTGGATTGCAATAGGCAATATGACGGTACCTATAAGTAAACTTTAAAATATTTCATCTCAAGAATGCCATTTTTTTAATTTTAAGATTTACAAAACTGTGTCAAGCAAAGCCAAAGGTTCTGCCTTCAAAGACCTTATAAAGAAAAGAGAAAAGATCAATATTACAGGAGGATCATCAGAAGCATCTGCTGAAGGGACAAAGCATTCTTATTCTGACTCAGAAAGAGCTGCCTTTGCAGATTGGATTAACTATGTTCTACAAGATGATGCTGATTGTAAGACTTATCTTCCAATTGTCACATCGAGTGACAGTGATGACATGTTTGAAAAAATGAAGGATGGAATTCTTCTATGGTAAGATTTCAAAAATAGCATTTCCTATAAGATTGATTGTAAAGACTAAATAACATATTTTTGACAATGTTTCTAAAGTTAAAAAGTCAAAATATGTTCTCAATATGAACAGCGACAGACTGGATGTTGTCACACTCAATGACCTTTTTTGATTTTAGCAGAAATCTTCTCCTAGAACCAGATAATAACATACCCAAGCAGTCAGATTCTTTTTAATCATTATAATTTCTTTAAAAATATTTGTGTGATATACTTTGTGTTAAAATCTATAGTTGCTATTTTATCTACATATTTTATCTACAAAGCAAAGCCATCTGTTTTCTTTAAATTAAGTTTGTTTCATTACACGCAATGCTTATTTTTGCTAAATAAATTTTGCAGCAAAATGATCAATGTGTCAGTTCCACAAACTGTTGACGAGAGAACTATCAACAAGGGAAAATTGAATGCCTTTAAGATTCATGAAAACCAAATTCTAGTTGTAAATTCAGCCAATGCTATTGGATGCAGTGTTGTAAACATTGGGGCTGAAGATTTGTCAAAGGGAAAACATCACTTGACTCTTGGGCTTCTTTGGCAGATTATCAGGGTAAGTTCAACAAGGTTTCTTGTTTTTTTGCACAAAATTTGACATACACTGGGGTCACAAAAGTATGGAAGCGGCCCTAAAAATGGCGGCTTACAGATGCTAAGTGCCTAAGCCGACCAATTTCAAAAACAAAGTTATGAGGCAGAGGTGTGATTTTAATGAAGTTCTCCAATTATTCTGTTTAAACATAGTAGATTAAGGGAAAGTTTTATCTTTCAGATTGGTCTGTTTTCAAAAATTTCCCTGGCTGCTAATCCGAACATTGCAGCTTTGTTGCGCGAGGGAGAATCTTTGAATGATTTGATGAGTCTGTCACCAGAAGAATTGCTGCTACGATGGGTGAATTACCATTTGGAGAAAGCGGGCTCAAACAAACGAATCAACAACTTTTCATCTGATATCAAGGCATGTTTTTTTTAATTTCATTTTTATACTTTGGCATTTAAAACTTTATTGGTATTTGTCAATTGCCAGAATAAATTCGATTCTAGGGTTATATTGAGCAAACACATTCAATGGCTAATTTGCTTAAGTATTTTAATTGCAGGAATTCAAGACGATATATCTATCCTGTCCTTCCTATTTCAAAGAGAATACTTTGTCCGTAGATAGTATGCTCTTCTCGTTTCACAAAACAAACTTCTCATTTCACATTCCCTAATCACCTTAACAACTAATATTTTACAACACAATACTTCATCCACATTTTATCCTCCTAACTTTGTCTGATCGTGTACAATAATGGAGTTTACACCGTTTAAGTAGCTGTGTTATCTTTAGTTGCACGACACTGATTCTCTTGCTTAATATCGCAGTCGTATTTGTTCTAAGAATATAATACGGTCTGGAGTAATCAGGTTTTATCACCGCTAATACTTGCTTCATATTAATTTAAGCTGATAAAATGATATATATTGATAGAAGCAGGAGGCGTGTTGCAATTTTTAAATGCTGTTTCTTTTTAGTTATTTCATATCGTGACAATGAACTAAAATAAATGATGAGGAAAAATCTTTTTTCAGGATTCAGAAGCCTATGCAATCCTCCTCCACAGAATAGCTCCTGAGCCGAATATGATCGACAGGCCAGAATCTATAATGGGGGTGAGAATTATTATCAATGATTATACAGCGTTTTTATCTGCTTTAATGTTCGTTAATATAATCTGAATTAATGTATCATCTTTTGAAAATGAGAGCGTCGACCATACAGGGCTCTTGTCAAGTAACTGAAGCGGCAGTTGAAAAGGCTAGCCTCTTTTTTCAAAGGCTAGCCTCTTTATTCAAAGGCTAGCCTCTTTTTTCAAAGGCTAGCCTCTTTTTTCAAAGGCAATCTAAATGTTCTCAAATGGCTGAAGCCTCTTATCAATCAAATATTACCCTAAAAATAAACACGTGCGTGGTATAAAGCTTTTTGATTGGCCCCTTTTGATTGACAGTCGGCGTAAGCTACTTTGGTTTCTGTCGATTACAAACAGCTTCTAAAATAACTTACACCTATCAGGACAAAAAATGTCATTCGCAGCCTTATGTCCCTCAATCAAGCCATCTTACCCTTAAGTTAGTCGAGGAGGCATCTGAACCATAATTTATTGGAGATCAGAAATATTTTTTCTAATCGTCTTGATGCCTTAACCATCTAATAGAAGTTTACAGCTTTTTTCTTTGATAAAAAAACGTTTTCTGATGATTGTAATTATTTGGAATTGGCAAGACAATATATTCAAATATACATACCTTGGCTTTTGCATATTTCAAAATATTTGTCATGAGCCGTCAAGCAAGCGTGCAAACATTAATACTTTTGCTGACTTAAGCAAATTAATAGAAAGGTCTAATGTTTGTCTTGGTTTTAAATTAGTGAAATAATTATGAAACTCAATCCCTTAGTTTTCGTTAGCGTGGTTCTAGATTAGGCAAGTAAACCTGCATAATTACTTAGGAATACATGATTGGTTTACGCTTGGCTAATCGATGAGACATGTTTAGAAGCTGCAGCTGGATCTGTCACTATCAAACTAACTCGAATTTGAATTTGTTGCCAATGGAAATCGCGTCATGGCCTAGAAATACTTTCCAGAAGGCATCTCACATTTATATATTTTCTTCCCAATAGACCTACTAGAAACCTTTTTATAGAGACTGTTAATTTTATGAACTTAGCCCTGCTAAAACCTGGTTAATGAGTCACACTTGAAGACAACCCGTCATTTGACTTTAAACAAGTTGGCTTTTAACTGCATCCCTCATAACATTGAATTCAAATAACTATTAGATTGCTGTCTATGGCTAAAGTCACTATTTGACGAAAAACACAATCGTTTGTTTATCTGAAGACATTTGCATTTATGGATGCCACCTCGCTGTCAACCGCGTTTTATTATCATATATGAATTGATTCCAAAGCTTGTTTACGACCGTAAAGCCCAATGTCAAACAAGATAGGCAAATAAGATAAGCAAATAGTTCTGCGGGTTCTGTGAATTTCCAATTCGCTTTTCAAATTTAAAAATTGTTTGCCCGTATGGAATGACTGGCCTAGTCATCACGCAAGCTTAGTTTATAACTCAGAATGGTCGCAAATTATAGAGAGGCCAAGTGGTAATGGCTACCCTCGTTTAATGTTCTGCCTCTTTCCTAAATCCTTAGCGATTTTGAATAACTATAAATGCTTAATTGATCGCTAAATGGATACATTATTCGACAACAATCATAAACCCCGAGAATGAAATCACGTTTCATATTGATTTCGGCCTTTCGTTAAGCTCTTAAGAAAAACATTTACGTCATTGGTAGCTTGAAAACATCGAGTATCCACTAGTTCGCTTGACTACGATATGTGCAGTAAACAATCAATATTTTATTCTTGTGCAGTCAGTTTGGGTCAACTTGGCCTATTTTTATTCTACTTTTATATTCAATAACGATCACCATAACTGATATAACGTTAACTATTTTGTTTTAGGAGTGATACTAATTGATCCCGGGTTTCTTTATTTTTATGTCCATTTTAGACCTTGATCTATTCAGCTCCAACGAATTTTATGGGCAAGCCTTCTGCCTAAAATAACACTGGGAATACATTTTGAAATATTTGAAGTATATTTAAGTACAGAAAATGAAGTATAGTTTATTTATATTTAGTATGCTTAATGTATATCGATTTTTTGTAGGTAGGCAATTTGACAAAGCGAGCTGAAATATTTTTGGGCAATGCAGACAAAATAAAGATGAGGAAATTCTTGCGAGCAAAAGTTAGTATCTTTGCACACTCTGTAAAGCATTTATAGATACCAAGGCAAGATATTTATAAGTTATATCGATTAGAACTAAAATTTTGTTAAAAATATTATTTGGAAGTGAATGTGTGATATTTTTGTATGTGTTTAGTCTTAGAGCATGATTCATAACTCATATCCTGGGAAATATATGTAGCTATTTACTCATGGAGAAGATAGTTTGTGTGTATTTTGTAACCTTTACTTCATGCGAATGAAGGCTATTATATTGGACCGATATATATGTGGCGAAAAGCACTTTAAAAGAACATTTACCTAAAAAGCTGGTCCTAGAAAGTTCTTGTAAAGCTTTGTCCAAAAATAGAGTTCGATGATGATTTTTCAAGAAAGTTACTCTAATTTCAAATAAGACTGATTTTTACTGTTATCAACAAATTTTATTCGCAAGATGTATTACGCCACTAACAACCGTAGTTATTGGTTTTATTATAAATGGGGATTCTTTTTTCAGGACATTGTTGAAGGAAACCCAAAACTGAATTTGGCTTTTGTTGCTAACTTATTTAACAACTTCCCTGCACTCGATTTGGAAGAAGTGGAAGAAGAATTTGAGCCTTACGAAGAGAACAGGGAAGAAAAGAGTAAGTGTTCTTTTAATCCACAAAGTTAATTTTTTATTTTGTTTTATAGATTTATCATAAAGATTTTCTAATTTTGAAGTAAACCGATAAAGTACAATGTCTGTTGAATATTGTTTAATACATTCTCATATGATTTGCGTTTATTTTCACATTCACCTTTATCATGTCATAATCTTTTTTATAGTTACTTTAATTGATGATTTTCTACTGAACTTTGATTTAGCTTGAATTGCTGATAACCACAAACTTGTATGTGCTTGCCCCCAGAATCCTTTTGATTTTACTACATCTGATACCTCTATCAACCAGCCGCAACCCCCAAACCCCCCCCTCCTCTCCCTCTGAAGTTTTTCTTTTGCTTCCATTCGCTAACATATGCTTTCCTATTTCAGCTTTCAGAAACTGGATGAACAGCATGGGCGTCAATCCTTTCGTCAATCATCTTTACAATGATCTTGGTGATGGCATAATTCTCTTCCAGGTAACCATCCACTAGGGGGGCTCAAATCAGTTCTATTTTGTTATCATTGTCTATATATTTCGAGATTTCTTCCTTTTCTATTTTCCCTACATCCTCTTATTTTCACTACAAAAATAAATATTGGAATTTCGGCTGATAGTAAAAATGAAAAAAATCACTGTTTCACGGAAATTTAACAATGTTGTATCTTCAGAGCAAAAAGATTTGTTTTACTTACATGTATTCTAAAAAAAGATTTTTAGCTTAAAGTTACTTTTTTTTGGTTCATTTGTAGCCCTGTTTTTTTAGAGTTAAACATAGAAAACGATGTTTGGTATCTTTAGATTAAATATCTTAACACTACAGTCATAAATTCTATGTTCACTAAATCCCTTTCATATAAACTTTAAAATGTATGTTAAAACGTATTGTGACACCTGATCTTGGTTTATTTTTACGTCATGGTTTTTTATGCTTTTATAAAAATACTGGAAACCTTAGTCATTTTGTAGGTATAGATTTGAAAATATATTTTGTCGTGTATCTAAGAATAATGTTTGTAGAACTGCTTCAGTAGCTTTTCATTTAACAAAATTATGTCTTGATTTTTGCATTGGAACACACGACATTTGCGTTTAATTAAACCCCCCGTTTCATCTGCAGCTGTACGACATAATTCAGCCAGGAATCGTCAACTGGGATAAGGTAAACAAACGTCCATTCAAACTTGCTACGGGGGGCAACATGAAGAAAATTGAGAATTGCAACTATGCTGTTGAACTTGGTAAGAAACTTGGCTTTTCACTCGTCGGAATTGGTGGCGAGGATATCAGAAATGGAACGAAAACTCTTGTCTTGGGTAAATATCTCGGAGATTCTTCTTTAATTGAATGAGAATTGTCTGTTATGAATTCAATTTTTGCATAGTTTTGGTAAAGAATTCGGGAAAGATAGGCCTATGGAATGTAAAGCAGATTACATTTGTATAAAGACAGTTTTGCAAAATGAAGAATGGAAATGATCAGTGTTCAGAAAGCGCATCAACCGTCCTCTGCGTGATATTTTCCCTTGTATCTTTTTATTAAAAAATTCTTAGAAATTGAAAGTTCAACCACAACACTGAAATCCTCTCACTTTAAATTATACTCTTGTCAAGTCAAGCATTGACCTTCATCAAAACTATTGCATCGTTGGATAACCTTCCACCGGCTCACAGTCGTGGGACTATCGTATTTGATCTATTTAATGCCCTCTTCCTTTTTAACGCCCCTTCCTAATTAACGCCCACCCTAAAAACTTTCTAATTGCGAACGTCACGGATTCTGACGTGGAAGATGCCAATGAATTCACAAAATTTGATCGAATCTGACCGTGAAAGTGATGAAAAACTTTGGAGTTAAATAGATCAAATACTAAACTGTTTTCTGGACACTAGGCTTTCTGAAGTCTATTGATGCTAAAATATATATAATGATATTTTTTTCATTAAATTTGTTGACATTGAATCCTATATTCATTAGAGAAGTTAATTTTTGTGTGAAGCATTCTTTAAGAGCCTAACACCTATTTGCTTAATTAAAAATCTAAATTGGTCCATAGCAGTAATTTCTTAGTTTTTTGAAAAAGCTAACCACCTTTAAACTGTAACATAGTCGGCAAAACAAAAGCTTCTGACATTAAATTCGAAACATACTTTAGTTCTTAGATATATCTCTATCTTATTTCAAACAAGCTTCATGGGTGACTCTCCAGGTGCTTAGCTTGAATTTGCCTCTCTTACTGTTTGCTTCCCTCCAAGTCTTTTTTATATTTCATATTCAATTCGTCAATTTATCAATTCATATTCAAGTCTCTTCTTTCAGCCCTTATTTGGCAGCTTATGCGAGCCTACACTCTGGCAATGCTCTCAAAACTCTCAAAAGGTGAAAGCATCAATGACGCCATGATTGTTGAGTGGATCAACAAGAAGGTAAGTGCCTTGTTTTCCAAATATATTATCTCTATTTTATATTATTTATTGTGTTGTTTGATGCTCGATGCCATATGGGTAGAGCTCTACATTCTGTTTGTAAATAGAACAGGGTGGTTCTTAGTTGCTTACTGCGATCACCAGGCAGCAGTTCGCATTACGCGTGAAACTCGGAGGAGCATTTTAGTACCGTCTTGTTCTATCCACCAAAGGCATATTATATAAATTATATCACCACCCAATATATATTTCATATTTCTCCACGGTTTTTACCTGTACTGGGAACTTTTGATTACCTCAATCAAAATCTTCTGCAGAACTTCTAGCTTTTCATTTCTGCCAGATAATCTCCCTTACAGCTTCAAGAGTATTTGAACAGCCGGTGTCTGGTTTGCTGTCATTATTTATCATCAACTCGTTTGTTTTTGTTTTAGCTCGAATCAGCTGGAAAAAGCACACGGATCTCCGGATGCAAAGACTCGGCAATCTCATCCAGCAAACCTGTCATTGATTTAGTCGATGCAATCAAGCCAGGATCTATTGATTATTCGCTTGTTTTGGATGGAGCCAATGATGAGGTACCTCGCCACGCCCAAATTCTTAAAATTTATTCTCTTTTAGTTTCTGATAATAAAAAAATACATAAATGATGGTGTGCATGAATTTAAAATTATGCTGTAGAGTGTGCCAGAATCATACTCTTCAATTTCTAGAACCTGGCAGAGGTAATTTATAATGAGTTTTGAATTTTCTCAACACAAAGCCATTTGAACCCTATTGGTTGTTGCTATAAGATAAATAGCTTTCCAGTGTGCTTTTAAAAGCAAGCAATTTATATTTAGGCCTAGAATACAACGAAGACGTGGCTAATAAAGTTAAATTCAGCTATTTTGTATAATATGGAAACAAATATTTGTTTTTTTGCAATTGGTATTGACATTCTAAACCTCTTCACTTTCCTGTTTCCAAAATAGATCTCCTATTATTTTTTCTTTAAATGCAATGTATTTGGCTTACACTAATGGAATGATATTACGTTGCACAGGAGAAACTTCTTAACGCAACTTACGCCATCTCAATGTCAAGGAAGATTGGTGCTCGTGTGTATGCACTGGCTGAAGACTTAGTGGAAGTGAAGCCAAAGATGGTGTTAACAATCTTTGCCTGTTTGATGACGCTGGGACTTGCTACCGAGGTTTAATCACGTGTTATAATCACGTGCTGCACACTCGCTTGTCCTCTTGGAATTGGAATTGAGACATTCTGAAGCAAAATGCATGATAATTAGGCTCTTATAGGTCTATTCAATTGTAATTTTGTATCTCTACGTAAAGGACCAGTTTTATTAAGGTATAATTGCACTAAGCTTTGTGGGCCTGTGAAAAGGAAATCTTGTGTTGTTGTAGATTGTATTTGTAAACATAGGGACCTATTGCTTGAATCGAGTAAAACATCAGCTTTTTGGTTTCCTGATATTGATAAAATATCAAATATTGCGCTTTTATTAGAAGAATCTGCTTTTAATCTCCGAGTAATCCTCAAATGATTGAAGCTAAAATCATATGTTTTTTTCTCAAACATCGAAACCAATTTCATAGACTCCTTAACCCTCAAAGCTACACGCCACCTGCAAAGTCCCTTCCGTTTTATGTTTGAATTGTTCTGTCTTCCTGTATTATTTGGTCTTGTAGATTTTAATAACTAACAAAATGTCTTCTCCTTAAACAAAGTTCGCGTAACGACACCTTGTATTAGTTGAGTATTCTTGTTACAAACAGTCCTGCATCTCATTGTCTGCTTTGCCTTGTTAGCCAACTGGAATTTTCTCCTTTTCAGTAATAAAAGGACCCTGCTTTCTCCAACCTTACTATAAAATAAACCAATTGGCATGAAGTTCCCCAATTGCCATAAGAATTTTAAATGTTGGCGTTAAATGTTTTGATTTTGTTGTCTTTGCGAAATAAGTTTTCTAAGTTAATCTGCTAATTGTTAATTCAGTTCTGGGTCACGATAATGTTTTTATATGGTTGATTGTAAATGAACTATTATTCCCATCAACTCGGTTTTTTTCGTGTTTGTCTCTGTTGCTGAATATCAGGGTATAAGATTTTTCTCTTTCCAACATGAACACGGGTCAATTATTAAAAACGTTTAGGCTAAGAAGAAATGGAAATCTGAAGTTGGGTGTCATACCAATATCGTTTCTTTTTGCTGTATATAGCTTTATCAAGAAACTTCTTACTAATCAAATAGACCATCAAAGTGTTTCGACCAACGAAATGTTAATCTTTCATAAGCCGTGGTGTTTGGGTATCCTATGATGCATTGCTCTGCTTGAAATTCTAATTTCAAGATGGCGGTCAGGAAAGTAATGAGGGGAATACTCAGTTGAAGATTGGAAACACCAAATACACAAGAAATTAATGGAAGGAAGGTATGTAGCTTTGTTCAGTATCACTCTTCGACTTCATATTAATTGTTCTGCAAGGATTTTTGACTCTAGGGTGTAAAATGAGGTCCGTATTTTGCATTATACTGAAATAAATATTAAGGTCCTTTCAGACAGTAGGGAAAAAACTTTCCACAGAACGTTCTTCTAAATCAATTGTAAACACAATCGCATCTCGTTCTGTTTAAAACAACATGTATTTTTTCTTTGGACTAAATAATACTTAATGTCGGCAGAAAAACTTCGAGTTCTGCTCACAAATGTCCAGCCTTCCGCAGATCGGCGATTTAGGCCCTCTGATGTGTAACCATGAAAATAATTGCGATCTTTATATGTGTTAATCAAGAAGCCTTTTGGCGACACGAGAATATCCAAGAACAGTCTTCTCTTATTTCTATTTGGATCATATTTCGGTTTGAGCTATAACTGCCTACAGTAAACCATGGTAACTTCGTAGGGAAGGCCGTTTGTAGACAAAAGTGTCCTGCAAGTAAATACGTACTTTTGCGATGGGTCGTTGCAAATAAAAGACGTTTAAGTTACCTGGGTTCCTTAAAATGGACCAGGAAACAACCAAATCGTTAAATTTTGTTGACCAGCTAAAAGAGTTTGTTTACATAGATTTCTGAGAAATATATGGTTAGGGCCGTCGGAAGTTGGGGTAAGGGGGAGGAGGGCACCATGAGCACGCCAGTTTTTGAGCAAATCGTTGCTGCTCTGTGAGCTAAGGCTTTTATATTAGACGAATATTCCTTTTTTAACCAAAGAAATTGCAATGAATATATTGCTAAGAAAAACTTTAGCTTCCCGGTTACATCAACATTAACGTTGTCCTTACCTGCATGCATCTTCCTAAATGAAATGAAAATGGCTGATGTAAACCCAATTTTTAAAAAGGATAACTCAACAAAAAAGGAGAACTAGAGACCAATAAGTGTCTTACCATCAACAAGTAAAATATTTGAAAGAGTCATGTACAAACAAATCTATGCACACATGAAAAGTATACTATCTCCTCTACTATGTGGTTTTAGAGAAGGGTATAGTACTCAACATGCCCTTCTGTGCCTTGTTGAAGATCTAAAAGCATGTCTTGATGAGAAACTGATTGCTGGTACCATGTTGATGGACTTATCAAAAGCATTTGACTGCTTACCACATGACATATTAATTGCAAAGTTACATGCATATGGCTTTAGTAATAATGTGCTGCAGCTACTATACAGTTATCTCCAAGGCAGGGCTCAGAGAGTAAAACTGAACTCTAACTGCAGTGCATGGAGAGATATAATTAAGGGAGTCCCACAGGGATCTGTCTTAGGACCGTTATTGCTCAATATTTTTATAAATGATGATATTTTTTTCTATTTCTAAACAAAAGTGACATATGTAATTATGCTGATGATAACACAATATGGATAAAAGGGCAAACAACTGATGATATAATCCCAAAGCTTGAATCTGGGATAAACACTCTAAATAGCTGGTTCAAAGATAACTGCATGCTTCTAAATGAAGTTAATGTAAATATATGAATATAGAACCTCAGAGGGCAGATTCTGGGGAGAGTGAATTTGGGGATAATTCAATCAGAAACACAGATAAAGAAAAATTACTTGGAGTAGTACTTGATAATCATCTAAAGTTTGATCATCACATAAAAAAGATTTGTAATTAAGCTGGGAAAAAAATTAGTGTCCTTGCCAGGGTAGCGCCTTATTTAATTGAAGAAATAAGAAAACTGTTAATGAAGTCGTTTATTACTACCTACTTCAATTATTGCCCCATTGTCTGGATGTTTTGTAGCTGAAAAATTAACAACTTAATCAACAATGTTCATAAAAGAGCACTAATGGTGGCATATAATGACTATGACTCATCTTTTGAAGGTTTACTTATGAAAGATAATGCCTCAACAATAAATCAACAAAACCTGCAGAGATTAGCCATAGAAATATATAAAACCAAGATCAACCAAAATCCAGATTTTATGAATGATATTTTCAAATTTCATGAGTCTTCATATCCTCTCAGAAATGAGTCATTTTTCACTAAAAAACCAAACACAGTTATATATGGAACTGAAACAGTATCTTGAAGGGGTAGTCAAATTTGGAACAGTATACCAACTGAAATTAGAAATGTAACCAGCAGGGACGGACTTAGCGGGGGGTGTAGGGGATGCGACACCCACCTCCCAATATTTCTGTCCCTTTCGGTAAATTTGGTTCTATTCGGTAAAAACCATTTTTTGGTAGTCAACAGTAACAAATTAACGCCAAGATTTTACTTTATTTATCTCCTTAATATCAGTATTTATCTTCTTATCAGTAGCGTAGTGGGGGGGGGCAAAGGGGAGGGGCCGTTAAGAAAATCGGTGTCTGAGAAAAGTACAAATCTGCAATAGTACCTTAAAGGGGGACTTTACATTTCAGACAATATTAAAACGTTTTTAAAGACTGCAAACGACTGTAAGAAATGTATTTCAAGCTAATCTGAAGGGCGTCGTCGCAAAAATGTTCTGCTCGCTTTGCTCGCACAGGGACCCTCCTTCATAACTCTATAGAATGTTCAACAATTTATCCCACGTTATAGGATTTAAATAGAAAATTCTTTCACGTTCTTTAGACAATCCCGATAAAATAGAAACTAAAATGCTAAAGCGCTTCAATCCTTGGATTCTGAAATGCTTGTCGGGGATTTTCCTCCAAGGAGAACGGAATTAGTTTAAAACATTTGAATCCTGTTTGTTATTTTTAGATATTTGATTAAAACTGTGGTCAGAATGTAAGCGTTAGATGAATTGTCAAGGAAATAGGCAGTTGTAGAATGGGGTCAGCCACAAAGCCAGTTATGACGTTGTATAAAGCGAAATTGCCACGTAAAAAAGCCATAGCTTTTCCAAACGCTTTTGCAAAATGGGGTGTTTTCCTAAATTCATAAGGGTGTGGTCAGTAAAGATTTTCTTCTCTTTGCCCCTCCAATCTTCCAAACAGGGGCGGACACTTGGTCAAATATTGGGGGGGCAACCCTCTTGTTTTAATAAAATGACGTCACATTTCCCATTGTTTTAGAACAAAAGACCATTGTTCTCTAAAATATTGGGGGGGGGCGGTCGCCCCCCCTCGCCCCCCCAAGTGTCCGCCACTGCTTCCAAACCTGGCTACGCCACTGCTTCTTATCGTCTTTACCTTAAAGTTAAAAACGGAATTTTAAAAATGGGCGTTTCCATAATCTACCAGTGACCTGAAGGGTGTGGCACCAAAATTAGTGTCACCCCCCCCCCAATCATTGTTGCTTAGATCCGCCCCTGGTAACCAGCCTAGAAATCTTCAAAAGACAAATAAACGAATTGCGAATTATGTATTCCATGCACCTGCAAATTATGTACCAAATCTAGGATACATCACATAGATATATAAATTATATCTTAAAATTTTGCAATCCCAAAAGGCCGTTAAAAAAATCATTTGGCAAAATAGAAAGGAACAAGAATTTGAGCGCTCCTTTATCGTGCAGATTTTGTGATAAAGAGTTATTTTGATATGATTTTGTTGTCTCCCCGTTGGAAGTCCCTAACACTCATGATTACTGTAAATTCAGGCTATGATTCAGGTAAAGATTAGCCCGAAAATTAAAAAACCGCATGCTATTTTTTCTTGATTAAGCGTCTGGTCTTTTAAGAATGTATTTAAGCCTGAAAAATCTCTATTTTGAACACGCTGTCCCCTGAACTGTCACTAAAAATCCATATTATCTGGCATGACTAAGTTCCTCATCCGAATAATGACTATATAGACTTTCTATATTTACCTTTAACACAAGATGCAAAGACAGTCTGCCTTTGCTGGGATTTACTTAGATCAATCAAAGATCATCATGTCAATGAAATTGTTATTTGCTGTTTACACCTTTTAGGGGCGCAGATAGGAATTTCAAAGCGTATTTTCCGAAAATAATGGAAATGTGCTCCATAGATCGGTGGCCTAACTGGTGGGGGGGGGGGGGGGTAATTGCCACTGCAGTCCCAATGACTTTCTATTGTTTTAGACAATAGGACATTGTCCTTCTCCTAAAATAAACAAAGGTTTGCCCCCGCAGCTTATTTCCTTTGGAATAGGCTATGCCATAGATGTTAAATTTTTGGAACATGAAGATCAGGGAACAGCTAGTATCTCTTTCTGATCCAGAGACTCCAACAATTTTGATCATATTCATTGTGTAAATTTTATCCAAATTTTATCCAAATTTTGAAAGTAATCTACGAGGCATACACAAGCAAAAGGAACAACGTAAGTCCAAAGTGGTGCTGTTTGCCCCCAAACCTGTAGCAGATATTCATGATTTCATTTGGTGGGCCCAGGCCAACGATTTTCCGACAAAATGCTGGAGCCCCACCCCCTACCTAAGCCCCACATGATTTACGGAACTACCCCTACCTACGCTCCTTTCTTTCGGATAGTGTGAATGGTGCAGTTTAATTGAAGGGCACTCTAGATATTTTCTAAATGGTAGGAACCAGGAATAGAAAAATGAATAAAGATACGAAAAAACGAGGTTACAGCATTTGACCAAAATGAGCTCTTTAATTTATTGTGCCGCTAGCTTCGAGGGTTGGTATCCTTTTATCTATTCAGATAAATGTTAGTTTGTTAGAAGTAACACCCAGGGCATTTTTTATTTCTAAGCCAAACGTAAATCCGTTTCCCTTCAACTTTCAACTGGTACTCAATAAGTAAATGACGTGATAACCCGATACTTTGAACTTTTGACAGCAAAAGCAGAATATGTTCAACTTATCGAATGTTTTGATTGTCAGAGCCTACCATAAACTGTGATAATAATACAGAACAAATTTTTGTTGCCCGAAATGGAAAAGTTTGGGTTATCGGGCAGTCAAATTACCAGGCTTCGACTACCCAATTTTTTTGAAGGAAGGGGGGGGGCACTATAAATGAGTTGAGACAATTGGCTAGCCAACTTTTCTACTATCTGTGAGACCTGGTTTGTTCATGCAGACACCCTTACGCAACGTTTACACCTTAAAAGAACTTTGTCCTATAAACTACCAGTGATCATTTACGCAAAGATGAATAACCCTCTTTAATTACCTGTCAGGTATTCTTTTACTTCACATTTTAAACAAAATGTCACCTTGTCATTGGTAGCACAGACTGCAACTCGAGCTATCAATTCGAGGTTTTCAGTCTACTATAGTACAGAGTGCAACATATCTACTAGCCTCTTAATGAATTGAAACTTGACAAATATAATTGGAGCATTTATCAAGTCACAACGTGAATTTTTGTAATATAAACATGTTGTTATTGAACATCGTGGTCTATAGCTAGGACAAAAAGCGTGGTCTTGAAAGACACCTCCTTGCAGTGCGATGAGAATGACATTCTATTTGATTTAATTAAGATTTATTGCTATGTTTTCAAAATTGTCCCTTTTGTCTTAATGATCTCTTGTATAAATCTGTTAATCACTGCAGCTCACAACCAGGAAAGAATAAATCCGACTTTTCTCGGAGTCTTTCTAAAAAGAAGGATATGTTTATACTTTGGATACATCGTTAATACTTTGCTTATAGAGTTATTATGAATTTATCACTCTGGCGTTGCAGAGCTTTCTATTCCTAGAAAAGAGGGCTCCCAGTTACTTCATGGAAAGTTGATATGTGATGAAATTTTCTAGGTGTACTTTGATTCAACTTTCTACTTCAAATTTCTTGAGAATAGTTCAGAAACACTTCGTTGCAGGGGCGTAGCTAGCGGTGGTGTAGAGGGTGTGACACCCCCCACCATTCTTCATGATTTGGTCAATAAACTTTCAGTTGACCAACAAACTTCATAGATAGTTGGTAAATTGCATACCAGTTTATATACTAGCCCTAAATCTTTCTTCATCTATGTCTTCGTTTGTATACTCTTGATGACCCCCTCCCCCACTCCTTCTCCTATCTAGAAGGTCATACTACGCCAGTGCAAATCTTTTTTCGCTGAACCGCTTGCAGCAAATCTAATTCATATGATCTTTAATTTTGGTTAGGAATTCTGCATCATATTTAAACTTAACATCATATTAGATCTCTGCATCATATTAAATTTTTAAAACAAACTACAAGTAAAAGCAGGTCAAGAAGAGGGCCAAGGATAGGCGTCCCTCAGTTTTTTTTTAAAAATTCAAATGTTATCTTCAAACCAAAAGATGATTGGTTTTAGTGTTGCTCAATAACAGTTCTATCGTTTGTCGTGTCCACTCATTCAAAAGCTATCACCGTTTGATCTGCACTGGTTGCTTTAGAACTCTTTAGTGCTCTAACAGCTTCTTCTCTAATCTGTCGATTCCCGAGAGCGTAGAAGATAGGATCACTCAACGTATTTAGAAAGGCAACCAGCACTGTGTATCGTTTGAGTCTTGTTTTCTCGATATACCCCTCCATAGTGTCAGGGAAGTGGTCCAACCCAGCAGACAGTACCCAGTAAACTGTGAACGGAACCCAGCAAACCAGAAATGCTACTATTAGCATGCCAAGAAGAATGCTCACTCTTTTTCGGCTTGACTGCGTGCTTGATATAGAGTTACTCCGTGTAAGTCGCCTTGCTGTTGGCCTAAACCACAGGGTGTATACCGTCGAGAAGTAAGTGAATATTAAAGCGAATAGTGCTGTACCTGCAATGACGTTTGTTACCACAAAGGCTAGCTTTGAAGCAAATCCATTCAACCAGTGGTATTCGCAGATTCTTGTGCTTTGGCTATAGCGAGATAATACAACATTTGGTATCACAAGTATCGTTCCAGTCAGCCATGTGCACAAAGCTAGCCATTTCACGGATCTTTTTCTGATCCGCCATTTTGGCCTAGTAGGGTGGTTTATGAGCATATATCGACTTAGAGACAAAAGTCCAAGCGTTAGAAAATTGACCATTGATGCTGCGTGGAAAATAGGCAGGCCATCCTTGATTCCACAAATTATATCAGAACGTCCTTTGATGAAAAGATACGGGAATATCGCGATGCCAGAAACAATATCTGCTAGTGCAAGATTCAACAGAAGAAGATTCACAGTATTGTGAATTCTCTTTTGCTTCCAGATGACAAAAATCAGCACAAAGTTTCCAGCAAAGTTTACAAAAGCTATCACAATGTATAAAAGTTTTGTTATAATATCTTCCGCGTTAGTAAACGTATGTTCTGGCTTCAAATTGCTGCTATTTGCGAAAGTTGAATTTTGCAAGATCATCTTTCTGGTGGAATTCTGTACTCTGTGTCTTTTCTGCTTTTCAGTACACTCTCTTTTATTCATTCATCTAGAATTGCGGCTATACCAGAATCAAACATGTCTTTGTCTTGTGTGTTCCGTTGAAATACATTGGGGCACCTTAACCTAAACAAAAGAAGAAAGCAGATTATTAGGAAAAAGTTATGTTGAATGGGCCTTCGTGGCACCGGATAAATTGGTAACATTAAATTCAGAGATGGAATAAGCGATCGCCATGTAATTTTACTATTCCATTACTCTACTTTTAGAGCTTGATAATTTCTGGTTTTTAGTGGACAGGGGTCTAATGGCAATGCTTTTTTGCTGTTTTCAATTGTTCTGCATTGAAAAGCTGCTAGGGTTGGCTGAGCGCCCTCTAAAAAGCTCCCAGGGTGCCTAACCCCAAAGCCCCCAAATACTTGGTGCAAAGCAAGATGTGCATTGTACGATATGAGCAGGGGAGTTGCAGGAAATAGATCTTAGAGTCAACTCTATTAGACATAGAGATTGGCCCGCTAAAACTGAAGGTGCAGATCTTTTCCTGTTAATGGCATCTAGCGAAATAGACGTGTTTCTTTGAATTATTGACATATTTAGGTATCGATCTATCTACTGTAGTACGAAGCTACTTTCTAAATAACGCCAGCCGTCCAATTGTTAATGGTTTTATAGCTCTTCGGGGAATATGATCGAATCTCGTGATCTCAAAGTTTGAATAAGACCTCCACACAGTCAATTTGCCTCTTCGTTAATGACAGTTTCATATTTGAGAGAATAACACAAGAGTCCATTCAAAAAAGCGCATAGTTCTAATAATCAAACTCTTGAAATATGGAGAAAAAGTGGGGTAAAGCTATCAAGAGCCATATCATCTTGTTCTTGTATGAACGGAAAAATCAACAGCGATTTGTTCAACATCAACATCATGTCCAATCTCCGTTTGATGTGTTACGTGTTTTAAATAAATTTAACCAAACTTACCAGCGGAAATTTCAAAGGAGAAAACTCACTTTTTTCCAGAATGAACCACAACCAAAACTTCTCAACCCCTTTACTCTCTTCCTTGTTACTCACTTACTAAATTTACTCTCTTCCTCCGTAATTGTACTCGATCATGTAAAGCTGGTTAAAGCTAAGCATCTGCTGTATAACCGCGTTATTCTGCACACATCTGACGACCAATTCTTTCCAAGATAAATCCTCTATCAAAGCTATCGAAAATAGCCTTGAAATCTTGAGATTTCTCTGTTGTTGAAATGATGGACAGCTAAATATTAGTTACACCTGTATTGACACAGTTTTAAAGAATAACGAAGTTGTGAATTGGCCAAGTGGTTTTCAATGTAAAGCCATTAACATGATGCCTTCGAAGATACTCTTTTTAGACTTTTTATTCAAAGATAATTTAGTCCTCAAACATCCTGCTAGCAAGTAAATGGGAATTACAGACAGACGCACCGGTTTCAAGTTACAGAATCCACTCTTTATAATGTACTTGCATTGTCCCCGATGTATGAAAGCAACAGCGAGTTCCTAGCTGCCTGCAAGTTGGTCTTGTGACTCTAAGGCCCAGGGGGGTACTCCCATTATGGCCTAACAGGGGGGTCCAATCAGGGTCAATGAGGGCAAAAGCTAAAATTTTGAAAAGTTATCCTCAAATGGTAGTGTTTTTTGACAACACTGGTAGCATCAATTTCTTTTTACGCGCCTGATCCTTTAGCTAAACTAAAACGTTCTGTTTTTATCGAAACTGGGCCATTTGGTAGTCATTTGGTAAGACCCTCAAATCAACTGGACCCCCCTTTCAAGCCTTAATGGGAGTATCCCCCCCCCCTCGGTTCTAACGTAACTTTCACCAGATTGCTAATATAACAAAACCCAGGGCAGAATTTTTGAAGGTTCCCATAGCGTCTCCATGGAAGGGGGGACTGGGGGGACACGCTCTCACTTCTCAACAATCGATTTTTTAGTTCGTCTAAATAAAACGAGAAATTTTGTTGGAAGGGTGAGATTTGGAAAAAGTATTTTTATGACATGGTTGTATGGTTTTGAAACTGTCATTAATTAACCAAACGTTTGTCACTGGGGTTCACAACTGGTAAATTTGGCGTGCCCCTTTGGTAAAAGAGCGATTTCTGATGGTAAAAATAAAGTGGCTGTACCCCCCCCCCAGCCCCTCCTCCCACGAAACCTAGGGGCTAGCCTCGCCACTGGCAGGTTCTGTACAAGCTGGATGAGTTGATGCAATACATGCTGAACGTCATAAATACCTTTTGTCAGTGAGTTTAAATAGCATTTTGCGTGAATTTAAAGGTAGAAAAGCTGTAAAAAATGCAATAGAAGCAAAAGACAAAGTAAATTCAGCATTTGATCCTAAGGTTCACGAACAAGTATGAGATGGGGTAAAAGTTTTTGGGAATTCAGATATTAAAGAGATCATTTCCCAGATAACACAGCCAGATAATATTGACATAAACTGAGATGTATCATGTCTAGTTTACTTTTCGAAAATTTGCTTTTTGAGACATCTTTTGATGAACATAGAATATTTTGTTTCAATTTTTAGATCCACCTTTGATTGATATTTTGAATTCGAGAAACAGAAAAGCATAAACAAAAGTTCGAGAAACAAGTGACGCATAAACAGAAAATTCAAAAAATGGTAGCAACAGCCCGTCGTTGGGTTTATTTTACGATATTTCACAACACAGATTAATTTTGAAAGTTCAGTAATGTAGTTATATTAGGCAGAATATGAGATAATTATGTCAAAGCTTCTCTTAGGTTGCAAGAGTAAGAAAACGTTGGGCCAAAAAGGTAGTTTACAGTGGCCAAGAAAGATTTATAAAGGCATAAAAATATATACGCTTTTTAGTGTACGTGTATAGAACAGGACTGTCCTAAGTTGCTACTCCAAACTCCACACTAAATGCGGTTATATATATGTATGGTGACCACTGGCCTAAGCCGCAAAATTTCCTAGACAATATCATGAGGTGTGAAGAGGCTTTGCAACGATAGTTTATGGCCAAATATGGTATTGCCATCTACAAGTTTCGATTGTTAAAGAAATTGAATGATTATTTTTTGTTTTGACGTGAGAGAACTTTCAAAGTATTTGCTTTCTTTCTTCTTTAATCCAAGGTAAAACAATCTGAAGACTGCAGAGATAAAAAAAGTTCTATGAAATAACCTATCAACCGAACTGACAATATCCTTGGAAATAAATGATGTTATGAAATTGAATTAATAAAATGGAAAGCCTGGTATGGCCTTGATGACCCTAGTTAATGATTAATGGCCCTGGTAGACGTTTATTTTAGCTTTAGTTTCAACATCCGACATTTTCCAGACACATGAAGGGCGTGGCACCAAACACAATCATTATCTAGCCACCCCCCCCCCCTTCCTCTGTAGTAGGACGCTCCCCAGATCACATGACCTTTTATAATCACGTGACATGTACTATTTAATCCGAAGCTTTGTAAAGCGTAGTGCAGTTATCTTCGTATCCTCGTTCAGTTAAGTTATAAATCTTGAATGATTATCAAGATATGAAAATGTAAAGAGTGTGTTTCCTTGCTCTACCATCTCAATAATATAAATAGAAGCACCTCTCACATCTGGTGGATGACCCGTTTTGTCACGATCGCCGTCCCGTATGTCGCAAGAAGAAACTCTCGGACTTATCAATGGTTTGGCCGCTGTTGCTAAAGAACAAAATGCATCCAATAAGTCAAGAACCGAAGAATTGAAATCACTTGCCTCTGCCGTAAAAGATTTATCCGACCTTATAAATCTTCAGTCGCAAACTTCTCCTGGTCATGCTGCTCTTCGCCTGCCGAACCTTACACTGCCTGAATATACAGGAATTGAAGATCTTGACCGTTTTCTGGACCAGTTCAACCAGGTTCTCCGATCTTCTGGTGCAAATCCGCAGTTTTATCTAACGTACCTCAAGCAACAGTGCCGAAAGGATAGCCGTGCCTTCGATATTCTTTGCAATTATGAGAGCACCCATCTCGTCCGATTGCCTGCATCTCCGACCTCTGATGACTATTACCAGTTTTACAATGCTGCACTAATGGTTCTTCACTCCCAACGTGGAATTCCAAAAGACCAGCAAATTCGCAATCTCTTGGCCACGTATTATACCATGCGCCAACAACACCACGAAAGCGTCTCCAACTTCGCACACCGGTTTTGTGAGACCCAACATTCCTTGGAGAAACTAATTCCAGGTATTCACATGACAGCCGATGGAAATGAAATCGAGTTGATTCATGCCTTTGCCCTCAAACTACGTGAGGATATTTCGCGGGATCTGTTTGCTAGGGATTTCAACTATCCGACTTTAATGGCCCTGATTGAAGCTGCCAAACGATACGAGACCAAAACTACTTCAATCGCAGTTGACGAGCCTATTTCTACAGCCAATGCTTTACCCGTTACGCCTGTTTCTGCCTACCCAAGAAAAGCACTTGCACACCGTCAAGAAGCAACACCAAAACCTCCAGGTGAACTTTGCTTTCAATATAATAAATATCCCCGTGCCTTTTGTGAACTTTCTAATGGTAGATGTAAGAAAGGTTATATTCATAAGTGCACCAAATGTGGTCGCTTTAATTGTAAAGCTGTTCGTCATAATAGGACCAAGGCTATTTCGCATTATAATTCTGTTGAACCTAACTCACTCCATACGCATATTGCTAAGGTGGAACCGTCTGTCGATTCTGATACGACTTCTTTATTGAAATCTATCCACTCATTATTGCTCACGAGTAAAGAACATGTTGCACCGCCCAACGATGAGGCCGTCCCTCCCAAAGGGGGTTCGCAAGACAATGTTTATAGCATGCCTGCCATAAGTTTAGCTCCAGATAGTGTCACAATTTCGGCTTATTGTAATTTGCGAAATTTCGCCGAAATTTCGTACGAAATTTCGTTACATGAAATCCACCTTTTATACCTGAAATCGAAGCACAAACCAATTGAAAGTGATATATAAACCTTACATTCCTTGTCTACCATCATAAGAACGCATATTTAAGGCATTAAAGCGACATGTTTCTTCTCAGTCTCCAGCGGTAGAGGCCATGCATTCCGAGCCCGTCCCAAAGAAGACGGGGGTTTAGTACATAGTATCTGGTTAGCGAGACACAACGTCAATGCCGCTGTGACTGCAACAGAGGAGACAAAGTGTAATGAACAATTAGGCTGTCATTTGCGAATGCAACCTTTCAATCGTTCCAAAATTATCAACAAAGTATTTACGAGAGGTCTGTCCAAAATAAATTTTTGCAGTGGAAAACAGCTTAAGTCATATTGTATGCTTATTTTAGTTAGAATTAGGATCCAAAAGATTACCATCATCCACGGGAGAATCAAATATAGCAAAATCCTCGCTTTAAACTGCGTTTTAAAAAATTAGTAATTTGCGAAATTTCGCAAAATACAGTTTTTTACAACTACTCAAATGGGGCCGTATCAACATAAATCACGTCAGTAGGGTATGATGTGTCTACAAAATGAAGGAACAAGTCGCCATTGCCATTAACAATGTATGCCCTGTTGCTGTTTAGTCCTGCTTTAGAGATTTTAGGTTTGACTCTCGACCCTTAGGAAATCGACCAAATTTTCATGTGATAAAGGTCATATCATTTTGGAAAAGAATAGAAAACGACTTTACGATCAAAAGGGAACACAATTACAGCAAAATCCTCGCTTTAAACTGCGTTTTAAAAAATTAGTAATTTGCGAAATTTCGCAAAATACAGTTTTTTTACAACTACTCAAATGGGGCCGTATCAACATAAATCACGTCAGTAGGGTATGATGTGTCTACAAAATGAAGGAACAAGTCGCCATTGCCATTAACAATGTATGCCCTGTTGCTGTTTAGTCCTGCTTTAGAGACTTTAGGTTTGACTCTCGGCCCTTAGGAAATCGACCGAATTTTCATGTGATAAAGATCATATCAGTTCGGAAAAGAATAGAAAACGACTTTACGATCAAAAGGGAAAACAATTACAGCAAAATCCTCGCTTTAAACTGCGCTTTAAAAATTTAGTAATTTGCGAAATTTCGCAAAATACAGTTTTTTTACAACTACTCAAATGGGGCCGTATCAACATAAATCACGTCAGTAGGG